TGTCTTAGTTATACAGTATTGTTTCCTTTTAAGTATTTTTCTATGTCTTTGTTTCAGTATACTTATTACTTTGTAGTGGACTTCTCCCCTACAACTGCGTAGCCGCAGCCACCAGCTGCTACCATCTTCCCTAGCAACCAAACTGGCGGCGTCACCAGATGCTGCCGTATCCTAGCAACCGAGCCAAAGACCGGTTACTTCTCGGGTTTTCCCAACATGACTCATAGATGACTCACGGCTGCTGGGTATATAAGCTCTGTCTCTCCATTGAGATTCATTCTGGCCATTCTTCTTGAACAAGCAACACCTCCTCCTCCGCCTGCCTGGCGGTCCTCGCTACCGCCGGCGAGCATGGCGACCCACCAGCTGTCCTTCTCTGAGCGTCCTCACCAACCAGCTCTCTCATTCTGGCCCATCTTCCTGAACACGCAACACCTCCTCCAGCAAGCTCCACGCTGTCCAGCTTTCATTCAACCAGGAGGCCAGCAACAGGCAACATCTTCTCTAACGAAGCTCCTGCACATCTACCTCCTTCAACAAGCTACTCACCGAACGTCTCCACTGAGCAGCTCCTCACCACACTGCACCTCCAGCACCAGACTGTCTATCATATAACTTATATTATACAAGAAAACCACCTTAGAGTTTCCATCCATCCTGAGTGCTAGACCACATTATACCACGAATTCCCACAAGGTCATTGATATCCAGACGGTCCGTCCCTCGTAACGTTCTTCAAGAGTGAAGTGCTTCCCCATCTGGAGTACTGTCACCCCGTCTGGTCCCCGAGATATGCTAGAGACTGTCAGTTGGTTGAAAATATTCAAAGGAGGGCCACCAGACTGGTGCCTGCACTTCGGCACCTCAGCTACCCTGAGAGATTGGAGCGCCTGAACTTGCCTAGCTTATGTAAATAAATAAGTAAATACCATTGCAATACACATAATTGCCAACTAGACATAATCCTGAAAGCTCTGTCCTCTTGTTCAACCTTATTACAGCACAACCCAGGTTGTGCTGCTCCCCAATTATACTTATGTATTTAAATTCCACTCTAATTTATATGTATATGTGTGTGTGTATATGTGTGTGTTTATATATATATATATATATATATATATATATATATATATATATATATATATATATATATATATATATATATATATATATATATATATATATATATATATATATATATATATATGTATATAGGTATGTGTATATGTATATATAATAAATAAAAAAAAAAAAAAAAAAAAAATAAATAAATAAAAAAATATAAGTAATAAATAATAAAATAAATAAATATTGAAGTGATAACCGTGGTAACACTATGAGATGTACTTATTACTACCATGCTGTTGTACTTTTCCAGATGATACTAAATGTTTCATAATACTTCCTTGAGATAAATGTATAGCATATATCAGGTGCCTCAAAGAGAGCTCAGGTTCTCAACTGGCTCAGCCATGTTAATATTGTTATTTTTATCCACTCTGTATCTGTGTTTTTCTGGCTAAATAAACTGTTACAATTCAATTCAATTCAATTACAATTCAATACTACAGACGTTCAAGGGGTGACCTAGTTGAGGTGTATAAGCATCTCAGGGGGCACTACTCAGTTGAGTGTCCTTACTTGGAGCTGGCAGACGCTCGCCCCACAAGGGGTCACAGCTCAAGATTGAAGAAGCCTCAAGTCCAGAAAACTGTGAGGGCAAACTTTTTCGGAGTGAGAGTTGTGAACTCTTGGAACAATCTACCAGAGAGTGTTGTGACGGCACCGAGTGTGAGCTCTTTCAAGACAAGACTTGACCAACACTGGAGCGGGTTCAGGTACATTCAGGAGCCGGTGCATGCACAGTATTTGCCAACAGTGCGTGACAGAGACGTGACTGATCGCCCGGGCGGCTAACGAGCTGATCTTTTGGTGAAGAGGATAAAAGAAAAGGAAAAGTAATCAGAGACGTGACCGATCGTCCAAGCGGCTAACGAGCTGATCAGTGGTGAAGAGGATAATAAAAGTAAGTATAAAAAGTAAACTTACCACCCAGCCCTCATTATTCTAATGTCCTCTCATTCTACGTACCTATTTGCATTTTGTGCTTGTTCATTCCTAATCTTTATTTTTTTGTGTTTAATGTCCAAGGGTTTGTTTTGCTCGGACAGTACAGTACTTGCTAGCTTTCGGTGACACATTGACTACTCGCACTGGAGTGAATGCGCTTGAACCTTTAGGTGACCAGTGGCGGCTCGTGAAAAATAAAATGGAGGGACTGCAAGCCTCACACAACAGTAGGATACACAAATTTGACCTACCTCAGGTATGAGTTGTAGTTGATGTCCACGAATTCCCAGGGCATGGTAGTAGTGTTGGTGGTAGAAGGTGGTGATGAACCAGTATTAATTGAAAATAAAGTCGGCGTGTCTGCATTCTTTACTTCTTCCTTGATCTTATTTTTGCAAATTTCCAACATAGATTCTAAAAGTTCATTCTGTATTGATTTAGATGTTCCTTTAAAAACTGTAGCGGTCTTTAAATGAGCATCTAAGCTAGAATCCAGTTCACAAGCAAAATCAACTAATCCATGAAATACTCCCGGATTCTTAGAGCTCATTGTTTCATCATGTCCTCTAAGAGGGAGTTCAAATTTTCCACAAAATTTTACACAGTTTATGATTTTGGATAACACATCTCTGTTTTTTTTCACCTGTTCATTGTGTTTTGCAACTGAGAGCTTGTATGCTGTGTCAATCTGAGCTGCAATGTTCACTTTACCCAGCAACAATAAATTAATCATGTTATTCATATGTTTGGCTGACTGCTCATGTTTCACTATTTTCTGTGGCAAATGCCTCAAGTCAGTCACACCACTTTTCGTCCATGCCGAGTCTCCACCAAACAATAAGCAGAATAAAGTATTTGCCTCGTCACAACCACAGAGCCATAAACACTCATGTTAAACTGGCCTGTATATTCTTTGTTCCTGCTTGTACTGTTCTGTTCAATGGATAAAACTGGTGTAGGTCTTCCTCTTGCTTTGATTTCAATCTTTTCATTTAATGTCAGCTGGGAAAAGTTGATGTTTTGCAAATACTTCACTCTATTTTCCATCGTCAAAGGGTAATTAAAGAAAGCACGATTTAACCACACCGTCCACACGCAATGTAAACACCAGACTGAGCTGCTTCAAGTGTGGCAGACATGAATCGTACAGCATTGACACCAACTATGAAAGTAACATAAATTTTGGTCTGATTTTAATGAAAATTCACTTAGCAACGTATTGAAAATAATTAAATAACATATAAAATGATATATTTGTTGGTAGTGTATTATTCAGCTGTCTCTCTCTAAAGGAATCATACGCCTAGCAGTGAGTGTCTGGGGGGACTGCAGGAGCCGCCACTGACGATGACTCAACAGGAACTCCCAGGAATCATGTATTGTATCTGTTCATGGTTGTTCAAGGGCAAAATATGATATCAGTGAGAATTAATGTCCCAAACCTCTCCTCACAAGAAGGTTAATAAATAGGGAGTAGAAAAAGTTGGGAATGAAATCTGGGGTGTACTAGATTGAGTTGTACTTGATGGGAGAACATAGGCCTATATTATACTCGCACCAGAAACATTAATGAAATTGTATATTAATGGTCTGCTCCTAATAGGTTAATATACACAAGTGTGGAAAAAATTTATCCAAGCATTAAATCAGTGTGTCTGCCCCAATTTACGTGTTATCCTACGAGGGACGACTAGATAATCCCTTGGCAGATCAGGTTGAGGTATAGTCACACTAGCGTAGCTAGGGGGGGCGGGGGGGGCGGTCCGCCCCGGGCGGCACTTTTGGGGGGCGGCACTTTTGGGTCTGCTCATCACCCATATCTGCAGCTACTGGAGACGTTAATCCATCCCTTTGTATCGGCGGCAAGTTAATCCCCCGCCACACACACAACCTGTAACAACTTCAAACAAGTACGCCAGTGAGCTCATGTGGTGTGGGTCAGGTGTTAGGTCAGACACGACGAGGATTAACTTGCCGCCCATACAAAGGGCAGATGCTGAATTGAGGAGAGAAATGTTTTCTTCGCTGGACAGAGTGATCCAAGAAATAACTTTGAGATTTCAACAGCTTCATGAACTTGCTGAGAAATATGCCTTCCTTACCCCATTGAATCTTTTGGATGATAAATATGAGTGTCAAATAGATCACGATCACGACGACATTGATGAAGAGGAGTTCCTCGTTGAGAGAAAAAGACTTCACCATTTTGTTGCTGTTGCTGCTATAACTATTAAAGACAGAATACAGACGTGGAAAGAAGGCCCCCTTGAACTTTTGCAGTTTATTCAAAAGTATAACCTTGGGAACTCGGTTCCAAATATAGTAATAATGCTGAGGATTTTCGAAACTAAAACTGATCAAGAATTACTTAAGATCTACTATGAGCACCTTGCGGTTGAGAAATCTTGCCATACTGTCTATAGAGCGACAATTGACAGATGAAACAGTTTTTGACAATGTCATTGAAGAAGTTGTCGTTTTTGCTTTTTGTTTAACTGTTACTTATAAAGTTTAAGTATGTTTGGGGTGTATTTTTTGTGGGGGCACGGGGGGGCGGCAAACTCAAGGGCCACCCCGGGCGGCACACACTCTAGCTACGCCACTGCGTATAGAAATAAGAACTAAACATTTCTATACATTCAAGTACGAATCATTACATGTACTTTTAAATTTTACTTCCACAAAAGAATAAGTAACTTAAGTGAGTATAATCCATAAATGAAAATATTTACCCAAATTTAAATACCCCCGCGCCTCTTGACATTATAAAAAAAAAACAAATATAAAAGCCATATTTTAAAACATATTCAGTGTATTATTAATTTTATTTGAAACCCACAATATTAAGTTTATCCCAAAAACCTATAAAAAACTAGGTATTGATTGACATAGAGCGCTTATTGATACTCATTTGTCGTTAACAGCTGTGCGTGACGTCACCGAACAACAGAGTCTCACAACACAGGGTGACTGAGGTGCGTCTCCCCTGACCTGTATCACCCCCAGCTGGCATGGCAGACCAGATCAACCAGGATGAGGTACTGTATTACCTTCTTGTGAATACCCACGAGGAGAAATTGTGTAATAAATATTCATATATGTTATTGGGTAGAAGCCAAATATTATGACGATGCAGAATGTGGCCCCCAAGTGCTTTGTTCTTGTGTTAATAAGTAACTAGTATTAAAGTGGTCTGGAATGTGATAACTATAAGATATAATAGAAATATGTTTAGTATATGTGTTTTCAAATGATTTAAGAATATCATTTACAGTCTTGAATAATTTATGTTGTATATTTAGGTTAATAAGTGTACTCTTAATTAAAATATTTTGAGGCACAACATAGTCAGGTATGAAAGCCACTATCACAAACACTTACACAAGTTCTATATGAAATGGGTAATATTTCACCTGATGGCCACAGCTGAGAGAAATAGTCCATGGGCTGCAAGTCAGTGCACCAGTGGCCCAAGTCTGGTTGGGTAAAAGGGCTTTGAATTAAAAGGAAATATGGGGTAAAATACTCAGAAGAACACCAAATAAATCTTTGAAACCCCTATAAAATGGTTTACAATCGAGGGGGTCAGAAGCGCTATACATGTAGAATAATTTTATTTTATTATTTTTATCTTTCTCCGGTAATTATTCCTTTTAGCACAGCCTTGAAGTTCTTCACGAGATGGTTGAGTTCTGATGTGTTTGGATGTGTTTTGGTTAAATCTGACTTTCTTTTCCATGGGAAATGCAAGTCACCCTTGATCAAAAACGGCTATTTTCCATAAAAAACGATGGTGAGATCTGAGCGAAATAAAGTAAATCCAAATACATCAGAAACCAAACATCTAGACCTCTAATTTTCACTAATTTAACCTACCTTAACCTAACCTCACCTAACCCCTGCGGAGGCAGGCAGTGCGTGACACACCTCACGGCTCGCTGTGGGACAGGAAATGGCGGGTGGAGATTTATTGATCTAATTTCTTAGGCATTTCTCACTTGTGCGATTTTTTTTTAAAGAAGCAAGTTTCCAAGAGGCTTCAAGGGTTGAGGAATGTATATGTGAGGTAGAAATTGACTAAAAGTAAGTGCTTCTATGTGAGTTGAAGATGTACTAAACCGAACAATAACCCTTTCTCCCTCTGTATAAACAGGTGTTGGCAACTTGTAACTATTTACCCTCCTTTTATATAGTGTAGTTTAGGTTAGGTTAGGGCAATGTACAAAATATTAAAATCTGCTGAAAAAAACCTACAACCAGAAAGTGAAGTGAAACCTATGACTCAGTGTAAATAAGCATAGAGGAGGTATCTTAGGGTATTCTTTGTATGATTTGATGGTAAAGGTTTTTTCTTTTTAAGGCAAAGGTGAAGGAGACAGTTAGCAGTAGAAATTATGTATACTAAGAGGAAATATTTTTTCTTTTATATAATTTTTATTTTCTGTCTTTCTGTTTCTCTCTTTTCTGTAATTATATTATTTTAACTTCTATATTTTCTTTGTTTATGTTTTCTAAGTTTACAGTATATATATTTTCTATGTTATTTCTGTCTTATAGAACCTTTAATTTTCTTAGTTATATTATTTAATATATTTTTCTAAGTCTTTATTTCAGTATGCTTACTACTTCATTTTCTATACAGTATTTTACTTTTCTTGCTTGGTGTTTATTTCTTTCAATGTCAGTACAGTGATATCTCCGTTGGCCGGAACAATTGGTGCAGAGCACTTCCGGGAATGACATATTTCCAGGTAACGAGACGACTCTCGATGCAAGAAAAAAAATCCCTCATCCCCGGAATTTTCCGGGTAACGGAAAAATTTTATTGAAATTTCCAGAAAATGAGCTCGATTTTTATCTCTCAAACCTGGAAAAAGTCCCCAATCCCCGGGATTTTCCGGGTGCTGGGAAAATTTGCTCGAAATTTTTCGGAAAATGTGCCCCTTGGAAAATCTCAATTCAAGCTATCGGAGAGTTCCGGGTTTGAGGGATTCCGGCTAATGGAGATATTACTGTATTTTTTCTAATATTATTTTCTTATTTCTTTCAATATTTTTAGTTATACAGTGATCCCTCGGTTAACGAAATTTCGGTTAACGAACTGCCTTCCATAAGAATCTTCAATTCGGTTAACGAACAAATATTCGGTTTACGAATTTCTTACGAACCGACCTCAACATGTTTTCGCTTGCACTGGCCGGGCAACCAGCTTTAGTATTAGTCCGCCAATACATTAATCGGTTCTAGGGCTTAAATTCCTTACTATTTTAGTAAATATCAAGAAGTTTATACTATTCAATAATTTTAAAAGTTAAATATTCAATTTTTTAGTCATTTTAACAATTATTGAACATAATTGAAGGTAAAGTGACTAGTTTAATGCGCGGCATCCAGCCTCTTAACACAGCAAACAGGCGTTAGTCTCTCTCTGTTTTCACTGGAGGTAACATCTTGCTTGAGACTCTCTTCAACTAAACGCTTTTTCTGTGTTTCCAAGCAAATTATTGGTCATTTTGAAATATATTTTACATATTGACAATATATAATGCAGTGCAGTGTTGATTTAAAGAAAATAATCTTGAAATACCAAGAGAACTAAAATTTTATGGGTGAAATGGTGCCATGGGGTGACTTCTCTTCCACCCCAATGCCTTCTCTTCTTCCTTCTCCTCCACCCCCATTCTAATTCCCATCATCATCATCATCATCATCCAGGAGCCTTCTACATACACACCTCAAAGTAAGTGAACTTTTCTACCATTTTTGTTGAATTTAGGAAATTTTCGGTGAGCTGGAACCAATTACCCAAAAACCCATTGAAACAATGGTTTCGGTTAACGAACTTTTCGGTTAACGAACAACCTGCTGGAACGGATTGAGTTCGTTAACCGAGGGACCACTGTATTCTATACTGTACAATGGATTAACCTGGGAAAACCATATTATTCTTTAACAACACTTATTAGTATAAATATTATACCTTCATGGTAGACTGCCACCACCCAGGCTTTTATTAAAATATAACTTGTATAATTAAGGTAGTGTGGTAGGCAAGCTTTTAGGCACCTGTGTTACAGTGTTTATTTTCTGAGAAGCAATTGTTAGAAGGGAAGGAGTGGTGATACCCACAGTTTACTAAATCAATATTTATTAAAATCAAAGTGAATAAGATGACAATTTAAACATACTCAGACAAGAATGGACCACTAGTTCTTACTGTAGAATTAACAAAATTGATCTTCGATTAGCATTCAACATTTAATACCTCCTTAAGGGCACTATATTATTTCTCTGACAATAAAGGTGGTAATTTTACACGCTAGCTAAATAGCACAGACGTTAAGACATTAATTGTAACATCATGTTATTTCTGAATGAACAACATGGAACATGTACCAGCTCTCAGTTGGGAGTACACATTGAGGGTTTACGCACAGCACATACTGTATAACAAACTAATACTGGTGATAACCATATTTATGGCTTCAATACCCAACTGGGACAATTATATTTCTGCTAATTATCCCCACTCATATACAAGAGCACTAATTTGCACATATGATTGAGATTAGTATACCAGGGTTACTCGCTGGTGTTTACTACAACAACTGAAGCATGCTACAGGTAGTTCTGCTATAACGCGATAATTGTGTTCTTGTAAAATATCGTGTTATAGAAAATCGCGTAATAGAAATAACAGGGCTTATGGAGAAAATAGGGTTAGGTGCAGATTACTCGAAATCGAAAAAATTTAGTAGTTAGCCTAACACAAAGGATAGCACAGTCTAAATAAATGTTACATTCATATCTAATAATGAAATCATACAGTAAATGTAACACTTTACCTTGAAAAAATATGAATGTACCTTGATGGGGGAGAAGGGTGATTTTGAGGTTGATAAAATCGAGCTTCTCTTCAAGTGTTATATCCTTTCTTTTACGATCATCACCGGGAATTCTATCACCAGAACGCTTCTTGTTGATATTCTTCTTTACCATATTCACAGTTAATACCACAAAATTGGAGAAATAGTAAGCAAAAATCCCGTTATAGCAAACAAGCGTTCGCGTTATACAAATATCGTTCCTAATTCATAAATCGTGTGAGAGCAAATTCGCGTTATCAAAACACGCGTTATAGCAGAACTCACTGTATTAGCGTCTGTTGGACTCTGACGCACGGCTAGAGAGCTCATACTCCCGGGTGTAGCTCCCAGGGCGCCTTACCCTCTCTGAAGTTAATCTTGCTGAATTAGAGACCTCCTACCTTGGACATCTAACCGGTAGGAAGCTACAACACACTGTGCCTGAGATACGATGGGGGGAGCGTCACAAAAGTTGATATAAAAGTATGAACTCAATTACACACAATCATACGTCTGGCATCAACACAGACGATATTTATGTTACGTTAATTTTTACTTGACACATGAGAATTTCACTGTTAAACACCAACACTGATATTCACAAAATTCGACCGAGTTAAATTTACTTGATATGTCGGGCGTGAGGCAATAGTTACTTACCTGAGATTCGATGGGGAGGCGTCACAACGTGTTGCTCTCCCTCATGCACGCATTTATATACTAGGCTAACTGGCAACTCAGGCATGCCAAATGGGCAAGTCACGCATTGACATACACTTCAATTAAATCGGTTGCTGTACTTTTGGCTATGAAAATCAGTGTCATAAGTCAGATAAATTTCTTACATCTGTTGTTACAATCTAATCAGCGTTTGAGCTTGCCAGGCAATAGTGAAATGGACGTCTAACACAAACTGATAACGTCTTTCTTATGACCTCATCAAAATACAGACCAGGGCCTACTGAGAGCTTGCCGTTAGATCTTGGAGATAATAAGACTGACATATTCCTTTCAGAATATTAATTACTTTCTAAGACATAAAACTGAAAATAATTTCATTTCAACCATCAGATTCTCTGATGGTTGGGAATCAAAATGATCTAACTTAGAAACTCAGGGCATCCCTTAGGACGATGCTAGGGATTCATCACTTCTACTGGCAGACTACTGTAACGCATTTGACAATTTTACTAACAGTAACTACAGTTGAAGCTTTCAACATCACTCACAAGGGCTCTTGAATGTTTCATCTGTAATCAGACATATCTAATTCAATGGAACACAGGTGTGTGATCTCTCTCAATTTCAAATCTCTGAACACTATATGAGGTATTAAGAAATATCAGTCTCTGAGGTACCTGAGAGAAAACAGAGGATTCGGGCGTACTGAAATGGTTAGAAAACGGACGCCTCAACTGGGGGACTCAATAAAGAAGTTACAGCTACATGTTTTATGGGCTATGGAGCATAATATAAGTCGTCTCATTTTACGTTAACTATCATGCACGACTGTGGTCAGTACACTTGCACTAAGCAAGGTTTCTTGTTGGACCACCGAGTACTGTTTTCTCCCTTGAAGACCGTTGCCTTGCATTTCTGCTGCCTCCGAGGTGTTCATCCTGGTCCCAGTCTACAGATCTATGGTCACCGTGTGCGGTGTGTCAAAGAGACCCTCTTCCTGGGTATTATTTTCGACGACAGGCTTACGTGGCAGCCTCAAACAGTAATACAGTATTTTCTCAGTCTGTTGAACTAATTCAGGCCACCCTTCTCCGTTGAATCAAAATTTCTGGTAAATAAAATTTCCGTTATTTTTGCTCAATTTAGCAAACTAGTTCACTAAATCGAGCGTGAATCTGTTAAATTCCATGCCAAATGCGCTGCTTGGCGAGTGGGGTTTGTTTACATCCGCTCGGTCTGTGTCTTGCTGCCACCTCGTGTGTTGTTCACTGCTACCTCTCAGTCTACATCTTTGTCAACTAACTACTGCGCTTAGACATCATGCTGAAAGTCTCTCTTTAGTATCAGAAAGGAAGTGGTGAAGGGGAGAAAGTCAAAAGAGTGTGGCTATCAATTGGAAAAATTTTTGGAAATTATTGAAAATTTTGAAAACAAACACTGAACCCCTTAATTTAAAGTAAGCCATGAATAATTTTTCTATGTACATATCATGTGTCTGAGGTGTCTCTGTAGGTGTGAGCGTATTAATGGAATTAATCTTGATTTAGCCAACTAGTTCACTAAATTGAGTGAAAAATAATGGAAAAAATTAATTCGGTTAAATTGAGAGTACAGTATATCGAATCTCTGTTGGCCGGAAGCCCTCTTAATCGGAAAATAGTTCCCAATGCTGGAGTTTTCTGGAAAATTTCGGCATTGGGGAAAAATTTTCCGGGGGTCCATTTATTTGAAAATTTCCAAGAAATTTTTCCTGTTACAGGGTATCTGGAAGTTTCCAGGGAGGGGGAGACTTTTCCTGGGTTTGAGAGATGAAAATCAGGAGCATTTTTCTGAAATTCCGAGAAAATTTTTCCCGTACCCGGAAAATTCCAGGGCATTTTTCCGCCTTTGAGAGAGGAGTCTCGTTACCCGGAAATCTCTCGTTGCCGGAAGTGTTCAGCACTAATTGTTCCGGCCAATTTACGGGGATTAGGTTCTCAAAATGGCCGTGAATCCGCGAATTATATTTGTTGACGGGGGGGGGTGTTATATTTTACTTGTGTACAAAGAAATGTATATTCCATTTATATGTTTGCCCTTAGGACAATTATTTATTTATTTATTTTACCTGTATTGTATACGTGTGTGTATGTGTGTGTGTGTGTGTGTGTGAAGACACACACATACAAATACATAATAATGGGAAAATCCTCTCACAATTAATCAGAATTTGTTTTTGTTTTTTAATTTTGAGTCTACCGTCACGTCTACTCCGTGCTCTATTAATAACAAAGCATGGACTGGACTTGAGGGTAGACTCGACATTTAAAAAAAATTTTGATTATTTGTGAGAGGATTTTTCCATTATTATTTATTTCTACACACACACACACACACACACACACACACACATAATACTGTACAGGTAAAGGAAATTACTGTCTCGAGAACGAATGGCTCCCTGTCCTGGCCACGAAAATGCCAGCAACTTTAAAACTACCCTTGGACATTCTTGGGTACCGTACATCCAGGGTGTCATCCACGAATAATAGAGAACCGCAAAATATAAATCCGCAAATTATCCGGGCATACTGTATCACTGTATTCATTATCTCAGAGTCTTGCCATTGTACTCTCAAATTATTGAGTCTTGGGTCACACATCGTGGAGTACCAACTCGAGTTAGCAACACAGATGGGATGGTGTCGAAGTAAACAAACTCCTCTCATCCACTTTGCTTTGGGTGCCTGAAGATATCGGGGACTGTTGCGCTGCTGGGAGACTGCTTTGGCCCACCTTTGCATTGGCCACATGCAGCTGACTCGTAGTTTTATAAGGGAGAGGGTGCCCCCTCCCTATTGTGATGACTGCTTGGTCCCATTGACTGTTTGACACCTGGTGGAGTGCCCCAGTCTCAGAGATCTTGTCATAAGGACCTCTCCAGGTGCCAGGGAGAAGGGTCTTACCGTCTCACTTTGGTGCTAGGGGAAGGAGCGGCTAGCGTGGGAGGGGACATCCTTCCTTCGTGGAGGAAGCCGACCTTCTGCACAAGCTTTGAGTTTTATATATTAACGTTTAAATTGTTTTATGACCGTTTAATGCTGTTTACTATCTTTTTTTTTTACTTGGCATTAGTATCTGTTTTTGCCTTCTATGCTTTTAGTTTAATTCGGCAGTATATGACCTAAGCTGTTGCATTGCCAAGGATTTTTTATTTTTTTGCCAGGATTAGCCCACCAGGGCTCAGGTCATTAACCCACATCAGGGCCTGGGGACAAAAATACAATAATGATGAAAATAATTTATGATAATTAGTAAAAAATAATAAAAAATATAACAATTTAAATAAAAATATAATAATACTAATACTAAAGAACCATCAATAATTACAAAAAATATAAAAAAAAGGTCAATGGTGCAAAATGATATATGTATGTTGTGTTGTCAAAGTAAGAGAAACAATTGAAACCCTGCAATTGTGTGTGAATAAGACAAAGTCAGATCAGCAACCTGGGGCTTGGTAACAATTTTTGTGATGCCATATAGCAGCAGGGTCTACCATGAGACAATACATTATGCTTCCAGGCAGTAGTACCTCCCTGTTTGATAGCTGCCTACTACATCAATCAATCCAGTAAAATGTTGGAGCAAATACGTTCAAACTAATGTTTCTTAATATGATGCAAAATACAGTAACTCTAATTTTAATAGTTTTTGAGTTACTGATAAAAAATAGGGAAGATGGTCAGCCTTGGCCGCTGAATGAATTTTTTTCTTGCAAGAATTTTGTCAAAAGTAGTAATGATTGTTGTGGTATCAATTTTGCAAAATTAGAAACAAGTTCTTTAAGGTTGTGTTTTCTGCAATTTCCTGTTCTGTTGACATTCTGGCCAGTCCAACATGCCTCTATTGCAGTGTTGAAGAACAGAAATACTGTAAGCTTTGATAAATTTGAGCTTTGAAACGCTATGCTCCTCACTCACACCAGACTGTTGGTAGAGTCAAGAGAATGCAGAGAGAAATGAGAATGTTGGGACCAATCTGTCAGTTTATATTCATCTACAAAACTGAAGTACAGTACTGTACATCTTATGACCTGTGGCCCTATGAAAGTCACCGTACAATATCCTGCAAGTCACTGCACATATTTCCAGTATCAATATCTTTAGAATATCTGTGTTGCAAAGCTGACTAGTTTCATACAATGTTTCATAGTCTGTTTTGATGTCTTATTTTATAAACTGTGGCTATTGTAGAGGAAACCAAATGTTAATCGACAAGTTCAATTCACTTGTCAGTAAGGAGTCTCTCTCACAACTGAAGAGACTTGCTGACAACAAACATATTATACAGTGCTGTACTGTATATGCTTGAGCCATGACACCATGTTGTTGTGTTTGTGCTGATGACTTAGACACTTCTCTGTGTACAGTCCAATGGCAGGTTACGGTAACTCTTATCACACTTGCAGGTGATGTGCCAATTGTCAAAGCCATTAATGAGCATTGACCCCTTTTGACCATTAGGGAGTGGGAGGGGTGGTAACTTTAATCACAAGAAACTTGGACAGGTTCAGTTAATGACAGATCAAGCTAAATCAGTCACCAATCTCAAAGAATACTTAATTATGAATATCTTCAAGATCTGCCCTATTGTGTCTTATTTGAAGACTTGTTAGTCCTTAGTCCCTCAGTCTGCTTGGATAATTGAGGTGATATACTTCAGGAATCATGTTAGTCACTCCGTGTTGCACCTTCTAGGGATGCTAAGTCTTTCTGGAGGTAGAGTTTCCATGCCTGTCCCGGGCTTGGTAAGCTTGGCTGTCTCCACACGTTTTCAGGATGCCTTTACCAATCTTCCTATATCTTGCATCTTTCCAGGGACTACAGTTTTTAATTTCATTCATCATTCCCTTCTGTGCCTTCCTTTGACCCATTAATATCTCTACCATTATCCCCTCATTCCTAATACACTACAGTAATTTCATATTTCTCTTCTATAGATTTCTGGTATTTATGTCATTGCTCTAGGGTTCCCTCTATTGGGATGATTACTTTTATTGCTCAACTGTGTAATCCTGTCAATTTATGTATAGACTGATACATTCTTTTTCCTTCAGATTAGAAAGAAGCGGTTGGCACGCCTTGGGGCAGGTTCCAGCAACAGCAATAATGGGGACACTTCCCAAATACTTGTTCCGCAGTCCCCGGTAAGAGTGAATTTACGGTAGTTGCTCCTTAATCTTTAGGCACTTCACCAAAGGGAGTTTGATATTTTCTGTCGCTTACCTCTCTTTTCCCAGTTGTGTGGAGAATAGGTAAAGAAAAGAGAAATAAAAAAATACAGTACAGTAGGGTCAGGATATATCGCAAGATAGGGTCCAACTGTGTTCGCTATATACTAAATCGCGATATATAATTACATGTAATCAATGGGGAAAATAGAGTTAGGTTCTGGGGGCCTAAAAAAGTGACTAAACTTGACTTAACCAGTTCATTTTCTTATTAACTAAAGCACCAATGAACACTAGACTCAGGAACAACGGGCTATTTCAATATCAAGGAACACCAGACTCGGCAGCTGACACACCATCCTGGAAACACCAGACTCGGCAGCTGACGCACCATCCTGGGAACACCAGACTCGGCAGCTGACGCACCATCCTGGGACCTCGGCAGCTGACGCACCATCCTGGGAACACCAGACTCGGCAGCTGACGCACCATCCTGGGAACACCAGACTCGGCAGCTGACGCACCATCCTGGGAACACCAGATTCGGCAGCTGACGCACCATCCTGGGAACACCAGATTCGGCAGCAGACGCACCATCCTGGGAACACCAGACTCGGCAGCAGACGCACCATCCTGGGAACACCAGACTCGGCAGCTGACGCACCATCCTGGGAACACCAGACTCGGCAGCTGACGCACCATCCCGGGAACACCAGATTCGGCAGCAGACGCCACACTGCCACCCTCACTTGACAATCCCACACCTACATAAACGAACACCAATAAATTAGTTATAGTATTAAATAATTTCCATTAAGCTTTCCATTATCCTCACTTTACTTTTCATGTCACTAGCAACCCATTTACACTCACCTTAGAAGTCGTAATCTGTGGCAGAGTCGGCTGCTTTTTTGTCACTCACTCAGAAAGACTGAGCGGGCGAGCGTGAATGCTTGAGTGAGCAGCCACGGTGGCGCCTCTGGTGAGCAAATAACGCATTTGTTTGCCATGGTGGTGCATTTGAAATATTTCCTGCCCGATTTCCCTCGTGAAATAAACAAATTTTTTCGCTATACCGGTATATAGGAAATTTTCGATAATTTTGGTAGCCGCGAAAAAAATATCGTCATATAATGTCGCAATATATCCCGACCCTACTGTACAGGTATATATACATGGAAAATGGTATAGGAGACTCATGTTAGAAAAGTGTTGAAAGTGACAAGAAAAGGCTGAAAATGTACAACACTTCAGTATTATTAAGATATTATGTACAGTATAATGTAAATTTATTTAGATAAATTTATTTTACATGCCAAAATTATTAAGATATAATTTACAACACTTAAAATTAGGATTAGATGTATATCAAATAAATGTTGAAATGAGAAATTGATGAAATCTGTTAATTAACTATTTAAAGAGTTCAGAGAACTAGAAAAGTAACATTGTTAAATGGTATGAATGTGAAAGTAGAGAGAAAGATTAAAGCAAGTAGGAAGATGAGGAGTTTTAGGCAGTTTTTTGTAATGAAGTTTGTTCCCTGCAAACATTTTATCTTTCATCTAAGTACACATACATACAGTATAAAAGGAGAATTAGAAAGCATGTGTAAGGTACAATAATAACAATAGACTATTTGTAGCAGGATCAGATCCCTACCTTTAGTTTGCATTACTTAAAACAAAAAAGAGGTGAGTTTACATGCCATAAAAAAATACTGTGGAGAAAAAACCAGGCTGCATTTATGGATTTTCAGATGAGATGTTTGAGTGATCAAATGGCATTATGAGTAGGTGATAAATATTTATAGAGCTACAGGAAATGAAATTGATGCAGTAAAGGCATTGTGTATACAGTGTACACTAGAGGAATAAGGCCTGCTTTAGACAAAATGGAGGATTAAATGAGAGCTTTAAGTTGAAAGTAAGAGTGAGGCAGGGATGTGTGATATCTCTGTGGGTGCTGAACTTATTTATGGATGGAGTGGGAAGGGAAATGATGGCTGGGGTGACTGAGGGAAGTGTGAATTTGGAGCTGGAAGATGGAGTGTGTTCACTGGCAACATGTCTCTGCGAAGATATAATGCTTTTTGTGAAAAGTGAATTGTGTGATAAAAGTATATTGCAAGTAAATTATTTGGAAAAAAGAATATGGAGTAATATGATGGATTTTGGTGACTCATATTGAGCTCATAATTTGAGTAGTAAATGAAATTGTAAATTTATGATAAAGAATGAGTCACTGGATAATGATAAAGATTTCAACTCTTTGGAAGTGATGTTTGTTTAGAATAGTGTGATGGAAAGTGAAACTAGGCTGAGAACAATGGATAGAAGGCAGGTGAATAGGAAGTATCATTAAAGTAGAAAATGTAAACCTGGTCTTGGGATGGAGCAGAATGTTCTTCACTTCAAGCCACATAGAGTAGATGAGTTATATGAAGTTACCAGAATGGAAGGGGTAAGAAATGTTGAAGCGTATGAAGCATTTGGAATGGTTGAGAAAGCACAGGGTGTAAATTGTGCAGTCGTGGTATGGGTTGACCGAGATGGTATGGACTTGTGGGAAGGATTCAAGAGTAAAGATGGTATGGCAGGTGTGTTGGGTAAATGGGGAATGTCTACACCATAGTTGAGAAAGGTGAAACAATACATTAAGGGGAAAATGGGGGGAAGGGATAAGGGGAATAGGAAGACTGAAGATGTGCTGGGATAGGGCAGCCTGAAGGCTTTTTTGTAAGTTAGCCAGGGGGTGAGACATCATCAATAAGAGGAATGCACAGCATACCCAAATTATTATAAAGATACAGTGTACAAGACACCAAAGTTGTTAAAAAGATGTACAGTAAGTTTAACAAGAGTGGGTGGGTCTCTCCAGCAGAGTCTTCAGTTGTCCACGTCTCCACCGGCATCTGCTCTTCTGCCTTCACCCTCCAAGAGGCAGCCACCACCCTCACCACTAGATATTACACCATGTAAGAAAGGTAGGCCAAATATTGTGATTAGTCCAAGAACTGGTGTAGTAAATAGAGTCTGTAGTCACCATTTTTATTTATTTTTTGTAGATCGGAAGAAAGGAATAGTGACTTTTAAATTATCTTTGGCAAATTTACAATTTCTCTTCATCTGTTAATCATCCTTGTTTTACTGTTTTGTTGTTCTTGTCTGTCAACTCCTCCTCCCATATATAGATACAGTATCTCAAGAATGCACCAATAAATTATCTTCTGTTATTGTTTGCTTTGTGATTGTTTAGGAAAGTTAAATATAACAAAGTGCCCTTTGAAGGGTGAAATAACTAGCTACCAATTAATATACATTCAAGTTTATCCCTCCTAATACTGTACAATGATGTGATGTCACGGTTTTCAGTATGATTAGCTCAAATAGCGGCATCTGGCAATTACATCTTAAGGGTGGTAGAGAGTCTGATTTTCCAGCATAACCAGATCCCTTAAGATTCATTACCAAATTGAGTGTTTCTTTTCCCATTTTTTTTACATACAGTAAAATATTTTTTTTTTCTTAAGGAAAATAACCTTATAGCTTACCTTTATATAACTGAAGTGTAGATAAAATTGTTTAGACTGAATCGGCAACAAAATCATCACCAAATTCACTTCTTTTGATCATATATGTTAACTGAATTTTTTCAGTGTTAATACAGTACCAAATAATTTCCATTTAATACCAAATGGATATTTCCTTGCCACATTTGCACAAATTTGGTAATGAAAAACACCAGTGTGGGGTGGGACCTTTGGAGCCTAGAGAGTCGGAATGACTAGTCGGCTGGAGCCACTGGGAGATTTTTTTTTTTTTTTTTTTATACGGGCATTAGCTCACCCAGGCATGGGGAGCGAAAATATAATAATAATAATAATAATAATAATAAACTAATAATAATAAAGAACCAAAAATAAAAAAAAGATCAAGAGTGAGAAATGATATACAGTACAGTACTGTATGTATTTTGTGTTGGCAAAGTAAGAGAAACAATTGAGACCCTTCAATTGTGTTTAAATGAAGTGAGTCAGATCAGCAACCTTTGACTTGGTCACAATTTTCGTGATGCCATATGGCAGCAGGGTCTATCATTAGACAACACATTAGGCTTCCAATATCTTCCCAGGTGGTAGTACCTCCCTGTTTGGTAGCTGCCTACTACCTACAGGGTGATACCAAAAATCTTGCTGCCTAACCTTTTATAGCATTTCTTCTTAGTTTTCCAGGTAAACAGCTTTCAGAAGGGTAGTAAAAGAGCTATACACTGTATCACAGTCCCATCTTTGAAAAAAAGGAGATTTGTGCAGAAAAAAAGATAACCAAGCTGATATGATATAATAACACAAGCCGCCAATAAAACACTTTCTTCTAGGTGTAGAATATTCTGCCTATGAGTTATTTCATAGAAGTTGTTTTACTTTAAAAACAATAAAAAAGATGTTTGTTGCTTTAAAATTATTAATTGATTACCATAATGTTTCATAGAAGTTTAGCCAAGTTTGACTTTCTTCCTGAAATATAGCCTTAGGTAGTGTGTCGCCAGGGATGTAATTACCACAATCAATCAGTCAATCATAAGATTATCAACTGAATATTTTAAAATGTTTAAAGAAATATTTACAATTATATTTACATATATTGCGATACTTTTTCTGACAACTTCGACACTAATTTCATTATTTATAAACACCTTTTATCAAATTATAACACGTTGAGTCTGAACTATGGCTTCCTGGACTACAGTTGTTCAGACTCGAGGTGACTTACTGTATGTTGTGAGCGAATGACTTAATGGTGGCCTGTGCTGTCACACGATGTACCCAATCATGCTGCCATCAATTGAGGTCAGGGGAAACTGCTTTTGCATCAGCTGATTGACTGTCTCCAGTTAATATTTACTTATTAAATCTTTATAGACTTATTTAGTGAAATATACAGTACTAAAAATATTTAATGCTTCACCAAGAAATGAAGCATTAAAGATATATATTACTGTTTCTACCCTTGATGTCACACACAGCCTCAAGTTAAGAAGCCTGAAAATTATCAGAGTTCTGAGCTGTTGTGTAGTAATAATCTACCAGAGAATGTGTTACAGTAAGAGTTATGAACTGTTGTACAATAATAACCTACCAGAGAATGTGTTACAGTAAGAGTTGTGAACTGTTGTACAATAATAACCTACCATAGAATGTTGTTACAGTAAGAGTTGGTAATTGTTGTAATAATGTGCATTAGCACAAATTGTAGTAATGTAGTATGGTTGCCAAATGAAGGCCCATTGCACCTATAATGTTGAAAGTGCATTCCCTTTTTCAAAACATTCAATCACTTTCATTTTTACTGAAATAGATTATCCATGTCTCGTTACTTTTTGGTCCTCGAGCATTTATGTTGATGAAGGTTAATAAAAAAAATCAAGAAACAACCGAGAATAGCCTGTTACTACAGTATGTGTGTGACCCAGGCAACTAGCCAACGGTTGGTGTGATGAAGCCCGACATATTGTGGCTCGTGTTAAACTTTGAATGTTTTTGTGCTAAGTAAACTGTTTCCCTAATTGGTTCCTCATGCTAATTCAAATTTTCTGTTGTATGACCTTGTTTTAGGTGGGGATTACCCGAAGGTTTTCTCTCCAGGCTTAGTTATAAATTTAGTTACAGGGGGTCCCTGACGTATGAATGTCCGACTTACAAACGCCCTCTGATACCAACGAGGTTAAACTTTAAATTTACACTATTTTATTTATCTGATGACTTAGTTTTACTTTCGTTTACTGTATTTTGTAATTTGTTTCTTCTTTTGTCTTTAAATAAGGGATTTTAGATGTATGTAAGGATTTAGACTGTGATATTGTGGGATTTTAAACATTGTTTTGAAAGTACAGTATGCACATAGCATGTGTTCCGACTTACGTACGTCCTCAGGAATGGAACCCGTTTGTAACCTGGGGACCCCCTGAATAAATTTGCATTATGGGTCATTCCCTCACATCCAGTTGATCCTATGTTCAGGTGGTCTGGATAGTCTCCTTTCTTGGAACTAAATTCAGAATGCCAGATTATTCAGAAATTAGATGACTGACAGTGCATGCTGATTAAGCAGGCACAGCTCTAATGAGACCTCCTGCCTCCAGAAGGCAAATGTTGCACCATGTTCCCCTCATGTAGAGTGGATGGTGTGATGGGGAGGGAATGACTTGTTTTGTGAAAGCAACTTGGCTACTCTCTGTTGGAAAATTTCAGAATTAGTTTTCCATTTTTCTACATTGACTAAAATTTTTACTTGCAAAAGCTATTGTATTCTAATTTTGTTGATTTTGTTACAGGTATTGAGCCCATGGAGGTGGACAGCAAAGATGAGCTTACTGCAGATATAGAGAATAGTTCTCACTATCGTAGTGATAATAAAAGGCACAGGGTAAGGAGCTTCTTAGTGTTCTATAAAACAATTAGCATCTAACTCTTTTGGAGTAAGCACCAATTATGAGGTTGAGTTCTACTTAAACATTGGCCAACGTCTCTAGGGATGATGTCCAATATAGATGGATGCTTCGTGTTCCCTGCATTCTAGTTTTCTGTACAATAGGACCTCAGATATCCAGAATGCATGGGGAATTAAGTTTGCCGAATAATATTTTTTTCCTGGTGCTTGAGTTAATCTTATAAGTGTGCATCTCAATCTCAAGATCATCATCATAGTAAATATTATAAAAGGAATAAAAGGACATTTAGTATATTATAAAAGGAATAAAAACACATAGTATATTATAAAAGGACATAGTAAATATATTATAAAAGGGCATGCTGGGTGGATGAGATGATTGTGTTTACACTGGCACAAACATTCATGTAATGGTGGCACCCAGTGTGTTTAGCCAGCATAGAGGATGGAACCACGGGTGAAGCGGTACCAAATTCAAACCTATTTTCTTGATTTTTTAAATGTGATTGGACAAGGCTTACTGGAAATTGACTCCGCCAAAAATATGCTCGTTGCTTGAGAGTTCTGGATAATTAAATGCTGGATATCTGAGGTTATACTGTATATATGGGTGGTTTAGAGAATTCTTACATGCCACTTAAGGGTTAACAGAGTGACTGTTAAGGAAAGTGCAGATATAGACAAAAGTTTGCAACCCACTGCATTCCTTTGGTAAAAAATCCCTTTATTATTCTTATGATAAAAGATCAATTCCTCTAATTAACTCTCTTGGAATCGTCTGAAATTTATTTAATAAGCTCGTCACTCGCTCTGCAGAATGACTAGAAATTGTGGGAAGATATTGTTTTCCCAAGCGCTATTTGTGGCTAAGATACAGTATTTATTTAAATGCTGCTGCCTTATGTAAAAAGGGCTGGGAAATCATTTGAAACCCTCAAAAATAATTTAAAATAATAAATCAAAGCCATTTTGTCGAGTATAATTGAAAAATGAGAGTTTACTGTTGATTCCACTTTGTGCTGTACACATAGCATTACATCAGTCAGTATAAAATGCACATGGCAAGAAAGAGTAAATCATGAGGAAGACAATAATTTAAACAAATAACGGAGTTCCCGACTAAAACATAAAAGTGAGTGGTGGTGAGGTGCGCAGTTGCTGAAATGTTTATATAAAAAATTTTTTGCTGTTTTATTTTTTATTTTATACAGTATATTTTTTTAATCTTTTGAAAGCACAGTACAGCAATATCTCTGTTCACCGGAATCCCCCTTAACCAGAACTCTCCAATAGCCGGAATTAAAATATTCTTGGCTCCAAAAGCCGAAATTTTCTTGAAAAGTCCGGCTTTGGGAACGATTTTCTGAGGGGCACATTTTCTGGAAAATTCCGAGACATTTTTCCTAGTACCCAGAAAATTCTGAGATGGGGGATTTTTTATTTCTTTTTCGAGTTTGAGAGATGAAAATCAGGCTTTTTTTCCAGAAATTCCGAGAAAATTTTTCTGGTACCCAGAAAATTCTGGGGATGCAGGATTTTTTTCCCGCTTTGAGAGATGAAAGCATCATTCCGGAAAATTCTAAGAAAAATTCTGGGGATTGGGGATTACATTCCAGGTTTGAGAGATGAAGTTATGTGCAAATCTTGAACTAACAGAAAATTCCAGGGATGGGGGATTTTTTCCGGCTTTGAGAGAGTCGTCTCGTTACCCAGAAATCAATCATTCCCGGAAGTGCTCTGCACCAATTGTTCCGGATAAAGGAGATTTCACTGTATTTTTTATGATGGATTATTACTGTACACACACAGTACTAAGGAAGAGAAATATACCAGTAGAAGTTTCTGTGACATAAATTGAAATTTTGGCAATAATTTTTACACTTACCACTCAGACGAGGTAGGCCCTGGCTTATGCACGACAATGGCGATGCTATAATGAATCGTATCAAATAAGCACAATAGTCATTATAATTCACCATACCCATGTCATGCCTCTACTGCACAATCACCTGTTATTTTTCCAAGCTTGGCCTATACTGTACATTACGACATGCTTTTGTTTGGTACATGTGACTATTTTGCGTAGTCATTTCACCAACGTCTCATAAATTAAAATATATTTCACCGTTTTATTATAAATATTTCAATACACATCACTTTATCACCTGATACAAATAAATATCGAGGTTGTAACTGATAAATATTTGGAGATAATGTCGACTTGGCCACGTGGCTATTGCACCAATGTCTCAAAAATTAAAAAATATTTCAATATTTCATTATAACTATTTCAATACACACTTACCTCTCGCTTACTGAGCCAGGCACAAAACTAATTTGTCTGGAGGCTGCATGATCTACCGCACATAGAAGGGTTGCCACCGAGCCTTAAAACTTAATTCCATGCAGGAGAGTGGTGTTAAAATTTGAAGTAATTCAACAAAGAGCTTTTAGAGAAAGTGAACTACCGTATACGCCATGGTGGCATGTCTGATTTTGAGGCAAAAGTTTCATTTACGTTAAATCAAAATATCACTTATGAGAGTGATCCCGAGTGTGTGAATGTAATAATTCTGCCAATAATGTATGGGGTACTCTGCGTATTATTTATAATTCTAGTTCTCTCGTTTAATGAATTTGTATTTATTTGATTTACAGAGTGTAAGTACAAGTGAGGTGACTGAGGAGATGATGTGGGCAACACTATCCAATCTTCTTCATTGTTCATGGCAAGGTGTTGATAATATCTGTTCAGTCACTGTTCAGGTAAGGTTTGTGAATTATTACAGTAGGTCTTGGCAATGTTTAGGTAATGAATTTGGGGAACTAAGGATTGAATAAGACCGCCGAACCCCCTATATGGGCATATTTCGGTAAAATACACTTAAAAAACACTTGTCATCTTATAAATTGGTTAATCAATATAAGAAAAATACCAGAAGAATGTACATACAGTACATTCAACTTTCCTTGTAGCATAGTTGGAGAGTTGTCTGGATTGTTAAAGAGCAATATGAAGTGATGAAAGATGTTTAGTTTGAAGCTGCTGCACACAGCCCACAGTGAACAGGAAGTGATGTTGATATACAACACACACTTTTTACCTGAAGGCACTTTTATATCATATTTCTATTTTATAGCTGCTACAAAACACAGTAGGAATATTCTGGCAGCATAAAACTTATTACTATTTTCAAATATACAGTAAAACCTCACAAAGGTGGACTAATTGGGGGGAAGGGGTGTCTGGGATAAGAGGTTGTCCACCTTAGAGCAAATTTTTCCCCAAAATGAGTACAACACCAATGTATCCAATTTTTTCTTAAAGAAATACATGTTTTTTAATCAAAATGAATGAAAAAAAGTAATGTTCAAGAAAGAATGTAAATTTTACTGCTTGTGAAAGTTAAAGTCATGAATGGTAAATTCAGTAAAGGTGATTGAATTATTGTTTTGATATTTTGTGTCCTACAGACCTGCTGCACAGGACATTGGCTCATTAAAGCTTTCTTTACTTAATATGCCATCTCAAATTTCTGCATACTTCTGTGATGCTGTTTTGTCAAACTCAGTGTTTACTTCTGATACTGAAATGAGCTTTTAGTCATTTGTTAATAATCCATTCTCTTTAGCTATATGATTAACCCACCTCAGTATTGTTTTTGCTCATAAGATTAAAGTATCATCATAAATGTAAAATTTAATGATCATTCGTATTAAGTAATGTGTTCTTTGGCCATTTATTTTGTCATTAATTATAGATAGTACTGTATATCTTCCCTAACAGGTAACACCTGGTGCAAAAATGAATGAAGTAATATCACAGGTGTTGATGGACATTACATTACAAATATGTGCTGGTGAGGTGTTGGATGGGTTAGTGGACCCCAACATTAACCTTTCACAGTCACCAGAACTCAGTGCATCGCCTACAGGTAATGCTTTATGTCTTGATGTAGAGGGTAAAAGGAATGAGAGAAGGTAACTTAGATTTTGGTTTAAGATTTTATGTAAAGGGGCTTTAAGGATTCAAAGAAGTTTGTACTGTACTGTACTGTATATATGTTTTGTAGATTTTGAAAATAATTTAAGACAAAACAAAGCAACATGGATTTTTGGGGGAATATGGGCACCAATATGTAATATATGTATGTATTAATATTCCAAGAAATCTTTACTGGCATTATGGTTGGACAGGGAGTTAAGTGATATCTCAACATTATGTGATATCTATTCAGAGCATTCACCCTAAGTCAGGCAGCTCTTGTAATACTGAGCAACTTACCAGGGGTCCTTAAGTCTATCAGATATATAAATTTGCATGAATTCAGTGGTTATCTTGGGGAACAGTGGGGAGTATCTGGTTGGAGATTCAACTATGCAGTTCATTTACTCAGATCACACCCTAATTACGTGGGAAGATTATAATCTAAGCCTCAGGTCACTGCCAATTTCAGGACTTCACTCAAGGGAGGAGGGTTAGAATTAAGGTCCTTTGCTTGTCTCCATGGCCCTAAAATGAAATTTATGAGAGACCTAAACCAGCTCAGCAGAAATGGAAGGTGGTAAACATATGCTTAGAAAACATCTAGCAAGCATAATCCCCAAAGGGCTGTATGTGTTCTAGAGCCAAACATACAGTACTCATATGCTCTCTGGTTTGAGAACCAAGTACTCTCCTGTATATCGCCAAAGCGGAAGTGAAGTTTCTCGATCGTGTGCACTGACTGCACACTTAAGTTTGTGATATCATTAAATTTAATGATTGAATGACAATGTGTCCTCTGAAAGGCAATATAAATTGATAAGTGATCCATAGTCCAGGCAGACTTGCCTAGTATACTATGGATGAGACAGATGGAGCTACTTTGATTTAATTGATTAATAAGACCCAGGTACAGGTACTCCTCGACCACCCGGACATACAACCCCCTCGGTCGGACCAAAATTTTTTCAAATTACGTATTTTCGAGTCCCGATGTTAGTGATTGCACCTTGTACTGACAAAATTTTCGTTTGTAATTCACTTTAAAATGTCTGGCAAGCTTAAAAGTGAGAGTTTTGTGGTGCTGAGAAGAAAAAGAGACACCCATTTTAGATTTTCTATGCATTTTTGCATTTTTGACTTGCGACCAATTCGACTTACGACCCGGATTTGGGTCCCCAACCCCATCATAAGTCGGGGACTGCCCTTATGATAAAACTTGAAACTGTGATACATGCAAGACAACTATCCCTGAAGTGCTAGAAATAGGTGGACACTTAACTTGTACTGTACATAGGGGGTAAATAAAGCAGGTGTGACTGTACTTGTTGCTTCTCAGCTTGGATCTAGATGGATGGTGAATTAGTCCTGGAGTAGTGGTGGATGTATCTGGGTAAAGGTCAACTTTTGCATCTAATGTCCCTCCTTTGAGGCCAGTGGATATAATGGGGAGGTATGGGTGAAAAGGAAATCAGACTCCAGCTGCTAAGGGGTTGAGGCAGGATGAACTATACCATGTATATTCCCTGTACATCATTTTTAAAAAGGGATGCAAATTGGAGTCCTTGAAACATATAAGTTAAATAATTTTTTGTCTGAAGCAGCTTGGATGTTTGGGAGAAAACTGTATTTCTTGCCTTGCACAGCACTGTAATCTTCCCGTTAGCTGGAATCTCCGGTTGGAACTTTCCAATAACCAGAAAATTTTTTGAGTATTCCGGGAAATTCCAGGAAAACTCTCTCCATTCTGGGCATGGGAACGAGTTTCCAAGGATTAAATCATGTGCATTTTCTGGAAAAATTCTGAGAAAATCTCTTCGTTTTAGGAATAGGAAAAAATTTGCCGAGAGTTCCAAGAGATTGCATCATGCTCAGGCACGTCCCCACATGCTGGGCACATGGGTGGGCTAGCTGCTTGGGTAGGTAGGGTTGTGGACCTACACGCTTAGTTCATATTCTATTCTGCTACCATTGTACAACGTTGTTCCCTCACTCTGCTGTTTTTGCATACAATTTGTGTTGTGCAGTACTGTACATTACTGAATTAGGACACAATTGGCCAAGAATACACAGTTAAAGAAGTGTTAAGACATAAAAAGTGATTACAGTAAGGTGTAATCTACTGTACTACAGTAAAGCCTCAAATAATGACGGTAATGTGTCCTCCAATATTGCAGTGTAAGGTGAATCATCGTAGTATTGTGAGTCATTAATTACCATTAAAATAAAGCAATAATAATTAGATGCGTTCCCCAGTGTGACCTTTTTTTATCTTTTGTGTGGCTTTTTACCCTCTTTTCCTCCCAAACAATAAAATTAATGAAAAATGCAAACTATAATCTTTAAATAATGTTTATGAATGCACTTTATACAGTATAAATCAATAATAATGTCAGTTATCCATCTGAAACTGAAGAAAATAACACCCTGGTTGTTGTAGTAGTAAAATTAATGTAAACAAATATGTATGATTTAATTAATGTTATTTAATGTACAGTAAAGGTAACCACTGATGTTAAAGAAAAAAAAAGCGAGATTGATAGTGGAACGCCAACGTACAGTATATGTGCGCCCTCGAGGGAACCGCGTCATTTATCTTGTTAAGAATATCTATAAAAGATTCATTATTGCTTATTACTGAATATGTATTTGATTGAATTGATGTTTATATATGCAAAATGAACAATGCAATTCATTAATAATATGTTGAATATGAAAACACACATGACGAGACGAGTCGGCATTGTTTTCGTTAATGTTTACAACACCAGTGACGATGATTCTACATTAGAAACTGGAATAAAATTATTGTAAAAAAAGAATGTGTGTGTTTTAAGTACAGGTAATGTTATTTAATGTTAATAAATGGAACAATAGAAGTAGCTAACCATTAATGGTAAAGAAAAAACGAAAAGGATTGGGAACACCAACTTAGGTAAGTGCGTACATGTGAAAACATCACCATTTCTCTACATAAGAATATGAAAGCAACACTTATTACTGTTCATATATGTTTTAAATAATACTTACTAATGTAAAACCAAAATTCTACTCACCGATGGTGGTAAAGTCTAAAACATAGGACAGCCAATGAATGTTGTTGTGTGAGTGTTTACTTCGTCATCAGGTTCAAATCTGGCTGAAGCTGTAGCTTTCCATAAAGATGTCATAGCTGTTGCTGAAACTGATTCTGAACCCGAAGCTGCTTATGATGCTGAATTTGATGGTGTAACTGAAGTTGATGGTTTAGGCCTTTGAATAATAAAGCTGTCGAACGAACCTTGCACAGCTGCTTTTTTTTCTCATACATCTTTATGTAGAGGTCATATGCATTTTTCATGTCCCAGTTAATTTTAATGCTTCGTTCTGTTAATGGATCCACTTCAGAAAATATGTTCATTGCTTGCTCCATATAATATCCACAAACCTCTCACCCTTTTCACATCGTTTTAACACATCTAGTTTCTCAGCTAAGCTATAAACTTTCTTTTAACTTTTGAACCAGCACTACCATCACTTGTTCTCTTGCTCATGTTGAATAGGGACGCAACAATGCTGTATGAAACCTGAGAATTTTTTCTACTTTTCCTGTTCGGATGCATGAAAACAAAAGGACCGCCATCTGCGACTGTTTATACTAGTGATGCTGGCGTCCCCACTCACAAGCCCGGCATCCTCCGTGCGCAGGGTTTTTTTTTTTTTTTTTGTGCATATCAGGATTTAGTTATTATTTTTATGAAAATGTAATATTATTTATTTTTTTATTCTATTTTCGTCGTAAATACGAAGAAAATAATGGCATAAATTGAATTGTGTTAAATATGAATCGTTGTTAGTAGAACCGTCGTTATTGGAGGCTTTCCTGTACTGTGCATTCAGTAAGTGTGAAAGTTCTGTACATACATTACTGAACATAGCAGAGTGTATGCCAACTGTGTGTAGAGGTGTATGTATAGTTTACAGTGCTGCATGTACAGTAGCTAAAACAATTATCTGTGCAGGAGGGGGTCGATATGCTCCCAAATTTTACGTGTGACTAGTGACGCCCCTCGTATACCAAAATTTATCGTCCGTGGTCTCGTATTATTTCCCACAGAGTATGCACAGATAGTTGTTTTAGCTACTGTACAATCCCTCCATCATGGAAGGAGAGGAGAGTGACAGTAGATGGTACAGGAAAAAGACAGGCCATCCTGTATCATCATATCACTGTTTGGCTTGCCTGCATCACAAGCCCAAAATGACAGCATCTGCTGGGGAGTACAGTATCATGTACTGTATATAGTAGTGTATTTTGTTTATTTACAATATATTGTATGTGTACAGTGGCGTTTGTGTAAATAAATACAGGTTTGTGTCTGTCCATGCTAGATGCGAAGTTTAGACTCATGGAAAACTCCTTAGTACAGGGTGGAAAATTCCACCGTTTCAGCTGTCATACAGCTCTGTTCACTCCCAGCATCCACAAATGACCTCCATTTGGTGACCCGTATCATATAGATTTTTTTTTAATATATATTTATTTGAACAAACTTTTAGATAAACTATTTGGGATTATTTAAGTAGAAAAATTATATTTCTAACTCGATTAGAACTGATTTTATAGACTGGTATATTTTTGTTTACTTTTGTCATAAAAAATTGAATTTGTATTGTTGAAATATTTATTTAAGGATCATTTATTGTAAAAGTCTTGTAGATAATTTGTTCAGATCATTATGCTGCTACAAAATTAATCTCTCGACCACAATTAGAGCAGATGCTGTAGATATAAATTTATATGTACACTTTTTTGATAGCCTAAAATATTTTCACTGGTGACCGCAGCCAAAATGTTATGGGCGAATGTTTGATCGTGTGAGATGCGTCGTTTAGACTCGGAAAACTTTCCCAAGTACGTCCTCAGAAAAATTCCAAGGACGAGAAAATTTTTCTTAATACTGTACAGTACAGTACCTGGAAATCTCTCATTCCCGGAAGAGCTCCTCGCCAATTATTGCAGCTAATGGGGATATCACTTGTACAGTTCTGTACTGCTGAAATTACATTTTATTTTATTTTTCAGGTAGTAGCAGTACAACAGATTTATCAGAATTAACAAAACCCAGCCAAAGACCAGAAGCCACAGCTCTCCTGTATCTTCTGCAAACTTATGCACGTGCTAACAATGAAGAGAAATCTCATCCTAAGGTAGGTTATAGAATTGCTAATTTTGTATATACAGCTTGCCCTTCAAATTTGTGAATGTTTATTTTGTGGACCTCGATTATTCACGGATGACACCCTGGATGTACCCAAGAATGTCTAAGGGTAGTTTTAAAGTTGCTGGCATTTTTGCGGCCGGGACAAGGAGCCATTCATTCTACAGACAGTAAATTCCTCTACCTGTTTTGTGTGTGTGTGTGCGTGCGTAGGTAAAAGAAATAATTGTCCTAAGGGCAAACACATAAAGGGAATATACATTTCTTTGTACATGAGTAAGAATGTAACCCCCCCGTTAGCAAATTTTATTCACGATTTGGCGATTCACGGCCATTTTGAGAACCTAACCCCTGCGAATTTGAAGAGCATGCTGTATGTATTTATATTTATTAAATTTACAAGGATAAGGGAGAAATGGAATATTCACCCTGAAGTCCCCTATTCAAATATAAAATGGGTTTTTAACCCATCCTTGATCCGTAACAGATTTATGTCCATGATTGGTCTTCTGTGAGCTGCCTATAATGTAGATACACTATATGAGTTTGTATTTTAAAGTTCCCGTGGCATTTGAAATGGCTCAGAATGATTAATATAGGCAAAATATGACACGGCATCCTCTTGAGATGTGGCATGGGTGTGAGGCCTCCCCTTTTTGTAGGCCTCGGTATCATTTTCACAATGCCAAAGCGTTCACCTTACAAAATGATTCCCTAATTTCATAATATCTTTTTTCAGCCATCACCTGAAAAAAAATGTGGTGAATACACACAGAGTGATAGTGACGATGGCAGTGACCAATATCATGATGTAACAAATGAGGTTTTCTTTCCTTTTCTATTATTTATTGCTATTTCTCTTTATTCTTTTCTTAATTCTGTTATGCCTTTTACTTAATCTTAATTATTTTCTATTCTTTGTTCCTTATACTGAAGAGAGGGAGGAGAGGTGAGTGCAGGAGGGGGATGGCAGAAGGAGGATAGTGGTTTGCACCCCCCTTTGTAGTCAAGCCCCACACTGAGGGGAAAGGAGGAGGCCTACAGTCACTACCCACTACATAGCATGAAAGCATTTATGATACAGTTTTTATACCATCAGGTTCATACTCAGTGGGTTGATTGACTGATTAATTTGGGTAATTACATCCCCGGCGACGCAGCAGCTTAGGTCATGTGTCACCGAATTAAAATAAAGGGCTTGAAAGACTAAAATAAAATAATGCAAGTTAATACACAATAAATATCATAGAACTTTCATAAAAACCATTTAAATGTTATCAAATAAAACTCAAAACTTATGTAGAAGGCCGGCTTCTTTCACAAAGGAAAGGACGACCCTTCCCATTGTACCCAAAGAGAGACGGTAAGACTCGTCTCCACTGGGAGAGGTGCTTACAATGAAGTTCTCTGAGACTGGGGCACTCCACCAGGAGGTTTTTCAACAGTCAGTGGGACCAGGCAGTCATCACAATGGGGAGGGGCACCCTCTCCATTAAAAAAAACATGTCGGCCATGTGTGGCCAATGTAGAGGTGGGCCAAAGCAGTCTCCTGGCAGTGACAGTCCCTGATATCCCCAGGCACCCTATGCAGGGTGGATGTTGCAGAGCTCGTTTGCTCGTACGGCATCCCACTTGCATTTCCGACTCGAGCAGATGACGTGTTTATTACTGATTTCATGTCAGAGGCAGGTTGAGGGGAATGATGTGCCACAGGGCGAGAAGCAGCTGCCTTCGCCACAGCATCAGTACGCTCGTTCCTCCTCTTTCCCATATGGGCCAGGAGCTGCTTTCTTGGCCACCGGATGAATACCCAGGTATACTTCCCTGGGGTCACCATTGTCTTTATCTCTGGCATTGACCTCCCCTTGTTGGGGGTGGGGGAGTGAAGTAATTTAGAGTGTGTATGGAAGAAACAAATTCAAATAACTAGCTAGATACTTCCCCTTGCGACCCTGCATCCATACCTGGACCTTCTTCTAGATAATGAATTGCTACATTGCAGCCCTATCAGGTTGGCAAAAGTGGCTCTGGGTCCTGACAAATACCCAAGTATAAGAGCCACAGGAAGCCCACTGGCATGCTCCATGATGCTTCTACCCGCAAGATCTTACCAGGTGTGTTCAAGCATGTTTATTTTGCAAAATATCTGGTTCTCCATACCATGGAAGGCAAGCCTGTAATGGACCTGGACATTTTTGATGTTCACAAGTCAATAGTAACAATTTGTGTTAACTGTGGTAAGGCCCATGAGGGTCAGAAATGTCTGTGTCTGGGCTGCTGTTTTCACTGTAGTGAGGTGCCCCCAGCCTTTTCTTGTGAATGTGACTGGTTTTGAATCGAGAAAGAGATACTAAAGATCCGCTTGAGAGACAAAGTGAGCTTTGCTGAAGCCAGAAGCACAGCACTAAAATATGTCTCAAGGCATGGGAATTCCTATGCACAGGTTCTATCCTGACACAAGGCTTGAACTGTTGCTGTGACACCACCTCAAGAATTATCTCTACCTGTAATGAATTCAGCTCCCACACCTGACTCTATGCCACCAATCCTCAGTCCTCAGACTTCTCTCGTAGTGTCTGAGATCGACATGGATGAGGCAGGCACATCTGCAATTCCTCTTCTTTCCTTCACCTGCCATCCTGATGCTCCAAAAAATGTCAGCAAAATGCTACCAAAGGTCCTCAGAGTCTCTGGAGGTAGACGATCCTCCGTCCAAGGCCTCGATGGTGGAATCGTCAAACTGTTGCGAAGGAAGAGAGACTTCTTGCTAAATTCAGAACCCAATTCTGAGTCCTAGACACTCCAACAGATGTCAGCTCATGCTGGCACTTCCTCCCCAGAGATGCCAACTGATTCTCTTTTGGACGCCTTTGATGAAGAGGCTCCAGATAAAATTGAGCTGGTACTGAGACTCCTGGCACAGGGGTCACCTCTATGAATCTTCCATCTGGGGAGCCATCTCCAGGGGTTAACTCTAGTGTGGGTCCATTGAATGGGTCTATATCTGGGTTGTCTGTAGAAACAAAGGCTCATGCCCACACAAGTTGTCCCCCCCCCTTAACAGGGGAACTGGAGGAGGTGCATGTCTTGGTACACACTCGGTGCATCCTCCAGGCTCCAACACCCAAACTTAAGACTAAGCCTAAATGCCAGTTGGGGGCCGCACACTTGCGTTTCCCTACTTAGATCCCCAATAATCATGGCTACCAAAGTCCGATGGAATTGTTGAGGCTTATGAGCCAATTGGGAGGAGCTCTATTTGCTGCTGAGCAAATTCTCCGGTATATGCATTTGTCTCCAGGAGACAATGTCAGGAGCCTATGATCATGCCCCTCCCAAAGGCTTTATATTCTCTTCAAAATCCAGACCAAACGCATTCCGATCTACAGATCTATGGTCAGCTTGTGCGGTGTGTCACAGAGACCCGCTTCCTGGGTATTATTTTTGACAACCGGGTTACGTGGCAGCCACATATTCGTTAATTCAAAGAGTCTTGCCAGTGTACTCTCAAGTTATTGAGAGACTTGGGGCACACGCCGTGGGGTGTTGACTGCGGAACTCGGCTACACTTTTACCACCTGTTAGTTAGACCCAAACTGGATTATGGGTGTGAGGTGTATTCATTGCACTGAACTCTATTTATCATGCTGGGGTGCGCCTGGTGACCAGTGCCTTTAGGTCCTCACCAATCCCTAAGTCTACTGTTGGATGCTGATGAGCCTTCAACACCAGTATCTCCAGGTCCAGTGCTGTTTTTGCCTACATCACCTTCCGCAGTCTGTAACCAACACCACACACAGCAGCCAACCTGTAGGCTTCTGGGTAAGGGAGGTTATGTGTCTTCTTTGTCTTCCTCCTATTCAGTTATGCCCTATGCTGTTCCCTAGTGCTGCTCAGTGGATTCTCCCTAAAGTTTGTCAGTACAGTACAGGTATTTTAACAAAAGGAAGGTCTTACTCCCTCCCTGTGTTGTTCCTTTTCTTTTTTTAGAACATGCCTTCTCTCACAGAGGCACCACCCTTGTTTACACCGACGGCTCTAAGTCGGATGCAGGGGTGGGTTTTGGGGTGGTCTTTCCCGATTTCTGTCTGGACGGTAGTCTCCCCATTATGGCATCCATTTTTATGACAGAGCTTTTGGGTATATTACTTGCTCTTAAGATTTGTTTTTACCCAACCTCATAGCGATTTTACAATTTCTAGCAATTCTCGTAGTGCTCTCCAGGCCTTACCTCGTGTCTTACCGCCTCATCCACTAGCTATAGATATTTTACAGTGGCTGTTGCTCATCTAATGTTGGGGCCGGAAAGCCAGTTTTTGCCGGATTCCAGTCCATGTGGGAGAAAAGGGGAATGAGCGTGCTGATGCTGTGGCGAAAGCAGCTGCTGCTCTCACTGTGGCACATCATTCCCCTCATCCTGCCTCTGATATAAAGCCAGTAATAAGAGCTGCCATCTGCTCGAGTTGGCAATGCAGGTGAGATGCTGTTGGAGCAAACAAACTCCATTACAACCATCCTGCATTGATCACCCAGGGATATCAAGGAATGTTGTGCCGCCGGGAGACTGCTTTGGCCTGCCTCCATATCAGCCACTCACGACTGACTCGTGGTTTTATAATGGACAGGGCACCCCTTCCCCATTGTGATGATCGCCTGGTCAACTCACAAGAATATCTCAGGAAACTCAACAAAAGAAACAATTGTCATGTTCTAACACCAATTATTTATATCAAACAAATCCAATTCATGTTAAGACTAAATTTTTGGTAGGGGTGATCGATCGGTTAAGGCACGTAAGACGATGCTTTATGAAACAAACCACCGCTAGATCCACTATATGTAACAAATGAGGTTTTCTTTCCCTTTATTTCTATTATTTCTCACAACAGTCTCTCTCCGACTTACGGCGACCCGGACTCACGACGGTCATTGTCGTTATATTATATTAAAATATTTTACATTATTTTCGAGTTCATACGTTTGGTCATAATGTCTAACGACGCCTTACGACAACTTCGTCCGGCACGCTTCCGCATGTGTATGGGCATCCACGTTGTATCCCGCTCAGTGGAGGAGAGACTGTACTGTATTTCTCTTATTTTTAAATTTTTTTCTGTAATTCCTTTTTCTTAATCATAACTCTTCCCTTCTTTGTTCTTTGTACTAGAGAGAGGGAGAGGAGGTGAGTGAGGAAGGCATGTGTCTGAGGGAGGGTTAGCCCCCCCCCCCCTCTTGTGGTCAACCAAAATGAAATAATAATAATTCCTTTAAAACCAGCTAATAATGTAAGTTTGTATACCGCGTGCAAGGGGGATGAGCTGCCATAATTATTGCTATGATAAACATTAAAATCGATACATAACATATCTTGAAAGACAATAGCACATACTTTATGTACAAAAAATAGCTCATTCCACGCTCAAACCATCGTCTGGATGATGCGACCCACTTCAGCCGGGCAGTCAACCAGCTGACTCATAGACGTGTGGCTGCCACTCTACACCGTGTGTATGCCATGACGTCATATCGTGAAGGAGCACAGCCGCGCAGTTATTGCCCACCACCTCCACACACATACACGCCCATGTTCTTAATTTTTCTTAATTTCTAAACCAGATTAAATTATTGTAGTGATTTTCCACAACTTTCATAGTTTCATTACAAGTAGCACTATACACCTAGACCCCGACTTACGACTATGTGGACTTACGACCGTCGGGACTTACGACCGCCTCAGATATAGATAAAAAAATTTTTTTTTTTTTTTTTTTTTTTTTTTTAAATGACACACGCATTTTCTATACCGAAACGTTTCCAGTTAATGTAGTCTCCATGTATAATTAGAAAATTATGGGGGCCCCATGTGCATTCAGCTGACTACATTAAAGGTTAAGTGCTCAGTCACACTGTATCCATTCATCATTATTCATTACTTTTACTGTACTGTATTTCATTGTAGATTTTTTTTTTATCTATGTCGGACTTACGACCATGTTGGACTTACGACCTGGATTTGGGTCCCTAACCCCGTCGTAAGTCGGGGTCTAGGTGTACAAGGCTGACGAGTCAGCAACATAGTTTATAGCCAAGGCCTTGGCTATAATCACCTCCACACACGTTCACTTCTAACACCTACACACACATTCTCTTCATTTTTCTTATTTTATAGTTTTATATTATATTTTCATTATTTCTAAGACACAAATTTGAGAGGTCAACCTGATGAGAAATATAACAAAAAAGTTATCAAGATCATATTATTTATTGTTCTATATACCTGTGTATTTTTTTATTATTTTAATTTTAAGACAAAATAATGGAAGCGAGACTCGATGGGGCTTGTTTTACGAGGAATGAGGATATGAGTTGTGACACTGCTGTTGGTACCTGTCCTTGTCCATGTAACTCCTAAACACAGGTGTCCTCAGATGGCCAAATTTCTTCCAGTAATCATAAAGAACTGGTTTATGGGCATGGGGAATAAATTTGGTGAGCACCTTGTGCACGTACTGGTGATGCTCTCGTACCCAGTAATATAAGAGTTTGAAGCTAAATGTGAATGTAGCACCTGAGACTGAGAGTGTGACAAGGTATAAGAAGTATGATTAAGTGTATATTTATCCCTTATTATCACTTACAGAGAAGCAGCTCCCCTCCCATGTTGACGTTACTGGTGGAAGTACGGCGTCAGTGTGTTGCTCACTCCAGTTTGCTTCTCTCAGGTGGGTGACCCAAGATTGCATTAATTGTATACAGTAGAAGAACTGCAGAGTTGTAAAGTAACTTAATAAATTTACTTGAGTACTGTACTCAAGTAACATTTTTGGGTATTTACTTTTTAAAAAATACTATTTTTTTTTATACTTTTATTTAAGTAACTTACGTATCTCACATATTATAGAAATTAACACAACTCTTTACCTTAACTCTGACAAGATAAACTCATACACTCACTGTATTATGTCAGCGTGTTACCAAATTATACTTTATATAACCAAAAAAATCTGATATTGTGAAAATTTATCTGGTCTAAAAATACTTTTCTCATATAGTACAGTATCAGGGGTAGAAATTCACCATTTTTTCATAGTCGCCAGTGGGACTAATAGATTTGAAAATTTACTAGTCCTTATAAATTTTTACTGGCCCTTAAACAATTTGTCAAGAAACATTAAACATTGGCACTTACCGGGTTTATACAAAGTTCTATTTACTGTGTGACATTTATTTACTAGTAGAAACCATGTTAAATCATAAACCAACACCGGAATAATCACATATTAACTCAATTCATTGCATGGAGCACATATTTGCTGTGTGATATTTATTTAGTAGTAGAAATCATAAACCAACACTGTAATAGCTAAATTAATTGCATGGAGCACATATTTGCTGTGTGATATTTATTTAGTAGTAGAAATCTTAAACCAACACTGTAATAACTAAATTAATTGCATGGAGCACATATTTGCTGTGTGATATTTATTTAGTAGTAGAAATTGTAAACCAACACTAGAATAATCACATATTAACTAAATTAATTTGCATGGAGCACAGATTTTTCATTGCATTTGAACAAGCATTTCCTGTACATACTCCTCGTTCAACTCATTGCTGTCGTCCAGATCTTCCACTGTGCTGCAGCCAGCAGTGTGAGTGTAGCCATCCACACGGCTGGCCCCAGTTGTTAGGAATCTGGCAATGGCTTTGTCCGGATTGAAGTTGCCAACACTCTCTGTTTGCAACTAAACCATCATGGGATCCGTCAGGTGGTCATCAGTGAGAGGACTGCACCAGTCTGGCTTAATGAGTTTAACCTGGCTAAAACTACGTTTAGCATCAGCCGAACTAGCTTGAATGGAAAGCAGTAGGTCAACCAGATGGAGAAATGAGGCACACCGTTCTCCGTATGATTGGTTGATTTTTTGCCAAGACAGTCTTGAAATAAGTGATGTCTTCCTCTTGTAAATGTAACTTTTGAGCACAGTCCATTCATCCTCTACCAAAGTAGGATTCACCTCTGCCTCCATCAGTGTTTTCTCAAGAGCCTGGGCCAACGCTTGCACGGCGCTATCCCCGAAATCTTCATTCCCACTGTACTCTGCAGGCCACAATTTGAAATTTAGAATCCATGCGTTCTGGAGAATCGTACTGGCCATGTCAATAAATCTTTTGTTTAGACTTGAAATCAGTGGTGTCAGCATATCACGCCTTGCAGTCTTGAAAGTGTTGCTTCTACCACTCGGCTTCTTTCCTTGGTCGTGTCACCTTCTATAATCCTTCTCAGGCTGGGTCCTGGCCAAGTCAAATATTTGTTAAGTACATCAACTGCAGTCTGAATTTCATTCACGATAGCAGAAATATTGGTTTAACTATGCTGGAACAGCTCTGATAAGCCCCCAAGGCACCGCACCACATCCAGTAGGAGGTGAAGGTACTGGACTATGTCAACACAAGGAGCAGGTAGTTCTTAGCTTTTCTGGATGAATCCTTGTGGTACACAGGATCATCAGGGTTCTGTATCTGCTGCATGTGGAGTACAACAGCCTTGTAACTCTTCAGTAGATGCTCCAATGCCTGCAGCATATGCCAGAGCCACCTTGTACCACCCACACGTGTTGGAACCAGAAATGGCACCTGACATATGTCATGAGCATGCTTCAACATGCTCCTGTTGAGAGAACTTTTTCATAGAACAGGTATATGCCTAGCAGCAGTAAGTCAACCTTTTTGGCTAGTGGAACATCCTTTACTGCATCCTTGTAAGCAATTTCAATTTTATGTGCAGTGCAATGGATGCCTTCCAACTCCGGTTTCTCTAGATCTGTTCTCAATCGAGCTACTAAACCATTTCTGCACCCATTCATAATGCTGACTCCATCTGTACCAATGCCAACTAGCTTCTGCTTCCAAGTTTCGCCATCGCATGAATTCATCGTAGAGCAAACACATTTCTTGATAGATACAGCATCACCTCTCTCAATATTTTTTACAGCAACAAAGTTTACCTAGCATTAATAGTGTATTCTCTATATGAAGCTCTTATACACATTGAGTGTGGCTTACCACTGTCATCGGTCCACTCACCCATCGGGCGATCCCAGACCAGCAAAATTGTAAAATCTTGTCACCCTTATGATATTTTGGTCACCTCGGGCGACCGGGCATATGTGAATTTCTACCCCTGCAGTATACCGAACAGAGTTCAGTACAGTATTGGATAAATTTTTAAGATTTGTTTTATACTGAAAACTTTCCTATACTAGACCGAACTTGCTGCTCACCAAGGATATCGGTATAGAGAGATAATAGTGTGCAGGTACAGTACATTTATTTTACCTTATTCCTCATTGGAGTTGATAACTGTTGGGAATTAATTTTCAGAGTTGGTAACACCGTTCATAGCATCAGCTGTTGTGTTGGTGGGCACGACCAAGACACGTTGGTGTGAATCTGGTGTCTTGCTATAAATAGTGTCTCAGGCTTTTTTACCAAAAAATTGGGGATCGAACTATATATGAAACCTGCTTATACACAAGTACAGGTATACTGTATACGGTCATTGAATTTTACACAAAGATTTTGTAGCATATTCAATCCCATGTTGACTGTGTGATACCCTGTATCATTATTCTGCTATAAAAAGACCTGTAAGTTTTATTACTTTTATATCCACTTTGTTTAGTCTAAGTGTATAATTGTAACCTACTTTAGTACTTAAAACATTAGAATTGACCCTTTTCAGACTTTGTGTTATGTACAGAATTTATTTTTATTAAGTTTGAAATTTGAATTTTGTGTAATTTACAGGTTATCTAACAAAGTGTGCAGTTCCTGCCCCATCCCTGCTACTCCATCCCCTGCTAACAGAGTCTCTGCCACGTGGGTTCTTGTGTGATCTTATACATCACACCTCAGAAAGTCAAGCTGTATTTACCAAGGTATGGTGTTCCTTGCTGTTGTTAGTGGGATTTAAATTCAGTACTGTACTGTACAGTAAGCTTTATCATCATTATTATCTGGCTTAACACCATCTGTGTGATGGCTTCTTGTAATTGGGGACAACTTATTAGGGTCCCCTTGAGCTCTTTGGCTGGGCTTCTAGGGTTTGTCAAACTTGGTGCTTAATGGACGAGTAGTCGGTCGGAATTTTTTCGTAAGATGGCAGGTTAATGGTTAAATATATCGCTTAAATTCACTATGGTAATAATATTTTTTCATAAATTGCGCCAAAAAGTGTAAAAAATGGAAGGGTTAAAGTTGCTAAAAGGTCACGTGACTGCGAAAAGCCCTGTGATTGGTTGTGATGTCACAGACTGGCTCGAGCCACCGAGAAGGAGCCTGGAGGCAGCCAGCTGTGGTGTATGTGTTGTTACCAGCAGAAATACAGGACTTGTGGCCATAGACAATGTTCAAGGAAAGGACAGAGAGTCGTCGGTGCGTCGTGCCAATGTGCAAGAGTACCGACAAATCCTCACCAGGCAAAATATTCATCACATTACCGAAAGATAAGAAGATAAGAAAGAGATGGTGGTTTGCTGCTCGATGACATTTCCCCATGTTGTGAAGATCATTTTGATGTGAGTACAGTGACCCCTCTGTTAACGAACTCAATCCATTCCAGAAGGTCGTTCGTTAACCGAAAAGTTCGTTAACCGAAACCATTGTTTCAATGGGTTTTTGGGTAATTGGTTCCAGCTCACCGAAAATTTCTTAAATTCAACAAAAATGGTAGAAAAGTTCACTTACTTTGAGGTGTGTATGTAGAAGGCTCCTGGATGATGATGATGATGATGGGAATTAGAATGAGGGTGGAGGAGAAGGAAGAAGAGAAGGCATTGGGGTGGAAGAGAAGTCAGCCCATGGCACCATTTCACCTATAAAACTTTAGCTCTCTTGGTGTAATTCAAGATTATTTTCTTTAAATCAACACTGCACTGCATTATATATTGTCAATATGTAAAATATATTTCAAAAGGACCAATAATTTGCTTGGAAACACAGAAAAAAAGCGTTTAGTTGAAGAGAGTCTCAAGCAAGATGTTACCTCCAGTGAAAACAGAGAGAGACTAACTCCTGTTTGCTGTGTTAAGAGGCTGGATGCCGCGCATTAAACTAGTCACTTTACCTTCAATTATGTTCAATAATTGTTAAAATGACTAAAAAATTGAATATTAAACTTTTAAAATTATTGAATAGTATAAACTTCTTGATATTTACTAAAATAGTAAGGAATTTAAGCCCTAGAACCGATTAATGTATTGGCGGACTGATACTAAAGCTGGTTGCCCGGTCAGTGCAAGCGAAAACATGTTGAGGTCGGTTCGTAAGAACTTCGTTAACCGAATTTTTTTCGTTAACCGAATTGAAGATCCTTATGGAAGGCAGTTCGTTAATCGAAATTTCGTTAACCAAGGTGTTCGTTAAACGAGGGGTCACTGTATTAAGTTGATATACACAGGCATACCTTATTTTTAGGTTAAAATAAATTACTGCTCAAGCATCATCGTGTGTATTTACTTGCTGGCTGCCAAAATGATGCAAAAGACCGATAACTCGAACATGGAAGTTTTCACCACTGTTCTCTATTTCATGTCTGGAAAATATAAGTTTTTGTCATTAATGTCAATATTTAATGTTGTAGAAGGACTACGGTAGGAATGACCATGGCCAGGGGATGGGCTTGAGATGATCACATGGCACATGTAATTTAACATACAGTACTTCATAGCTGGTTGGCGGAGTTCTTGATAATACTCTACTACCATAAAGACATCTACTTTTGGTAAATTTCTTTCATCTGCCTTGATGAACCCTGGATGAACATTATCGTTGTCCAACCTTCTCGGCTGATCGGCTCTGTAAATAAATATTATTAGATAATTATTTGTGCTTTACTGTGCAACGCAGTAATACTATTTTGAATACAGCATATAAATACAGTATAACGTCGATATAACACGAAATAGGTTCCAAGAGAGGTCGCTTTAAACCGAATTCGCACTAAATCGAAGTGTTGTTTCAATGGAATAATTTAGTTTGGTACTTGAGAGAAACACAAAATACTAAAAAAACTGAGTCTACCCAGATGCACCTCAGTCCATCTCCTAGAATAAACAAAACATTGTTTTTTGTAGTCCTATGTTAAAACAAACACTCATAAATCAACACAGCTAAAATTATGGTGTGTGAAATGGTCTGTTTACTGGCTGGGAAGATGGGGGGGGGAGGGTGGGAGGTGATATGTTTGACAGTTGATGCCAAGGTCTAGTGCTTATTTATTTATCTGTCCTTAAGAGTGACTAAGTTTTTCTCTTATAAAATGTCAATGAACTGACCTGGGGGAATATAATTAACATTGCTGGAATTCTTATAAGATTGTGATTAGTTTAAATATGTACATGCTATAGTTTGCATTAGACATACAAATTTTAGTTCTAATTAATTTTATTACAAAGGGCTACATTTTTCATGTATTGTGCAAAATACATGACGTTTATATTCAAATTATTCGCTGTTTTGCAAGGATTCTAGCAATGTAATTTATATTCTCCTAACTTTAGTTTGTGATATTATATAAGATAAAAACTGTAAGCCTATAACCACCAAACCCTGGCTGGGAAGATGGGGGAGAGGGAGGGAGGGGGTGGAGGGGAGGTGACAGTGACTTGTTTGACAGTTGGGGCCGAAGGTCTATTGAAGTATTTATTTGTTTATTTATGTCCTTTAGATTGAGTTTTTGTTTTTTGTTTATAAAATGTCAGAAGTGACCGGGGAGAATATAATTTACATTGCTGGAATTCTTATAAGATGGTGATTAATTTGAATATAATCATGCTATAGTTTGCACTAGACAAAAGTTTTAGTAATCATTTAGTACATTATTTTGAGTACATGTACAGTACAGCTTTGCCCAGAGAAACATTGGGCGCGAAATTTAAAATATGATGCGCCAGATTGACTCGCACAAAATAGGAAAGATTCGCTTTAAATTAAAATATTGTTCTTAATTATGGGTGTTGCTTTAAATCGATAATCTTAAATAAAATCTCTTTAATCGACATTTTACTGTATTGTTAATTACATCAACTAATTCAATGGATATTAGCTGCCCATACTGCAAATTTCATTGTACAGTATAAACATTACAAACAATATTGGTATTATTTTGGTTTTGGTCATCTGGGGAACCTTACAATTCTAACTATGGGATTAAGTACTTTAAACAAAAAGTCACATTATATCTACAGGATTTCTGTCGCAAAACATTTTTCGATCGCATAAGAAAATACAGGTCATAGGTTAGCTTAGGTTAGGTTAGGGTATGATGAGTTATATTATAAGTTATAAGATTAGCTTAACTTACACAGGTAAGGGGGAGGGGGGGGGGAAACTCGAAACTAGTGAGTTCCGATAGAAATGAAGGTCTAAATCATTCATAACACAACGCAAGCCATCAGAAACATAGTCTGCATGTCTTAAGTACAGGGATGACCAAAAGTTAAAATTTACCCATTGTAGCCTACCTCGAATCTATACATCAAAATACTTATGGTATTTAAAGTAAAGATTTACTCATTAATTTATATAAATGATGATATATCCCAGTGGTTCATCAGTGAATCATTAAAACAATAACAGCACTATGTTGTCATGTTAACCTACCATCAGGCATTCTCAAAACAAAGTCCAGACAATGTCATGACTTCTAAATTTACTCGTATCTCCATCTAGTACTGATATACTCTGTAAATGCACTGAAAAAAAAAGAGAAAGTCTACCAGGTAAGAATACATGACAGCTGAGCTGGTATGAACATGGAAGTTTTTTTATGTCCATAAGAACATAAGAATGGAGGAAATTGCATGGGCCTATTGGCCCATACTGGGCAGTCCCATTTACACCCAACCCCTATTGCTCATATTGTATATCCATCCAACCTACGTTTGAAGCAGCTCTTCACGACACATTTCTTCACTTACGAAATGTCCATGACTTTGGCTATAAAAAAAAAACCTTAAAACTTTCCTCAATGTGGCATTTGGGGTCAAAAGAGGCCATCCTTTGTACTACCTCCGACTGCAGCGGTGAGTTTGTTGGAGAGCGTCGTCTGCAGGGAAGGTGGTGATGTCATTGCAAATGGCGGCCCTGTTTCTAGAGAAATAAACTTATCTTGACTATTATAGCAGGACTTTAAGCTTTTATTACAAATTATATATACCGTATCACTACGAATATGGCAGAGTGTATTTCTTGTGTTTACCCAGAACCGTCAACTCGTCCATTTTTATCTTATGATTACAAAAGAACGAAGCAAATTGAAAAAAGTTTAGTAATGTGCCTGAGAACAATATCTGAGGTGAATAGGATGCCAGTACAGATATTAATGAAGGAAAGCCTTATGTAAGCTAGGAAGGCTTTGACCAAGAGCCAACAAGAATTTGCTATAGTGAAGACAACAATAAGAGATGGCATACCTCATCCCCAGTTGTGTTTTTGTCACTGGAGTGGAAAACCTCCACAGTTATGATTTAATTTGACTGTTTACTCACATTTTTATTTTATGAACTGACACGGGTCCTACAAAGAATCTCTTAATGAAATTTTGAGAGTTTTAGTCGACTCATTTTAAATGATCTTTACTTATCAAGGTAAATTTTTTATATGGCACCCTGAGTGGTCTCTACTGTTAATTTCTTTAGTTGCCCTCCCTTCCCTCCCCAGTGGGAGCTGCCTTGCCGCGGTGAGTCCCAGTGATCCGGTGAGCTGTTCCAGAGGGTGCTTGGGCCCCCCTTCCCTTCCTCCTCAGTGGGAGGGGAAGGGTTTCCCTAAATGGGTGGGTCACTAGGGAGGGGCCACACAAAATGGCTCCTATCCTGCTGCTGGTTTTGACACCAGACCGGCAGCATCTTCCCCCGCCCAGACCGCCGGGGCTAGAATACTCGCCCACATTTTTACCATGTGTGGTGGCCCATAATGCTGGGAGACGGTAGTCCCAATGGTTGAGCGACACTGCGCTCTGCAACTCGCAACACGCTTATTTGATCCCCTATTCCAGCTAGATGGGCGACTTGGTTGGGCCTGATCAAATCAATCAGCTGGTCACAATGTGGCTACCGGTAGGGGGCCTGGCACTCCTATGGTCTAGGAACTGTCATCCTGGTCCCCTGGGGTCACCAGGGTCTTATCTCTGGCATTGACCTTCCTTTGTCGGGCTCTGTGGTTGGAGAGTGACACTGATTATCAGCTCGTCAGAGCCAAAATCTCACTTCACATCGCCCCAAAACGGTGAAAACAACAAGCCTCCAGAAGAGGTTTTAACACTATGCATCTGGAGGATCCAGCGGTAGCACATGCTTTCAGAGAGCAGCTCGAATATAGGCTGATAAATAACCCGGCAACAAACAACCCAAATCCCAGTGCCGAATGGGGTATTCTCAACGCTGTCATGACAAAAACCTGCAGAAAAACTCTCAGCCAGATCGAAAGAATGCACCAGGACTGGTTTGATGAAAATGACTTTAATTGACTGGCAGAACAACCCTCAGTTTTGGATCAAAGCTGATACCTCCTACAAGAAGAAAGCGGCGGCCCAGCGGGATTTTGCAATCTAAAGAACGAATGGTTTAAAAATAAAGCATGTGAAACTCAAAACTTGCAGATCACCACAACATGTGTGAATTTTTCAGTTCCACTAAAACATTTTATGGGCCAGTCACTCATGGTGCAGCCCCCCTTCGCTCATCTGATGGTAACTCTTTAATTAAAGACGAAAAAGGCATCCTTCAGCGCTGGAAAGAGCACTACCATTCGCTGCTCAACCGAAACACTGATGTAGATGTCCTGACTACCCAGCAGGTCCCTCAGCACCCAGAACTGACACACCTCAGCTATCCTCCATCCCTGGATGAGGTAGCTACTGCCATCAAACAGATGAAAAATAACAAAGCCCCAGGGCCTTATGGAATCCCAGCCGAGGTGTATAATGCAGGGGGACCTCTGCTTACCAGCTGTCTCCACTCTCTCCTGGAGAATATATGGGAAAAGGACGAAATCCCCCAAGCTCTTAAAGATACCTCCATTGTTAATATTTATAAGAACAAGGGAGACTAGTCAGACTGGCAACTACCATGGGATCTCGCTGCTGTATGTAGGTGGCAAGATTACCTCCCGAATCCTCCTAAACATACTCCTTCTTGAGGCAGAAAACTTCCTTCCAGAATCTCAATGCGGCTTTTGATCATCACGTGGCACCACTCACATGATTTTTGCTGCCCGCCAGATGCAGTAAAATGCAGAGAACAGCGTTGTGACCTGTACATGGCCTTCATTGACCTTACGAAGGCCTTCGACTCGGTCAACAGGGAAGCTCTCTGGCGGACCCTCAGCTGTTTTAGCTGCCCACCAAAATTCATCACCATTGTGAGACAACTCCACAATGGCATGAATGGCAGTGTCTTGTACAATGGCACCCAGCCTGAGTTCTTCCCCATCCAAACGGGGGTTAAACAAGGGTGTGTACTGGCACCAATTCTCTTTTCCATTTTCTTGGCTGCCTTCCCTACTCATGCCAGTGCCAATTTAGCCAGCGGGGTGGACATCGAGTACCGGATGAAGGGTCTTTTCAACATAAGATGACTCCAGGCAAGAACAAAGGTGTCGGCAGCTTCCATTACTGAACTTCAGTATGCAGACGACCTCACCCTTGTCGTTCACACTGAATGCGACTTTAGGAGATCCTGAACACCTACGCAGATGGGTATGCACACTTCGGCCTTAAGGTGAATGTACGTAAGACTCGGATTCTCTTTCAGCCTCTTGAGTCACCTCAGAGCTCACCAACGAAGGTAACATCCTTAATAACTCGTATCATTGTATCATAGCTAGATGATCATCATGCTCGATTCTGAGTGATAGTAAATTGGTGTTAGTGGTAGTTATATTTGGATGATTTTTGTAAAGAAGGACCACCAAAACAAAATATTGTACATCCAAAAACACTGTTTACAGTACGCTGTATGATTGGGTGTGTATTGCTGCTCTTGGGGTGGGGCCACCTTATGTCCCGTGAGACAGTGCTTGTAAGTGAGAAACAAGGTGTAGAACTAATTGTTACTTATGAGTTTTGTAAGGATAGATTTTCTTATAGTGATGTTTCCATCCCTCTAGGTATTTGGACCACTTCTACAGGGTTTAAGTTCAGCCATGAGAAGCTGTAGCGTCACGTCCCGCACATACACCAGAGTCTTTGAATCACTGGATATGCTCACAGAGATTAAGGTCATCAACTCCTCATCCCGACCAATCTGCAGTCTAATGGTCTCCATGGTGAGTTGTGTTATGGTGATGGTAATACTCAGTAAGACTGTTATCAGTCACCTGCATAATGTTTTAACCCATTAAGCATCACTGCTGTTTGAAGATAGTAGGACAGCATTGTCACTGCAGCATCACCACTGTTTATAAATGCTGCTCTATTTATGAATTCCCTTGTTCACTAATGACATCTTATAGCCTAAATAAGTGAAAACAGGACCAGTGGCAACTCTCCCTGGCAGGTGTGGGTGTGTGGTGGGGGGGGGACAGAGCTGGCCTCCCTGCCCTATCCCATATTTATCCCTCCCTTGTTCATTGACACAGACACACTAGCATACCACACAACATATTTATATCATATCTAACTAACAAAAAAAATCATATTGTATCAGTGATGTGAAGTAGAATGTGAAAAGGGACTAATGGATTAATGACAACAAATATTGCTGTCTTGGGTGTGTTGGGGTGAGGGACAGAGCTGTGTGTAGGCCTGCCACACCACAGATTTAGAGCAAGTCAGTCAGAAATGATAAGAAAGTCCACAGTACCAGCTGCACAATGTTTACTGCTACAAACATAGTCATTTTCATTCTGGTCAATATCATAACCAGAGACATTTACTGTTAATACAAAAAAAGCGTAAATATATTTCTAATAAAGTAAATGGTAATTCAGTTGAGTCAGTTATAGATGAGTTTTCTCCAGATAGATTTCCAATGTATGTATGTGTGCAATTTTATGCTTACATGTAGGCTATGTATGAGTCGGACCTTTATCTAACCTGACCCAGTTGCCTAGCCTCCCTGCCTTATCTCATATTTATTCCTCCCTCGTTCACTGTCTCCTTGACACACAAAACTATCATGACACACTACGTAGCTTAGAGGTCTCAACAACTTTTATTCAAGTGTGTTTGCATTACCATATATTTCTTTTGTCTCAAACTTACAAAGAACTTGGTATTGTTTTGGTGACGTAAGGCAGTGTGGTTATTTTTTTTATCAAGTTTTTACATAAATAATTTGTTATATTTTCTTGAGAAGTCAAATAAACCAATAGAAATAAATATAATTAATGTAATCAGGTGGAAAATGACAAAGGTAATCTAATTTATTGAAAGAAAACTAAAATATAGTATTGTTTATGTTCACCCAGGCAGGCCAGACAGTTGGAGACGCAGTGTTGCTGTCACGTGGTCCTTGTTATTCTATATAAAAACATTCGTCATGACAAAATGAATTAGTAAAGCCTTATATTTTTTATTTATTACATTGTTGTCCAGGACTGTGTTGAGTTTGTGAGAAATGAGAGGAAAGAAATAAAATGTTTATGAATGCAAAATAGAGACAAATTATTTTACATTCCTATTTGGCCCAATTGCCTGAGAGACCTGGGGAAAATGGCTGAGACACCCGGTCACATGTAGTGGATGTTTACATGCCCAGAGTGCAAAGTTATGCAATTTGTTTTTGTCTTGACAACAAAATATTCAATTTAAATCCCCCCCCCCCCTAAAGGTCTTGGTGGATGCTTTGTGAGTTGAAAGTTTTCTTTATTCTTCTCTCCATCACCGAAATAGCACGTTTATCTGTTGTTTCAGTTTACTATTTCAGTAAAAAATAAATAAATAAAAATGTTAACCCTTAGGGCCCGGGTGACGTTACAGAACGTCCGCCTATTTTCCTTTTTTTTTTTTTTTTTTGAAAAGTTGATTTTTTTCTATTTAACCCGCTGGGGAGGTACTGCCAGCAGCACCCTAACCTGGGGCTTAAGGGTTAATAATATAGGTAATTCAATTTGATCATGTTTGTTATCCATGAAAATAATTTTCACTCCATTGAACACAGATATCATATGACAAAAAAACTCCAGCCTGTCTTTTGAACATAAAATGACTGCATGTCTTTGTGTGAAATTGCTTTTTCATACACCCTTGGTATTAATGTAGATGTGCAGTAGGCTATAGTACTCACTGTGTTTCAGGATATGAAGTATCAATCTGTGATCTGTGGACAATTGTCATGATGAGGAAAAATTTTACATATTTCTTACTGTCTGAATGGTTGACTGAGTATCCAAGGGTTGGGGTAGTCTGTGAATAATATAAAATGTTTTGAGTGTTAGCAATAACCATAATAATAGCTGACAGTTTAGTATGCAGAATTTAAAAATTTTGGCCCTGTTTTTCAGAGTAACTGGTGTCCAAAAAGTGAATCTCAAACAGTTGGTCGGGAGATTCTCTTTGCCACTCTCCTTGGACCATTCCTCGGGCTCTCACTTTTTGCAGAGGATGATCCCCGTGTGGTGGACAAATTTGTTAAACATCAGAGCAATGGCCGAACAGTACCTGATGGCTTGCAGGATCTAGCGAGAGAACTAGATCACATGCGCACTGTAAGTAACTATTGATCTGCATTGCTTTATCATAAATTATCATAGTAAGTACAGTAAAGGTATTTTAAAGTTAAATAATAAACACTTCCCTAAAATGAAGTGGTTTCTCTTTGTTATTGTACATGAAGGAAGGTGATATATGAGTCTGTGTGTGTGTATATGCAAAGTATCTGAAATACTATGTGGTAACAGAGTTTTTTGAATCTTGATTGGTGGGTTTTCTGTTGACCAAGGGAGGACTGGAGTAATTTTAAAAGGCAGTAGGTCACAGTTGTGTTGTTGATGTGAACTAGTGCTTAGATGATCTCCTGTCCTAGGCGATTGCGGCCAACGCATCACCAAAAACCAAATAGTGTACATTATTAATGGAAACATTACTTTACATTTATCTGATACAGTATTAGTATTGGATAAAGTTTTTATTGTTGAGGTAAACATTGGTGGTAAAGCCAGGTGGCCTTCTGTATAACACTAGCCTTTTTTGTGTCATCGGTGTAGTTAATGATATTTTCTCTTTCACACCAAATTATTTCAAGTGGATGAGATTAGATGCAAAGGTTGTCCCAAAAGGCCCTCAAGAGCTGAAGCTGTCCAGCTATCACTTAATCCTTATTTACGGGGTCCCCTCTGAGCTGAAGAAAATCGTTTGGCGTTAGCCATATAAAATATTAAAAGTGGCGTCTCCATAGCGAAGGGGTTCGTGCACTAATGCTACAGCCCTCCCACCATTTATCGGCCTGTATAGATTTATAAGTTACATTGAAATCCAGGGATTACATTTTCAGGTACAATTGGAGTTGGAGTGTCAAATTGTTATACATTTATATAAGGAAACAAAGGCAAACAACAGTAATGTTAAGAATGTATGAATTAATGGTGCCAGGCAGTAACAGAGGCACTGTTGAACTTGCTGCTAATCTCTTGGTTATCTTTAGTTTATCATGAGTACTTAAACTAACATGCTTTATTTTCCTTATACTTTACCTAGATGCCATTGTAACAGCTTAAGGGACACAGTTGCCCGAGGAGGTGGGAAACATAAACAGAGTTGACGATTGTTTGTGGGAATATTATTTCATTCACTCTAGTAATGATACAATGTTTCTTATTATGTTATCATAGGTAAATGCTTGGTTAATATACAGTAATTTGTTTATCACTACACTAGTACTGTACTTTTGGTGTTTTTTATATAATTTATTATTCGGCGGAAAATTCAGTCAATCGACTTTTCTGGACAGGTGGTCCCTTCTTTTAGTCCGGATCTTCGAGGATTCACTGTATACAGGTTCTGTATACAGGATATAGGTATTCCAAGTCCGAAAATATCCCAAATCCTCTACACCATAGGCCCCAAGCATTTCGGATTAAGATTACCCAACGTGTATTGGAATTAGTTAATTTTACCTCCACTCCTCCCTGTCAAGCGCTATAGTGCGGTGTCCTTCAGGACTCATTTTTCTTAAAACTCAGGTTGAAGCACGACGACCCTCTTCAACGGAAGAGTATGTTTAAAACTCTGATCCCGGAGAAGGAGGCGCGGATGGAAGTACCTCCCCCAGCTATATGCTCTTACACTCACTGCATCGTTTCTTTTTCCCCAAGCCAAGCGCGTTAAGTTAAATGCGCTTAAGCTGCGATACGACTGCATGTATTTCAGTAGGAAATATGGGGTATGTGACCACAGTCCTATAATAAACACCAAGAAACTCCTTTAAGGCACCACTTTTTCTCACTTCAACACGAATTCCATCATTTCAAAACACACTTTAATGAATTATAACTCATCTTGAGTCTGAACAAATGCTTCATGGGCTGCAGTTGTTCAGTGTTGGCGATGGAGCAATAGATGTCGGGTTGTGAATCATGGGTGATCTGTGTAGGAACTGCTGGCCAGTTCTATGCATTTGTGTGTTTGTATATGTGTACACATGTGTGCATAAGTATGTATTCACTGATAGTTTTTAAGTATCCAAGGTGAAAGTTTGAAGTTAAAGCTCAAAATCCAAATTTTTATATTTCAGACAATACTCCACAAACTCTTCCACAGTATTTTGGTAAATACAAATTCCCGGGAACCGGTTCTGTTATATCTCGCCAAAGTTATCCGCTACAATGAGCGCCGTGCACAGATCCACGTGGAGGAACGCCTGGTAGCTGGAGATGGACCCATGATTAATTTGCTTTCTGTGCTCCAACAACTTTGTTTTAAGGTGAGATATATTGAAACATGGAACTTTACTTCAAGATCAACATTTAAAAAAAATAAAAAAATTCATTAAATAACATGAAAGCAATATGGTTTTATTCGTCTTCAAAAATCTTAGTGATAATGCAGCCTATGTAGAATGTTTATGATTTTGGGAAAGGAGGTAGGTTGAAGAAAATAGTTTGGTTTACAGTACTGTATTCTGTTTGCAGGTAAAACTAGATAAGGTGGATCCTTACTACATGGTCCACCCGGACTCTCTGGTGGACGTATCAAAAGACTCCCGCCTGACCTTAACCCAAGACGAGGTGGAGGAATGGGTAAAAAAGCTACGTAAGTGGATGATCTGTACAGTATTTGATTCCAGTAGCGTAACTTGTTTCTTGACACACATTTCAGGATCTTGTATGACTCTTATGCCTGACTTGGTTGACTCAAATCCCACAAAAATGATGGCTGAATTTACCTGAATAATTAGCTAAGAATTCATTTCCACCACATCCATACATCAGTTACGAACTGTTGTTTCATCTGACAATTAAACAGTTTCAACCAGCCACTTGTTGAGAAGTAAGTTCAATTCCTCACCGTATAAAGTACTTCATACGAGATTTCACTACAGCCCTGCAATGTTTTGTTTATCAAACTGCACGGGTGTTGACAGTTACCTAATGCCCCAGTTTGAGGTTTGTTGACATTATGATATGTGGGATCACACAACAAGGAACACCCTATGCTTCACAGACACCCCCATTTCATGTTGTTGAGTTTTTTGTGTCTTAAGATGTTGTAGCTGGTGTAACATGAAAATATAAGTTTTGTGTTAACTTGGTTGTCACTTTCTTACATCCTAAAAAAGAGTCTCTTTTATTTCTCAGCATGCTTACAAACAGAGTTAACTGCTACCATAGAGAAAGTCCAGCACCACGGGATGTAGCTTGTGAAGGAGAAAATTGAGAGTGGAATAGGGATGTACCGATGTATTGGTATCAGTATCGGCCAATTTTTATTTCTTTAATTTTCCTCTCTGGCAGCCCAAACTATCCATTTCCATTATTACACATATGGCAGATCTTACTGTGAGTCAACTGCTCTGGAATGCAACAACCAGTCGTATTTTCTCTCACATAAATTAAATATTTTGGGTCAATAAATGTGTTCTTTCTTAGTTCAATATACAATATTAATAAAAAATGTCCACACTCATTGGAACAGCACATATTTAAAAAAAAAATTGCTATTACAAACTACTGCCCTGAAGCCCCCAACCTCCCGGTGTTTGATGAAAACAAATGGAACCTTTTAGGAAAGCTCTCTACTCTAGTGATAATTTCCACAAGACCACTGTTCAGGTGAGTCAAAGATCATGCACTGTTTCAGAGATAATCCCTAAAGCATCAGCAGATGCTCGGTTTTCTGGGTTAGGCAGTACTTCTCACTGCCATCAAGGTAGAACATATTTCATAGGTATCTTGATGACAACAATCCAATACTGGCAACATGTCTTGATCCAAGATACAAAGATACCAACAAAGAGTGACATCAGCTGTCTTGAGAAGAGGAAGCAAGATATATAAGAAGAGTGTCAGTGCACATTCCAGTGAAACTAAACTGCAGAACCTAGAGTGTCTTGTGCAGTTTGATGACTTTAGTGACTTGGATTTTGATAAGTGCTGAGACCAGCTAGTGAGAGAAGGCAACAGTCTATAGAACTAAAATTAATTCCAAGGAGTTCTTTTAAGATTAAAAAAAAAAGTGTGTAACCACTTTAACTGTCAAGAGCTGAAGTGGACAGATACCAGACATTACAGTTGCAAGCACATGATGGAACCTTTTGATTGGTAGAACACCAATAATAACATACTCCCAACATTAAGTCTTCTTGCTAACAAGCATCTATCCTCTCCACCTTCATTAGTGGAAAGTGAATGATTATTCAACATTGGTGTATACATTCCACTTGGAAGTTATCTTAATGCTCACGCCGGTGAAATACTCATGTTTTTAAACTACAATTTTATTACTGAATACAATTATTGTATGCAACACAAGTTCTTATAACTGTTTGATTGAAACATTTAATTCCATTCTAAGCTTTTGTGTTGAAAGGTAATAGAAAATGTACCTGTGTATTTTATTATAAGCTTTTGTAGTTCAAATACTGGTAGTCTACTACAGGGTATATTGCCAACCTGTGGTGTAATGGTCAGCATGCTCTTCTCCCAAGCAAGCAGACCCAGGTTCAATCTCCGGGCAGGTTGAAACTATGGGCAAGGTTCTATACGTCATTTGCCTCTGTTTACCCAGCAGCAATTGGGGACCTGGATGTTAATCGATTTGCGGATCGTATTCCAGGATAATGGTTAGCCAGTGCAGTTGGCGAGTTGTCCGGTCTTCTCGGACTATTTCTTGACATAAGAACATAAGAAAATAAGGAGTCTGCAATAGGCCGGTTGGCCTGTGCATGGCAGCTCCTGTCGAGAGTTACTACCACTCTCTATCATCCATGAATCTATCCAGCCTCCCTTTGAAACTTTCCAGCGTTCCAGCACTTACTACAAAGTTGCTAAGCTTGTTTCACTCGTCCACCACCCTATTTGTAAACCAGTTCCTTCCTACCTCCCTCCTAAACCTAAACTTATTCAACTTGAATCCGTTGTTCCGAGTCCTATCCTGCTCGGATATTATAAGAACTTTATCTATGTCACCTTTATTGATTCCTTTCACCCACTTGAATACTTCTATCATATCTCCCCGCACTCTTTGTCTTTCTAGGGAATGCAAGTTTAGTTTCTTTAACCTATCCTGATATGGAAGTTTTCTAAGTCCCGGAATCATTTTCGTCATTCTTCGTTGCACCGACTCTAGTGAATTGATATCCATTCTATAATAAGGGCACCAGAACTGAACCGCATAATCGAGGTACGGCCTGACTAGCGCAAGATATAGTTGCAATAAGACCTCTGCACTCTTATTACTTACACTTCTAGATATAAAACCCAATACTCTGTTTGCCTTATTTCGAACATTAACCCCTAGGTCTCTTTTACAAGTCGACTTCTCTAGGTTGATGTTATTAAGGCTGTATACATTGACAGTATTTGTTCTTCCAATATTAAGTACGCTGCACTTGCTGGTGTTGAATTTCATTTGCCATTTTTCAGACCACCCCTGCATTTTCATGAGTCACGTCCATATTAATTCGCTAGAGTACACCCAACACTATACAGGCACAGTTCCAGAAGCTCTCAGTACATGCGGGAGCGTGTTAACTCAGGGTGTGGTTGTTGTGTTGGCGACAGCTTCTAGACCTTAAACAAATTCATGCCTAGGTGGCTCTTGGGCCGGCCATCCTCGGTACAAGAGGGGCAACCATTATTTATTTGTATATTGTTTTCAATAATTACGTACTTTAAATGAAATATTTTATTATAAGCTTTTCTAATTCAAATCCTGGTATTCTATTATATTGATTTCAATAATTAGTTTAAATGGGATGAGATTAGAAAATATCATTTTTATTTTTTTTTCTTCAAAACTTTGCACAATTCATCCTTATGTAAGTTAGTAGAGTAGTAAGGCTACTACTGTCTGTGTTTTAGCTGTATCTCTGTGTCTCGGTTCTCTACATGTGGTTTAAAAAATAAAAACTGCTTATAAATTATATTTAGATTGATATAAATTTCAAAGATCAGAGCTAATGGTACAAGTTTGGCTAACTTGGCTTTGGCATATTTTATTTAAATACTCTGAAAAACTGGAATATTGATTGTTACAGTGGGGTATGCTATAATGAATCTAATTGGTTCTAGAACCTTTTTCGTTATAGCATTCGTTCGTTATAGGATTAATCCGTTCCAGGCCACCAAATACAACCACTTAACACTGAAAAATATAATATAAAATTGTAAAAAAGTGCATAAATATGCATCGAAACCCCTGAAATAAAGAATATCATAATATTAGTAAAAAAAAAAAAAAAAAAAATTAAATAATGTTCGTTGTAGGAGTTTCGTTCGTTATAGCATTCTCAATTTTATAGGTAAAACCGTTCGTTATAGGAATATTCGTAGTAGGATCCGTTCGTTATAGCATACCCCACTGTACATAGTTAGTTATATCAGAAGTGGAAATTCACACTTAGTCATATATATACAGTGGAAATTTTGGAACTAGTTTGTTCATCAATAAATTGGGAAGAATTTTGCCATTTGTGTACAGTATTATTTATACCTACGTAACATGGCACCACATGTGTATTTATTCAATTTCAAATTAAATTTGCTAAGGAAATAATAAAAAATAAATCAAATTATTTTCACTTTTTGCAAAGGAGATCCAAGAGAGTCTTACTGCCTAAGGCCTGGATAGCACAGCGAGAATCTCTAGAATTTGTAAAATTGCTTGAGGGTAAGTAAAATTCCCAAAAGCTGTGCTGTAAAAATAGATGCCATAATACGGGGACTACCATCCTGACAGAAGTCAGGAAAAACTACCCCAAAACTCTCCCCTGCATCTAACTTAGACCTGTCAGTGTAAACAGGGATAGTCCCTCTGTGAGAGAAGGCATGTTCTAAAAAAAGAAAAGGAACAACACAGGGAGGGAGTAAGACCTTCCTTTTGTTAAAATACCTGTACTGTACTGACAAACTTCAGGAAGAATCCACGGAGCAGCACTAGGGAACCGCATAGGGCTTAACTGAACAGGAGGAAGACAAAGACACATAACCTCCCTTACCCAGAAGCCTACAGGTCGTGGGAGGCTTGGCTGCTGTGTGTGGTGTGGGGGACACAGTCTCATCAACTACCCAAGTGTTGGTTACAGATTGCGGAAGGTGATGTAGGCAAAAACAGCACTGGACCTGGAGATACTGGTGTTGAAGGCTCATCAGCATCCAGCAGTAGACTTAGGGATTGGTGAGGACCTAAAGGCACAGTGACTGCTATGCATCACAAGACCTTTTTGCAGACTGTTCCAGTACAGAGTTACGTGACATGCACTGACGGCAATAATGATGACGAAAGTGAAGATGAAAATAATGAAAGTGAGTCTAATGGTAACACAAACAGTGACACTAATGTATCACAACAAGAACATACAGACTGTGAGGAGGTAGAAGTGGACAGTGACGAGACATGCATTGACCTTGATAGTGAAGAAAGTGAGCCTGACCCAACGAATGCTAGTGAAAGTGAGCCTATAACTTAGTCTTATAAAGAAATTGAACTGTTACTGGCATCAATAATCAATGATTTAGTTGACGAAGAATCTGTGTGGCGATTTTTAGAGCGTGCAGAGAAAGACTTTGATCAGTACGTGATTGATTATGACGAGGCCATTTAAGTTATATGCTCTCCTCAGGATTTACGTAACTTCAAGTTGCTACGATCTTCAGGGATAATAAAATGAGGAAACTAAACAAAGTAGGATTGTAATACTATTATTAAAATACTGTTTTTCCCAAAGATTATGCAAACTTTCTCCGCCTTTGAATTCGTATGTTAATTGCAGTACGTTGGGGGGAGGGGAGAGGTTAATGGTGGGGGTATGAGTGTAGTGGTGTTTCCTTATTATTATTATACTTAACAATATTATAAATCTTTGGCTAATAATAGGGACAGAAAGATAAATACTGATAGGGAAATGAGTTTTTTATTATTTAATTTTTGGGGGTTTATGGGGGGGGGGAGACGTGTGCTGTTTTTGGTGATCATTAACTTGTTTTACAGTATTAGCCCACAATAATAAGAAAATTTTGGAGAAAAGCATGATTATTGTTGGTCTGAAGATCAAACAACTGTACATCACTGGTAGTTATTCTCATTCATCTTGCGATAAAATAATAACTATTCACAGTACTAACTTCCAGTTTTCACAGTTCGCTAGGAGAGGGATTGAGCTGCACGATAAAAAGAGAACCCTCTAGCATAAAAAACAACAAAGTTACGGTTGTTTGAAATTCGAAAAACTTTAAACGAGTTTTTCTCGGCTTCACCCCCTTCTAATGCAGAGTGTCTCAAATGTCATGGGTATAATGGCCTGAGGGTGTAGAGCTCAGACTTTACTTTACCAAACAATAACAAGAACTGACTACAAGCTTAATATTTATTTTATTATCAGCGGTCTTGGTGGAATTTTAGGAAATTTACGGCTCAGTGAGTTTATAGAATGTACCTGTATTATTTTTAAAGTGAAGTCACAGTAGATATTTCTGATTTTACTCATCATTCTTTCTATAAATAACTTTCTTATTTTCTTCTTACCACAGGTTCAGGAGAGAATTTTACATTCCAGGAAGTAAATTTTCACAGTCAGTGTTGGTTCCTGACCCTCCATGCGCATCATCTTGGAGTGCTGCCAGTTATGCGCAAATATACCCGCCGGATCCGAGCCATCCGTGACCTCCAAAAGATGGTAGGTGGTTTCTTAATATCGTGTTGCAGGTCCTGGGTACTGTACGTGTGAGCTCCCCAAAAATGGTAGGTGTTCTCTTTACTCCTTATGTAAAGGACAGGACAGCTCCAACACCTTGTTGGAATGCAAGGTTGTTGTAACCTGTAGAAGGCAGTAGATGAATACTACAATAAATACTAAGTAGGATGTCCTATGATTTTTATTTGGATCTGATGTCCAATATGGCCCTTATTGTTGCCATCTTGTTTCTGTTATATCTGAGTTAAAACTCATTTTTTTTTGCTTTAATATAGAAAATATTAGTTGATTACAATGAAACAGTGTATACACTTGCATAAATACCTTGAACAGCTTATTACATAGCGAGTGAGTCATGTACTGTTTACTGATCAGGCAGTCTGGCTCATCATTGGCTAAGATTCTAATTATCCTGAAAGTTTTAATAAGCAGTGGATTATTGTGAATATTAGTGTGTACATTTGTTTACACAACTCATTACAAAATTAGTGAGATTCATGCAATCTAGTTCCTGGTTTGCTAAAATGTTAAATACATTAAAACCTTATTAAACTGCAAACTTTCACGAAACTTACTATGTACACTCGCACCAAAAAGTATCGGTGCAGGGTGAGATCGACGAGTTCCGAAACGATACGTATACACTGTGATATGTTGGGAAGGTTGGTAAGTGTATCCTCATAACCCCCGCCCCGCTCCACTAGGTGTTGCCATATGGCTGACAATCAGGGCTGCCAACATACAGCTGGAACAACTCGCCTTTCCCAATACCTATCGTCACTGGTCTCAAATTGTTCACACTACAGTATGCACCGATGCTTTTTGTTGTGAGTGTACATTTGTATAGATGTCATAAACAGCTGATAAAATGTGGGTGAGATTCATGCATGTTGATTAGGCAATGTGACTCTTGATTGGAAAGAATTGTAAGCACTCTGGAGGCCTATTAAGTTTTAGATTTCAATGAAACTTGGTGTTCACATTTGCTTAGATGCTTGGAAAGGCTTATGCCATAAAGAACAAGATTTATGCATACCGGTACTTGTTATGCATTATGACTCCTCATTCACTGAAAACTTAAGCTCAGTGGAAACCTCATTGAGAAGCGGATTTTCATATAACTTCACTTACGAGTTCTTCTCATGAACCACACTTGATTCTTTGCTTTTGTTTGTTTCCAGTATGCAACATGGCCGATCTGGCAGCCATCTTGGATTTAAGGTACCAAAGTAAAAGTCAATGAATTTCAGTGGAACTTTGGGCATACTGTAGATTTGCTGTGATACCTTGAAAAGCTATTTCATGAGATTCAGTATTAACTTCAAAGACCAATGTGCATGATAATTTTACTATCTCTGGTCCAATTTTGAGCACATTTTACATGATGACTGCTTATGTGATGATAATCACTGTATACATATATCATATGGTTTCTGCATTCTGAATGGTTGACACTGATACTTGACTATTCACTTGACTATTATTCGATTTAGCAATATAAAATTTTTAACATCCTTTCTTGTTTAACATTAGATCAGAATTCGGTTTAGCGATGTTCGACTCACTATGATGGGGGGAAAACCGGGGATGGGGTGGCCTGTGAAATAGCATGTTGCCTTTCTTACATGTATTGAAATTATTAAAGTTGTGGAAAAACCATTACAGTACTCTAATGTGGCTTAAAATATAACACAGTAAGTCCTCGCCTAACGTTGTCCGAGTTAACGATGTTTTGTTATTAGGTCAAAACTATTTCTATCCCAACCAACAAAAAATAAAACATGTAATTTGTTTTTATGTTTTGCAGCCAAGCTTTCTGTGCTTTGGTTTATTCTTGTGCTTTATACAATTACCAAAACTTTGTTTAATGTGTTATACCTTAAAAAAAAAAAAAAAATTATGTGCTGTGCAGCATATACATTAACTAAAGTTGGGCTTTCCCCTTTCTGATGCTTGATTATCTAAAGCTTAGTTTCAAGCATCATAGGTTTGTGGGGTCTCTTGGTGATGGTGGGAGTAGCAGAAGAATCGCTACTATGCTTGGTTACTATTATATACAGATTCACGAAAGGATGACACGAATACCGACGAGTAAAGAGGGAACACTGCACTCGCACCGAACACTGATCAAATGTGGGAGGGTGGGAGTGTGCCTTGAGTAAAAGTGCATTACTGTGCGTCTGCAGAGAAAAATGGCTGCTCCAGGGTTGTTATGATTTAAATCAAATGATTTAAATCACACGATTTAAATCAGAGTAAAAAAATCATGATTTAAATCAAAATGATTTTTTTACTAATAACTGTTTTCTCTTTTTATTCTACATGATTGAAAAGTATATGCAATGCAGCAGGCTAATAACATCAAGATGATTAAAATGCTAAGACCAGGATATGTTCCACCAAATAGACATCAAATTGGAGGGTCTCTTTTGGATCAAGCCTACGATTCAGTGATTAAGAATTATTCAGAAGAACTTAGTGGGAAAACAGTTTGCATGGCCATGGATGGATGGAGTAATGTCCGTAATGAGCCTATAGTATGTATAACTTTAACAGCGGACAACCGTATTTATCTTGTTGACTCTATAGACACAGAATCAAGACACACAGCTGAATATCTGTTGAAATTAGCTGAATGTGCTACAAAAAAGTGTGAAGACAAATTTGGATGCACAGTAAGAAGCTGTGCAACAGATAATGCTGCTAATATGGCAAAAATGAGAAGTGAATTCGGACATGATTAATCCATTATAACACATGGTTGCTCTGCACACCTGTTAAATTTGCTTTCACAAGACCTGCAAATCAAGAACATTAAGGAGCACATTACTGAAATCATTAAGTACTTCAGAAATCATCACATTCCAGGATCTTTGTATAGAAGAGCAGGAGGAACAATGCTAGTAATGCCATCAGGCACACGATGGAACACACTGACAGATTCTATTGAATCTTATTTAAAGAACTGGGAGACCCTTGTCAAAGTGTGCGAAGAAAGTAGTGAAGACATTGATAAGAAAATTGAAAGGAAAGTTAATGATAAGGCATTGAAAAGAACTGCAGAAGACTATTTAGAGAGACTTAAGCCTATTGCTGTGGCATTGTACTGTGTCCAGAGAGAACATACCCTATTAAGTGATGCTGTAGAAATCTGGGTTAAACTGAAAACTGATATTAAGGAGTATTTAACAGATAAGAAGGATATGGATAATTTTGAAAAAAGTATCAAAGTAGCATTGACACCTGCCCATTTTCTAGCTAATGTGATAGATCCAAGGTATCAGGGCAGACATCTGACTCCTGAGCAGCGAGACATTGCAGAACAGTATGTGTGCGAGTCTCTTCCACATTTCCTTTCAACATTAATGTCCTTCCATGGAAGAAGTGCACCATTTAAAGAGGTCTATTTTGGTAAAGATGTTGCAAAATCTCTCTCACCCCTTGCTTGGTGGCAGTATTTTGCCAATGATACGACAGAAAATGTAATGGATGTTCCTAGGCAATTATTTACAGCTGTTGCATCATCAGCAAAGGTTGAGAGAATTTTTTCCACATGGATTTGTACACTCAAAGGTAAAAAATCGCCTAGGACAGGAAAAGGCATCTAAGCTTGTCACAGTATACGTATAAGCATTTCAATGTTCAACTAAGCTACTTTAAATGTTTTGAACTATTTTTGTTGTTTACAGAATGAGAACATTGTGTTGACTTGAAGTTATTACCGGTAATTCTTAAACTTGTTACTAGTATTATTTTTTTTACAAAATGAGATTATTATTCTGTTGACTTGAAGAAGTTAAGTTATTAATTTTTGAAACACTGTAATCCTATAAGAGCATTTATGTTAAATTTCATTATTACGTTTGGATTTGTGCACTCAAATACTGAAATGTAAGATATGTTACCAGTTTTCTTTAATTTTACAAAAAGAATATTATTGTTAAAATCCATTGGTACATCTACTGCATAAATATCTTAATGCCAATTTTCTGTTTATTATCATGAATAAACTTTGGTTGAAAAATACTGTTTATATGGTTGAAAAATACTATTTTAATGCAATTAGTAAAAAAAAATTGAAAAAATCGATTTAAATAAAAAAAATCCGATTTAAATCAAATAAATCGATTGTTTTTTTTGTTTTTTTTTAAATCACGATTTTTTCCAACCCTGGCTCCAGCTCACTCCTAGGCTGCACCTGGCGCACAATTTGAATTATTGATCGGGCCAACATTTGGATAAACGAATATCACCTTCGGATAGCAAAATGAGATACAGTGAAATCCCCGTTAGCCGGAACAATTGGTGCAGAGCACTTCAGGGAGTGAGAGATTTCCGGGTAACGAGACGACTCAAAGCCGGAAAAATATCCCTCATCCCCGGAATTCTCCGGGTAACAAAATTTTTCTCAGAATTTCCAGAAAATGCACCTGATTTTCATCTCTCAAACCTGGAAAAAAAATCCCCCCTCCCCGGAATTTTCCGGGCAACGGAGAAATGTTCTTGGAAGTTCCAGAAATTGCCCATTACATCATCTCTCGAACCCGGAAAAATATCCCCCATCCCCGGAATTTTCCAGGTATCAGGAAAATTTCCTCCGAATTTTCCAGAAAATGTGCCCCTCGGAAAATCATTCCCAAAGTCGGAATTTTCCGGAAAATTCAGGCTTTGGGAACAATTTTCCGAGAAAATTTCAATTCCGGCTAACGGAGATATTACTGTACAAGAATAGAGTACTGTATTAGGATAATCATTCAGATAGCGAGAGATACCTGTAGTGTACTGCTTCCACAGTGCTTGTAATAGGCTTCTTGCTGCTGTAACCAAGTTGGGCTCTTATCATAATGGATTAGCCTACTTTCAAAATCACTGATCATTCTTACACCCTCATTCATAAAATGGGATTTTAGGATTAATCCCCTATATTTAACCAAAGGACATTTTATCAAAGCCTTGATAAGTTGACTCATGTACGAACATTATAGTGTATTGACTGATTAAGTGTTCACTACCAGTATTTGCAGTCATCACCCTCATCATATATTCATCCCTCTCATTCCATGAATTTGGATTTTGCAAACTTTGTTAACTGAATTTATGATGTAAATATACAGTGTTGAGTTACACAAAAGTTTAGGCTTTGTCTTTTACCTAAGAAGTGATGACAAGAGAACAAGGGCTGGCTACACACACACAGTTTTGCTTTCATTTTAACTATGAAGTACATAATTGCACAGTTATACCTGAACTTTGCCTTTGCATCCACACACTACAGTTCACTGGTCAGTTATATATGAAGTACAGCATGATAAGCATAAAGAAGTGCTCCTGGCTATTGTAGCTGTATCTTGTTCTTTAAAACAGAAAAGAGAAAGTAGATGAAGGAGAATGTGTCATAAAAACTAGCTTTTACAGAGAAAGTGATTGTCTCGTTTGAATTTACTAAAGTAAATTGAGTTAAGAGACCGGTGATTGGGGTACAATTACCTTAATATGAAGGAAGAAAACTGTCTGTATCTATTACCCTTAGTTTTTCCTTTGATTGAAAGAAGGGATACCTGCATGTGAGGATCCCTTACTCTCCTACGTGGTTTTAGGCATAGATTGGCGTCTGCTAAGGTAAGGAACACCCAGGTTTAGGGTATATATCTACATCCTTGAAAATTTTTAAATTCTTGCAAATCTCAATGGGCCTTAGAGTAATAAATAAACATCTTGAGTTGTGTGCCATCCACCTCAGCAGGCAATCATGTGACTAGGCTTCGTGTTTCTTGGCAACGAGCCAGTACCTTTGCTTGTCCCACTCTGTGAGAATGTTGTCACATTGTGCAGTCAGTGACGCCGATATGAACTCTATTTTCTTTGATGAGGATGTTCCTCATTATACTGATGAGCCAATGGGAATGGACTACAATTTGAGTGATTCTGATCATGTTGATGACCCTGATTACCCAGATGGTGAAAAGGAGAGAGAGTGATGTGGATGACCCTGACCCCATGCACCCAACTCCATCACCAAGTGCAGGCTCAAGTGGACATGTCGATTCAGATGAAGCAAATGTCAGTGATCCTCAATGAGACCCTTCACAAACAGGACCTTTTCATGGGTGGCCCTTATGGTTGTATTCACCTGTGCACCAGAAAAGGAAACAAGTGAAAAGTAGGCCACCCAGGGGTAATGGGAGACTAGAGTGTCTGTCTCCCGCTTTCACAGCTCCAGTCCAGACAGGCATATGCCCCCCCCTTCCTACAGGGAGAGCCTGCCAATGCTGAACCTCCCTGTATTCTTCCTTGGCAACCCCCATGTCTCTTCCCAGTCCCGCCACACCGCTGCCTGTTTCACCGCGCACGTCGACCGCACCACCCCTCAGGACATCAACAAACACGTGCCCTTGATCGCCGCAGACAAGAACGAGGCTACAGTCGCCGCTCTGATACCAGAGTGCCGGTTGAAGACTGGCTGTGGATTAGTGGTGATGTGATAGTTGTTTTGGTATCACATTAATTGTTTTAATTAAATTCTGGAACTGTTTAAGTGGCAGGGTTTGATGTAAACACTTGGCATTTTTCTTTTATTATCTAATCAGCTATATACACAGATATAATCTGAGAGAATAAATTTTGAATTTTCTCCTGGGAAGTGTTGTGAATAACACCGATTTAACACTTGAGTTAAGTGTCTGGCTTCCCTGTCCAGTGATAGTAGTCTACTGCCTTCTCTGGGTGCCAGAGAGCGAGCCAGTTGTTTGCTAAATCTGCTGACCTGCGCTCGACATTTGAGAGAGTTGCAAGCCAAGTTATCTATCGTGAATAACATGTTGATTCACTTGGTAAATAACTTGGTGAATAAGTTGGTGTTATTCATTTAGGTGAATATTTATATAAAGCACATGTGCTGTTATAGTGATACTTTTGTAACGTCTTTCCACAACTTTGACAACACTTTGCAGACTGACTTGGTGAATAATGACAGCAGAGAAGTAATTTTTTTCCTGCTCTTCTTTATTTTCAACCTCATTCAGTACCTAGAGGACCAGACTAACACATACTATATCTTTTTGTTGGCTGGCATGATGCTGTTGCCCCACTCTCGTCAACACCAATGGATGTTTGTGAAATGTAGTCATTCCTTGCTTTGGTGGTGATGATGGGGTTAGTGAAAAAGAACAGTTACAGGGACTATTGGACAACTGATCCCCTGTATGCCACACCTATCTTCAGCCAGGTAATGTCAGTGAATCACTTTACAAACATTCTACAATCCCTACATTTCTTTGACAACAAAGAAAGATTTCTTACAGGGAACACTTACAAAATGAAAAAAAATCATTGTGTTTGATTACTTGAGGGCCAAGTTCAATGAGTCCTTTTACCCCTTCCAGAAGACCTGCATTGATGAGAGTTTAGTGCTGTGGTGAGGCAATTTATCCTTCAGTCAGTACATACCTTCAAAGTGGCATCTTTTTGGTCTTAAGTTATTCATCCTGTGCTATTATGAAACTGGCTGTATTCAAGATATGTTGCTGTACAGGCCCTCTTCAGTTGTCTGGGAAGATTGTACAGATGTTATTCGAACCTAACCTGGATAAGGGGCACATTCTTTATTTGGATAATTGGTATTCCAGCCCAAGGCTCATTCAGTACCTGCACCAGCACATGACAGGTGTGTGTGTGTGTGGCACTGTCAGGAAAAACAGGAAGTGCATGCCTAAACTGCAGTCTCCCAGTGTTGATGTCCTCCATCAGCAAACTCGGAACATTCTGGCTGTGTGCTAGAGGGCCAAAGAGAAGTGTGATGTCTGTCTGCTCACCACCATCCACGAGCACAAGACGTTCCTCACCCACGTCTACCCCAAGACCAGTATGATGCTCTACAAGCCACGCTGTGTCCCTGACTACACCTCCAACATGCATCTGGTTGACAAGTCTGACAGCATGATCTCCAGTATAGATTGTGCACATAAGACCATGAAAGGGTGCAAAAAAGATTCTTCCATCATTTGGACATCGCCCTTCTAAACGCACACATTCTGTATCGAGTGTAAGACAGGTAAAAACTTAACACTCCACGAATTTTCATTGATTGTGGTAAGGCAGCTTTTGGAGACAAGTGTAGCATGATTTTAGACATCATTACTGTATTTAACTTTTCCATAAAAAAAACAGAAATTAACTTTTTGGTAACCAGAGAGGGGATCTTGGTTTTTTAAATGGAAACCACATAGGAGTTTACAGCTACTGTGAGGTTTCTCACAACAGGAAAAACCTACTGTATAGTGATGTGAAAGAGTGAAATACTGTACTCTACAGTAATGTCAAGGAGTCAGTGTCATTATGAGGGTCACTGCCTGATCAGACTTTCTAGATTCTGTTTGTTTCTTCAAGTCTTTTGGATCTGCTCTTTGCAAGTTGTTAATTTTTTCATCACTGTTTCTCGTCCTGCCTCAGGATCTACCTGTACAGTATGTACAGTATGCTGACAATTTTCTTTGCTCTTTATATCTATAAACACTGTTCTCTTCAATACAGTTCAATAAATTCTTTTATAAAAGCCTTTGAATGATTTCTGAAATATAACATTGTTACGAGTGTGACTTGCCACCACGGAGATTACATATAAACTGGAAAAAAAATTTCACTTGCTTCTATACATTCTGTATTAATCATTCAGCTTTGAAATTTTTAGTTAAATTTTGTCACCAACAGATATCACACGGGTCAAAATTTTGAACTGCATAGGTTTAACTGTGAACTTTTGGCGTACACAGTTGAAAATGAGTGTAAAATTGAGTGTGTGTGTGTACCTGGCTTAAGGCTGATGTGATGCTTTATTTACAGGTTGAGGAGATAGAGAGCACTGAATCTCAGTGGGGAAGCTTACCTGTAGCAGCCAGACAAAGGGAACTACTCAAGAAGTGGAAAATGCAGCTGAAGGTAACCATAAGCCTAACACTGTTGCCACCACTCCTACCACCACCCCTACCACACCACCACCACTGTGTTACCACCCACTCCTATCACCACCACTGTGTTACCACCACCCTACCACCATTACTGTGTTACCACCACCCCTACCACCACCACTGTGTTACCACCACCACTGTGTTACCACCACCACTGTGTTACCACCACCCTACCACCATTACTGTGTTACCACCACCCCTACCACCATTACTGTGTTACCACCACCACTGTGTTACCACCACCCCTACCACCACCACCGTGTTACCACCACCCCCTACCACCACCACTGTGTTGCCACCACCCCTACCACCATTACTGTGTTACCACCACCCCTACCCACCATTACTGTGCTACCACCACCCCTACCACCACCACTGTGTTACCACCACCCTACCACCACCACTGTGTTACCACCACCCCCACCACACCACGGTTGCCACCACCCCTACCACCATTACTGTGTTACCACCACCCCTACCACCATTACTGTGTTACCACCACCCCTACCACCACCACTGTGTTACCACCCACTCCTACCACCACCACTGTGTTACTCTCACCACTGTGTTACCACCACCCTACCACCACCACTGTGTTACCACCAACCCCTACCACCATTACTGTGTTACCACCACCCCTACCACCATTACTGTGTTACCACCACCCCTACCACCACCACTGTGTTACCACCACTCCTACACCATTACTGTCCACCACCACTGTGTACACCACCCCTACCACCACCACTGTGTTACCAACCACCCCTACCACCATTACTGTGTTACCACCACCCCTACCACCATTACTGTGTGTTACCACCACCCCCTACCACCATTACTGTGTTACCACCACTCCTACCACCCACCACTGTGTTACCACCCACTCCTACCACCATTACTGTGTACCACCACCCCTACCACCATTACTGTGTTACCACCATTACTGTGTTACCACCACCCCTACCACCATTACTGTGTTACCACCACCTCTACCACCACCACTGTGTTACCACCACTCCTACCACCACCACTGTGTTACCACCCACTCCTACCACCATTACTGTGTTACCACCACCCTACCACCATTACTGTGTTACCACCAATTCCCTACCACACCACCTCACTGTGTTACCACCACCCCTACCACCACCACTGTGTTACCACCACCCCCACCACCATTACTGTGTTACCACCCAATTCCCTACCACCCACCACTGTGTTACCACCACCCCTACCACCCATACTGTGTTACCACCACCCCTACCACCACATTACTGTGTGCCACCACCCCTACCACACATTACTGTGTTACCACCACTCCCTACCACCCACCACTGTGTTACCCCACCCCTACCACCATTACTGTGTTACCACCACTCCTACCACCACCCACTGTGTGTTACCACCCACCCTTCCACCACCCCTACCACCATTACTGTGTTACCACCACCCCTACCACCATTACTGTGTTACCACCACTCCCTACCACCACCACTGTGTTACCCACCACCCCTACCACCATTACTGTACCACCACCCCACCATCATTACTGTGTTACCACCACCCCTACCACCATTACTGTGTTACCACCACTCCTACCACCATTACTGTGTTACCACCACCCCCACCACCACATTACTACTGTGTTACCACCACCCTCACCACCACTGTGTTCCACCACCACTGTGTTGCCACCACTGTGTTACCCACCACCTACCACCACACTGTGTGCCCTCCTACCACCACCACTGTGTTACCACACCACCCCTACCACCACCACTGTGTTACCCACTACCACCATTACTGTGTTACCCACCACCACCATTACTTGTTTACCCACCACTACCACCATACTGTGTTACCACCACTCCTACCACCACCACATGTTACCACCACCCCTACCACCATTACTGTGTTACCAACACCCCTACACCATTACGTGTTGCCACCTACCACCTACCTGATTGACCACCCTCCTACCACCATTACTGTGTTACCACCACCCCTACCACCATTACTGTGTTACCACCACCACCACCACTGTGTTCCCACCACCCGTTGCCACCACTGCCACCACTACACCACTGTGTTGCCACACTCCTACCACCACTGTGTTACCACCACCCCTACCACCACCACTGTACCACCACCCCTACCACCATTGCTGTTACCACCACACCACATTACTGTGTTACCACCACCCCCACCATTACTGCCTCCCTACCACTGTATTCCCACCACCCCTACCACCATTCACTGTTACCACCATTACTGTGTTCCACCACCCCTACCACCATTACTGTGTTACCACCACTCCTACCACCATTACTGTGTTACCACCCACCACCCTACCACCATTACTGTGTTACCACCACTGTGTTGCCACCACCACTGTGTTGCCCACCACTGTGTTGCCACCACCTACCACACCACTGTGTTGCCACACTCCTACCACCATCCTGTGTTGCCACCTACCACCACCACTGTGTTGCCACTCTACCACCACCACTGTGTTACCACCCTCCTACCACCACCACTGTGTGCCACCACTCCTACCACCACCACTGTGTTACCACCACTCTTACCACCACCACTGTGTTACCACCCTCCTACCACCACCACTGTGTTGCCACCACTCCTACCACCACCACTGTGTTGCCACCACCCCTACCACCATCACTCTGTTGCTACCACTACTACCACCACCACCACTGTGTTACCACCACCACTGTGTTGCCACCACTCCTACCACCATCACTGTGTTGCCACCACCCCTACCACCACCACTGTGTTGTCACCACCCCTACCACCATTACTGTTGCTACCACTACTACCACCATCACTGTGTTGCCACCATTCTACCACCATCACTGTGTTGCCACCATTCTACCACCATCACAGTGTTCCCTGTTACCACCACCACTACTACCACCATCACAGTGTTACCACCACAGTGTTGGCACCACTACTACCACCATCACAGTGATGCCACCACTACTACCACCATGATAGTTGGGCCACCACTATTACCACCACCAGTGTTACCCCTATAGAATGTCTGCCAACAATGTATAATGTTTCTGCTTTTCCCACAGTTGTGTGTGTATGTTGTATGGAATTGCACTACACTATATTGTATATAATTGCTGCTTGTATGTCTGAGGAAGTCCTTAATATGACTTTGCTATCTCCACAAAATTAATTGTATTTTGACAATACTGTTCTGTATGCAGTGTTCTCATTGTTTTGTTTTTTTGTCACATTTCAGTAAAAAATATAAATCCTATTCTGATACCCTCAGTTTCTTATCATTTGCATATTGATGTGATAATTTGAGGACAGGATGATAATTAACTTATTTTACTGATGCAGAAACTCAACAAATCAAAATTGTGTGCTGATGCTGGACTCTTGGATGAAAACTTGTTGGAAAGATGTATACATTTTTATGCCGGAGTGGCTCAGATAATCTTGCGAGCATTAACTGGGGGACCAACCACCTTAGCTCCTTTAGGAGTATCACTTGCCGACACTGCCACAATACTGCCTCTTCCACCTGATTTGCCGGAGCTGTTTGCTGCGCTCCCTGAATGGTACCTGGATGACATGGCCGAATTTCTACTCTTCACACTACAGTAAGTAATGTTTAACCAGTATTTTTAAAGGATCCAATTGGATCAAAAGATGCATGATTCTTGTCGATACACCACACAATTATAGCATGTGGGAGGTCCCTGCCTTTTCTGTTGAAACTCCATTTTGCAGAAGCTCTGTATTAGCATTGGTCCTTTGGGGATGGCCCTTCAGAGAAATCAGGGTTGGCTGATTTAAACTAAAGTTTAAACCATGGGAACTTCGTGTTTTCTTCTTTCCTTGTGGTTATCAGCATATACCTGGATCACGAAGTTCCCAAGCGCTTCGTAATTCACATCTTCAGGGGTGAGTACAGACTAAGGAGAAGTACATAACAAGGTATATATATACAGAGGAGGGTGAGATCAAGTCCACAATGGTCAGGTTATTAGGTAGTGACCCTACTAATCTTCAAAAAGCACCGCAGCAGTCGGTAGTCAGGTCAGAGGGTAAGATGACCCAACTTTCTCACCTGGTTACAAATCTTCTTAATTACAAAATTTTCCAGTTTGTACATAGCATTATTCAAATTCATGTTGACTGATTCGGTATGTTTAATGAGACTGGATTCTATAATGTTCCTTCTGTCAATTGAATTACAAGGTAATATTGAGGAGGCATTATCCCAGTCAATGCAATGCTTATTATCCCTCAAATGAACAAACAGAGCATTGGATTCCTGGCCTGTCCTAACACTATATTTATGTTGTTTAAGTCTAGTTACAAGATCTTTACCTGTCTGGCCTAAGTAAAACATATTACATTCCTTGCAAGGAACCTTATAAATGCAGCCACCTGTATTGTTGGGGGAGCTCTTGATTAACATTTGTTTAACAGTGCATGAGTTTTTAAATGCCACATTGACGTTCCATGTTTTTTAGTTGTAAAGGAATTTGAGTCTGAAGCAAGATGTTACCTCCACTGAAAAGACACAGAGACTGATTCCTGTATGGTGTGTTGACAGGCTGTTAGGCGCTTAAAAACTAGTTTCCCTGTACTTAAATTATGTTAAATAATTGTTAAAATTACTAAAAAATTTAATATAAGACTTTTAAAATTATTGAATAGTACAAACTTCTTGATATTTACGAAAATAAAAGGAATTTAAGCCCTAGAACCAATTACTGTATTGGCGGACTATCACGACAGCTAGTGTGAAGCTGCATGTTGAGGGGCGCTCGTAAGGAATTCGTTAATCGAGGGAATGCTCGTTAACCGAAGTTACGAATCTTATGGAAGGTAATTCGTTAACCGAGGCGCTCGTTAACTGAGGATCACTGTATAGCATAATAGAGAGTTATAAACTTGGTTAAAAATATGGTACTTACTAAAACCAACATAATACTAGTAGTATGTTTTAAACAGTGGTTTTTGTCAACCTTGAGAGATATATATATGAAGATTTGGATATACTGTACAAACATAGAAACCTTTGTCCAAAATGACCTTGATTAATGATAAAAATATACTGTATTACAGTATAATTAAAGATTTGATCCCATCTTTTCATGAATGGAGCATTGGTGCAAATGCTGTACTTGTAGAATTATTATAAAAGTTTCTTGTACCAACAGGTATGTTCCCAAAGTGCCCCTCAAACACCTGGAAGATCCCATCATTACTATGGCCATTGTTCTCCTGTGCTCCCCTTCACACATCAAGAACCCCTACCTCACAGCTAAACTAGTTGAGGTGAGTTGTTCATACATGGCAGTTTTCTCTCAGACGGTAGACATAGTCAAGTATTGTAATGTATTGTTCTAAAATTTTATTGTTGTATATTTGTAGAGTGTCAAGATATTGTAGTGGATTGGGCAACCTATTTTTCTTTGTAAAAAAGTCTTCACTTCACTTCTGTTACCACTCATGTTGAGCAGCCATCTTACAGCTGACTCTGTGTTTTGGGCAGTTCACTGGTTCCATTAACATAAAATAGAGCACTAATTTCAAGAACCTTTTTTCATCAGAAAATTCCAATACTTTTTCTTTAATGCAGTATTGTACTCAGGCATTTTTGCATAGCAAAAAGTATTTACTATTGATCTCAGAATATCTCCTAATTTCAAGTGTACATGGCTTCAAAATGTCTTCTTTTCTTCTTTTTATCCTCTTCACCACTGATCATTTCGTTAGCCGCTTGGGTGATCGGCCATCTTCTCTGTAACGCACTGTTGGCAAGTACTGGGCATGCACCGGCTCCTGAATGTACCTGAACCCGCTCCAGTGTTGGTCAAGTCTTGTCTTAGAAGAGCTCACACTCGGTACCGTCCTGCTTACTTTCTGGCAGATTGTTCCAAGAGTTCACAACCCTCCTCCAAAAAGTTTGCCCTCTCACAGTTTTCTGGACTTGCGGCTTCTTCAATCTTGAGCTGTAACCCCTTGTGGGAGGCGAGGCATCCGCCAGCTCAAGTAGGACACTTTCGACTGAGTAGTGCCCCTTGAGATGCTTTACACCTCAATTAGGCCACCTCTTGCCCGTCTGTAGTATAAAGCTAGGCAAGTTCAGGCGCTCCAATCTCTCCAGGATAGCTGAGGTGCCGAGTGCAGGCACCAGTCTGGTGTCCCTCCTTTTGAACATTTTCAACCAACTGACAATCCTAGCATATCTAGAGAGGACAGGCGGGGTGACAGTACTCCAGATGGGGAAGCACTTCACTCTTGAAGATCATTACGAGGACGGACCGTCTAGATATGAACGACCTTTTAAGACAATAATTTATTTGCCTGATTTACCTTCTTCGCAATGGCCGAGAACTTCAGCTCATTGTCAACATACACACCTAGGTCCTTCTCATTCCAGTCTCAAATAGTGCAGTTTCTTCGTCCGTTGGGACATATGATCACGCCTCTTTACCGTTGAGTACGCCCCAGTGTATCCTCTTACACTTAGTGACATTGAATCTCAGCCGCCATTTCTTGACCATTCACAAAGCCCCAGAGATCCTTCTGCAGCTCTTCACAGTCAGCTTGGTTTCTTGATTTCCCGAAATAACTTGGCATCATGTTAACCATTTGTATGGAGGTGTACAAAAGTCAGGCATGTCATTTATAAGAACAAACAAACAACAGGGCCCAATACACTGTCCTGTGGTACCCGCTTGTAACAGGTATGGATGATGATTTCGTACCCATTAATCACCATGCACTGCTTGCAGTCATGTAGAAAGTCTCTTATCCACGCTAGGACATTTTCCCAAATTCCGTACTTCAGTTTGATTTTCAGCCTTTAAGAGTAGGTACAGTGTCGAAAGCCTTGGCAAAATCTAGGTAAAATATTGTGATGTTACCACCCGTTCAGAATATGGGTCCAAATATCTAATACCTTGAGCAATTGTGTTAGGAGTGACCCAGCATAAAACCGTGTTGGCAATCCTCTACAAGGTTGTTTAAGTAGTAGATGTTCCATTGCGGCATCTCTGATAATACTCTCAAGTACTTTACATACTATGTTAGTGGGTGTGATCGCCCTTCTTGAAGGTAGGACTCACATAAGCCACTTTCAATTCACTGGGGACCTTTTGTTCATCCAGGCATTTTACAACCAGGATCTTCAGGGCTCGGCAAGCTCGTTGAACAACTCTCTTAGCACTCTAGGATGCACCATGTCAGGGCGGGACTCTTATGGACCTTTAGCCTGGACAGTTTATTTCTAATACCCTCTTCTGTAGACACAATGTAGGTCAGTGCTGTGTCGAACCGTCTCTCCTCAAACGCGCAGGAAGGTTAATTGCATCCTCTCTTGTGAACACAGAGAAAAGCTGTTCAATGCCTCAGCTTTATCCTGAATTAGGAATCTGCGTAACTACCATCTTCAAGCCCCTCAGGTCTGATAGTCCTACTCTCATTTTAATTTCGACTTTTGCATAAGCGGTAAAACACTTTAGGTTTGAGAAGCTTGACCTCGCTTAACCAGCCTCTAAAACTCCTTTCAGCCCTTCTACACTCTATCTTTGCTTGGTTTCTGGCTCTTGCATGCATCCTCTGTCTGTTCATTGTTTGACCCAACCCACGTCTTGAATTTCTGGGTTTTCTTCTTAACCTTGTGTCGGCCGCGCATGGTTCATGTGTAGGGATCCTAAATGATTCTAGGGCATTGGGTTTGGTCTTGGGTATATGTTGTCGATCAAAATGGGTCACTTTACAAGTTATGATATTCAGCGTAGTGTCTGCGTTCTTGTGCCTTAATGGAGTGGTAGTTGATACCTCTCATCTCTTCCCTCATCTCGTTGTAATTTCCCTTGTAATATTTGCACCTTGGCCTGGCCTTATCCTCAACTAGGTAGCAGTTAAATCTGAATGACAACACTATATGGTGACTGGTGCCAACTGGGGCAAGATGTTCCCAGTTTGGCCACCATACCACCTCCTCGTTTGTTATGATGAGGTCCTAGTATGGCTTGGGTGTTTGCTCCCCTCTGTAATGTGTCAGGTCTCTAACATGTTGGAACAGAAAATTATCTCTCAGAGTTTTCTACAAAAGAGTAGCAGGGGTTGTTCAGTCATTTTAGGTGAAACTTCGTTTCTCCAGTCGATAATAAGCCATAGTTAAAGTCCCCATGATAAGGAGGTGGCTAGGGTTGAGCATCACTGCATTGTCTATTAAGGCTCTTAAGTTCCTTTGATTTAGTGGGCCACAGTTGGGGAATCTGTGGGCTACCCAGCAATACTAAGTAAGTCCCCTCCTTTTAATTTAATTTTCGCTTGGACTCTTAAAAACATCTCTCCTGTACCTACATACAACCTCTAAGGTCTTGCCTAAGCGTAGATAACCACCCTCTGGGATTTCTTGAGAAGGTTAAGTAAATGAGTCATATCCAGCAATGCTAGACTCATTCCTAAAGGTTGATTCTCCTGTTCTTGTACAACAATTCTAGCTCCTACAATATCTGGTTGGTGTGCCTTCAGTAGTGTTTGAAACTCTCTCTTATCAAGGAGCGTGTCAGTATTAGTGTACACATGACATTCAAATAAATTTGTTCTCATTAACGTCTCTGCTCTTAGTCGTAACTCCATTTCCCCATTCTCAGTAGCTGCAGCATTTGCTAAGTACACTGTATTTTGCAGGGTGTGGTTAGAAATATCTTTGTTTACACGGGCTCGCCTCCTCCTGTCTGGTGGCGGAGCTGGTGCCACCTCCGGGTGGGGGTAGGCGGGTGGAGGTGCTGCTGCCCCTGGCCTGTGTCGGCACACTTGCTCACTACCCTCCCCTGAATATAACCCATGTACACCCGTCCCGACCCTCCTTGACTCCTCCCTCTTCTGCTTCAAGCCTGGGAGGCTTCTTGTGCTGTTCCTCTGCATTACCGTGGAATCTGGGTGAATAGATACACCCGAGATGCCTCGCTCCTTGCTAAGTTTTTTGCCTGTCAGATAACCTCCATTTCCTCCGCTCACTAGTGTGATCCTGAGGCGAGGCTTATCCCCCTGCTTTTCCCAGCCTCCTCACATCCTGAGGGTTGATGGCATCTCAGAACCTCTGTACAAATATTTTGAAACTGCAAAAAAAAAAAGTTGTGTGAGCTCGCTATGCTGCCATGTTCCCCACCCACAATTTCTTGAACCCCCTTTTGATATTCTTGGATCGCCCTTGTTATGGGGCAGTTGGTCGCCACGGCCTCTACAAGTAAGTCTGAGCTACCCCTTTACCAGCATTGTATACTTTGCACAATGGACTTTTGAGTTGCCTCTGTTGTGTTACATGAGTTTATTAGTGAGTTTCCTCTTACAACACAAGCTAATGAGGAGAATGCATTAAAGTGATTGTTTGAATTTTATGTAAAAAGAGAGACAGCAGGTTCCTTAGGCTTGATAGCCCATTAGGGGCAGTGTAAATACAGCTTTCTCAATACAGTACTAAGCCTTCTGTACATCATGGCTAGACTCCATTCTACTGCCTCTAAAGTTAATCACCCACTCTGCAGCTGGGTTGAAAGGGGGTGCCCTACTCAGAGGCCAATTACAGGACTTGCTAGTGACTGTTGGGTAAGAAGGTGAGTACTGTATTCACCTTGCTGCTGCATCCCACAGCTTCTGTTAATTTTAGGAAGAGATTGTGAATTTTTCCTGATGGTTGTGAATGGATATGCAAAGATAAACTTCCATCTGTTGAAGATACGGTATGTTGTGTTTAGGAAAGAAAAGATGACTGCAAAGAGGTCATCAAGTGGAAGTGACCGCAGTAGTGCAAAAAGAAGCCGCAAAGGCATTACATTGGATATAAAACTTGATGTTTTAAGAAGGTATATCATAAATTATTTAATGTACTGTATTGTATGTGTTTATAAATGTTTATTTTCATTCATAAAAGTGCTTGAGTTACTTTTTGGGCGAAAAAAATTCCTTGGGAAGGCATCTCGGTTTAATGGAAGTCAATGGGAAATAGGTTTTTGCATTCGGAATTTCTGTCTGGTCAATTTTCAGGGGCCTTAACCCTTCCATATCACGGGTATGCCTGTACAACCTTTTTCTTCTATATTTTTAATTTCCTTGTTCTTATTTTTTTGCCCCCTACGCCCCGTTGTGGGTCGTTGAACCTGTGCCCAGGTGGGCTAATTCCGTAAAAAAAATAAATAAAATAAATAAATAAATAACCGAGAGGATGATGATGAGAAAGGAAGGAGCTCTGCTGTTTGTTTGTGCAATATCTGCTACTTTTTTTTTTTAAATATTATTTATGATATTTAGTGTTTATTACAGTAGTTTGGAACAGCTTATGCAAATTTTTTAGTCTTTGGTACCAAACTAATTTTATCAATTTAAATCAATTAAACAATAATTTGCAATATAAATTTCATGATGTCTTCTGGTACCTAACCTTTGAGCTCAGATATCACCAGTTCCTGTGATGAATATTGAAACAAAAACTAGAGTCTGTCACACCTATGCTCTTCAGAGTATAGCTGCTGGCAAAAAAAAAATAATAATAATTCAAATATGAAAATTTTGCATCATTTTAATTCAGTCCTATGCATACAAAATGTTGATGGAGCTACTTTTTTTTTTTTTTTTTTTTTTTTGGGCACTCCCTACATCCTTGTGTAGGTGAAGCACAAGCGTTCTAGCGCCCAACAGGAAGCATGCTAAGTTTATGCTTGCCTTTATGTATCATGAGTTAAGGCGTGAAAGTCTGAAGAGTCAAGGGCGTAGAAGCCTGAAGAGTCAATGGTTTATGTCTTCAAGTTATTGGAAGCTCCAACAACTTGTCCTGAATCACAATTCGCAACTTTCGATTTACAGGTACCTACTTTACTGCTAGGTGAACAGGGACAAATGGGGGCTAGGAAGTATGTCAAACAACTTCCACCGGCCGGGAATCATATCCAGCGACATCCCCTCTGCGAAGGCAAGAGCGGTGCCCTCTACCACCAGCACCCCCGTGATGGAGCTACATTATAATTGGATATTTTACCTGGCAGATTCTGTTGCATAATAATTTAATTTTTATCTGGCAGATGCTGTTTATGTTGACACCATCAGTGCAGCAACATGTGGACACCTTACACCAACGTATACTTCATCATCCATTGGCTGTACATCTCCCAGTTGCCCTCATGAAGTTCTACACAAGTGAGCTTTTATTTGATGTTTGTCATTTGTTAGAGGACTTGAGTAAACAATTCCTGAGAAAGGGAAGAATCTGATTTTGGCATTTATGGACCTATAAAGAAATACTACATGATACAGTAAATTGAAAAGTTAACTGGGAAGTATAGGGTAAATGGGGTGGGTGGATGTGTGCTTTTTCACCCCTTTATATATTTTCTTGGCAGGTTTGAAGATTTTATGATTAATGAAAGTACAGTAGTCTGTTTATCAGTAATGTACATATTTTAAGAAATGGGGAATTAAAAAAAAAAAACTTATGAAAAGAACAACACTTGCTTACTGAATACTGTACAGTAGTCTAATAAGATTTGCTATAGGCCTACTGAGAACTAAGACACTTGAGTATGTAAGTAGGTTGTGGCTGATTGGGTGTGGCTGCATTCGTCAGGTTGTTGTTTCTCTCATGTACAATACTTGGATCATAGAATATATGGTCACTGTTCAAACCATAATGTGTAGGTCTGCGTCGTGTGTTTTATTTTCAGTGAGGTGATACTCCTATACCTTATGATGGTAGCCATTGAGTTATGTCACCTGTCAGTTCCTTAAACAAATTATATTTTATTTGCTTTTGTTATATTTTATTTTAATATTGTTCACCTATAATAATTTGCCTGGTATCTCTCACAGTGGTGGAGTCAACAGGAGCAAGCAGTGAATTTTATGATAAATTTACGATACGTTACCATATTAGTGTGATATTCAAGAGCCTGTGGGAAGACAGACGTCATCGAGAAGCTCTTATAACTGAATCCAAGTAAGTGGGTCTTCCTGATATTGGGATTTGATTTTCTTTTATACAGTCAAGATTTGCTTTGTTTTATCAAATTTGTGACTGAATCAGTGTATTGGGCAACTCTTGTACCTGTCATCAAGTTTGGGGTTTCACTTTTTTTTTTTTTACGGGATTAGCCCACCCAGGCACAGGTCACTGACCCTGGCAGGGCCTGGGGAATGTAATAATATCAATAAAGAACCATATAGAAATACAAAATGAAAAAAAAGATTAAGAGTGAGAAACAATATATATGTATGTTGTGCTGTCAGTGGTAAGAGAAACAATTGAGACCCTGCAATTGTGTGTAAATAAGGCAGAAAGTCAGACGAGCAACCTGGGACTTGGCCACAATTTTCGTGACGCCATATGGCAGCAGGGTCTACCAGTAGACAATACGTTATGCTTCCAATATCTTCCCAGGCAGTAGTACCTCCCTGTTTGGTAGCTGCCTACTACCTACACATACTACCTACAGTTAGGTTCCCAGGAACCCTCCACATGTAAAACTAGAAAGCTAGAGATAGGACCTCTGAAACTGTAATCCTACCTAAATGTAATTAAGATAGGTACATAATTTTTCTGTATCATGATGTTACTCTTGATAGAGGGTCCTCCTCTAAGGGTGTGACCCTGACAGAAGAGCCTCCAGGCTGTCCTATCACTACATACCTCCTGTGCCCTTTATATATACCTCTTGTATCTTTCCTTGTTCTGTTCTTAAATAATTGTTCCTCCTTTCCCTTCCAAGATGCAAGGAATGACCCTCTACTCAATGCACTTGCTTCACTGTTGTCTCCTCGTGGATTCTTCTCAGTTGTCCTTAACATATGTGGGCCTTCCTTACCCATACCACCACCCCATGATTACACCTGCCTGCTCTGCCACTCCAGACACCTCAGTAACCTCAGATGTAACTTTTGGGGAACTCATTGCATCAGTTCAAAATTTTAGATCTTATATTTCATTGTTATAAGTTAAGATATTGATATTGAAACAGTTTATTTAACCAGAAAAACACAGATACAGAGTGGATAATAATAACAATATTAACATGGCTGAGCCAGTTGAGAACCTGAGCTCTCTTGAAGGCACCTGATACAGTATACTATACAGTCAGCCCTTAACATACGCGGGGGTTAGGTAACAGAGATACCCGTGAATGTTAAAAATCCGTGTAATATTGCTGCCCCCCCCCCCCTAAAAAATCCCTGGCCCCCCATGTCCTTATTTACCGTATATACCTGTGTGTAGTTCGAGTTTTTAAGACCAAATTATTTGGCAAAAATTGGGGGTCGACCTCTAAACGGGTAATAGTTTCGTTAGGTTGAAAAATATTTACCAGTAACTACCAGTAAACAATGGAAACGACGCACCAACGCACCATCAGCTGTGAGTGTCGGTACAGTCGCCAGGGCAGATCTCTTGCGTCATCATAGCAACCCCAAAGTAGCCAATCCATGGTATGGTATGCACAGGACGATGTAAAACATAAAGTATTCATTTTTTAAAGTTTACTTATAGATACTGTACATAAATTTTTGTTCATTACATTTGAAACATCAATCTTTGTTAATTAAATTTGATACAAAAGAAAACTACGATACCGTATTTTCATTAAAATATTACATCACAAGTATATTTTACCTTAACTGTGACTGAATGAATATATTCTCAGAAATAAATATGGAAATGTAATATTTTGGCTGAAATGACGTACATATTACTGTACAGTGGAAAGTGGGATAAAATTATGAAAACAATGACTTTCGCTTTCTTTCGTTGTTCAAAAGATTTTACCGTAATCGCTTTTCGAATGGTTTTCAGTTAAAAAACTGTTGTACTGTACTCGTACTGTATTACAATAATATTCTATCCTATCATTAGCCTTATAATCCCACAACTGAAAACCATTCGAAAAGCGATTACGGCAACATCTTTTGAACGAAAGAAAGAGAGAGAGTCATTGCTTGCGTCACAATTTTATCCCACTTTCCACTGTAATACGTACATCATTTCAGCAAAAATATTACATTTCTATGTTCTCAGAAATAAATGGTAGTTTTGTTGAAACGTAATGTACAGTATTTAATATTAAAATGCAAAAATAGCTATAAAAACAATTAATACACCCGTAATGTAATGGCTGGCATCTCCACTCGTCCCTGCTCCTGCGTCCAAGGTCACCTCACCACTCCTCCCAACTCGCTCCCTCCGCTCTCTCCTCACCCTCTGCTCCGTCACTACTGCCGACAACAAACACAAATGTTTTGTGAACAACTGCACCTCCACTTCCTATGTACAGTACTTGTACTGAACTCTACTGTGCTGTGCATTTTTACAAACAATAAACATGGCAAGAAAAGCTATTAAAAAAAAGAGATAAGAATTTCACTTTACTGTACCATACCTCTGCTCGGCGACAGGGCGGGGCTCATCGGGCTCATCGTCACTCAATTCCATAACAGGTGGTGAAGTGGGGGCAACTGTGGATTCAGCTGCTTCCTCACTGCCGCCAGCGATTGATGGTGTTGAATCTCTCCTTCGGTAACCAAAGAACATGGTGATGGGGAGTTGTCGTCTCTTTCTTTTCATTTCTTCCATGATGTTTTTGTATGGAACAAAAGCATCATCCATCCCTCGCATGAATTTCAGGGCACGCACCATGGAGGGGTCCATACTATAGGCCAGGTTTTACAGTGCCTCAATCATCCTGGTCATCTCCCCCAACTTCTCCAACGTTATTTCTTGGTGCTCTTCCTCATCCTTTTTCCCTTTCGCTTCCTCTTCCTCTTCCTTGCCTGAGTCTACTAACTCCTGTAGATCCTCCTCGGTCAGCTCAATGTCGTGTTCTTCGATTAACTCCCTAATCTCGTCCTCTGCCATGCCCTGGAAGCCTTCAACAGCCACTTTCCTCGACAGTGCCAGGGTCTTTTTCACCGCCTCTGCAATGGCTTCGTCAGGAGAAAATCCAGTGAAATCTTTCACACATTCAGGCCACAGTGATTTCCAGCAAGCATTCACTGTCTCAGGCTTCACATCCTTGAAAGATTCAGCCACCCAAGATAAGCAGTCGGCAATGTTGAAGTTCTTCTAGTACTGAAGCACATCCAGGTTTTGATCATGGTCTAAGGCTGAGTGCAGTCTGGCCATCACACGTTTACTGTAGTTAGCCTTGAACGTCTTGATAACTCCCTGGTCCATTGGCTGGATAAGTGCAGTGGTGTTGGGTGGAAGGAACAACACCTGTACCTTTTCATGCAGGAAACAATGGTGGAACCAGTTGAGAAACAGGTCGCTCGTTGTCCAGGCCTTCTTATTGTACATCCAGAAAACAGGCAGCAAGCTCATGTCGCGGTGTTTGAATGCACGCGGTTTCTTAGACTTGTATATGAAGCCTGGGCGAATGAGGTGACCCGCAGCATTGCCACAAAATAGCACGGTGCACCTGTCCTTGGCTGCCTTGAATCCTGGTGCACGGCGTTCTTCTTGGGCGATGAAAGTGCACTGTGGCGTCTTTTTCCAGAACGAACCTGTTGGAAAAGAAAATGCTCGTAGTACACTCTGTACTATTATACATACAGTATACGGTATCAAAATTGGTATAAAAATATTACACCACACTGTATGGTAAATCACTACGGAATAAAAATATAAAAGCTACTGTATAAAACTCGGACGCATTTATCCCGTTTTCTCTTACAACACAATACAGTACGTACAGTACAACAGGTATTTGAGCATTTTTAAGGTTAAATGTACAGTAGTAATTTATTGTCTTACCTGTTTCGTCCATATTCCAAACTTGTTCTGGCTTGTAACCCTGCTCCTCGAGTATTGCTTTCAACTCTGCTGGGAAAGTTTTTGCAGCCATGGTGTCTGCTGACGCAGCCTCCCCCAGTCATCTTCACATTCTTCAGGCCAAATCGACGCTTGAAATTGTCAAACCACCCCTTGCTGGCTTGGAAAGGTGTCGGAGGTGTCTCGGGTGTTGGGGTAGCAGCACTGGTACTGGGTACGGGTTCCTTAACTGCAGGCGTGAAGCGTGTGTGTAGAGACTTAGCTTTCTCCCGGATAAGGATAGAGTCCACTACTACACCTTTCCAATGCTGGTCCTCTATCCACAAAAACAAGGCATTCTCCATCTTCACCATTGCCTTCTCCCTCACTTGGCTGACATGCTTAGCACTGCGTGGAGCACTGGCACTTACAGCATCACAGATATCTTTTTCCTTTTTCTTGATGGTACGTACGGTGCTTTCGTTCACGTTGTACAGTCGCCCCACAGCAGCGAACGACATTCCCACCCTTAACTTATACAACAACTCCACCATCTCCTGCAGAGTCATCACTTTCTTCTGGCGCTTAGGGGTGGCTCCAGCTGGTGTCTTTGATGCTCTTTTAGGGGCCATGGTAAATGTGGGTAGCAAGCGTAGCAACTAAAATTTTGATGTCGACACAAGCGTGGTTACAGCGAGACTGAGTGAGAGAGCGGGGTGGCGTGACGCGCTATGCGTGTGTGAGAGGTTGCGGGAGCGGGCGGTGTCCCGTGTTCGATGCCGCGCGCGAGTTGAATGTACTTCAATTACTTCAATGTACAGAATATTCCTCCGGCGGGGCAATCCGCGTATTTGCGAATCCGTGAATGCTAAACCCGCGTATGTGAAGGGCCGACTGTACATTTATCTCAAGGAAGTATTATGTAACATTTAGTATCATCTGTACGGGTCTTCATTATCAACAAGTTTCAATTTCTCCAAATACCTTGTCTGTGATGATGTGTTTAATGAATCAATATACAGTATCCCTTTGTGTTTTCTTTATCACCACCGCCTGGTCTCTTACTGGATAACATTGTAATATTTTGTAAACGAGCTGCAGCAGTAAATAGTCGCGTCGAGTATGGCATGTTGTTGTTGACAGTTGTGACTCTATACTTACAACATGGCGGCGGGCAGAGGATCGCATTGCATTCTGGGAGTATGTGACATCATGCGAAAACTCATAATTGGCAAAGTTCTGCATAGAATCAGGTTGAGATGGTTTGTGCATGTGGAGAGAATGGATGAGACCAATTGGGTCATAAGGTGCGCAAGTCTAAATGGAGAGGAGGAGAGTCAGTGGCAGGCCAAGAATGACATGGGGAGAGGTTGTCAGAAATGACATTTGAGTTAGGAACCTGACAAGAGAGACTAAGAAACCATGTAGCATGGAGAGTTGCCATCAGGTAACGGAAGCTAACCCATGGAAGCATGGAATACAATATGGCCATAAAATGATGATAATGGTATCATGATTTTACTTACAAACACTCTTGGTTCCTGTTTCAGATAATAACCCAAGACTGCTGTACTTAATAGAGGGAGATATCAATGTGAGAACATTTTGAGAAATTTACAAATACAGGGGCCCCCAAACTCGTGGGGGTAAGGATCTCAAAATGGCCACGAATCTCCAAATCCTCGAATAACATTTGTGGACCGAGGGTGGGGGTACATTTTTACTTGTGTACAAATAAATATATATTCCCTTTATGTGTTTGCCCTTAGGACAATTATTTCTTTTACTTGTAATAAAGCACGGACTTGAGGGTAGACTCACATTTTTAATAAATTTGTTTCTGATTATTTGTGAGAGGATTTTCCAATTATTATTTATTTTTATGTGTTTTGAGTGTGTGTGTGTCTACACACACACACACACACACACACACACACACACACACACACACATATTTAAAAAACAGGTAAAGGAAATTACTGTCTCTAGAATGAATGGCTCCCTTTCCCAGCCACAAAAATGCCGGCAACTTTAAAACTACCCACAGACATTCTTGGGTACATCCAGGGTGTTATCCGCGAATAATAGAGGACCACGAAATAAAAATCCTCGAACTTGGGTGGCCCCCAGTTATGTATAAAGTAGAAGTTCTTCAAGAATTAATTCTAATACATTGTTTGCTATTGGAGTATGAATTTTAGTTTATTTACTAATAGCTAAACATCTTTTATTTTAGTACCGGAAAGGAGTTCGTGAAGTTTGTTAACTTACTGATGAATGATACAACCTTCTTGTTGGATGAATCTCTGGATGCCCTCAAGGTAAGTCTATCCTTGACTTCTTTGGGTCCCATTCTACGCAAGTCTCACTTGTCTGGCTCCTGCATTATGTATTAACCATTTTGTTGTGATACTAATTATGAATACTGCATAGGTAAAATTATCAGGAAGACATGTATTATTTCATTCCTTTTTGAATGTGGGTAGTCTACAACAGGCTTGACCAACTTATGACCTGTGGGCCAGAGTTTGGCTCATCAAAGGTGTCTATCATGCTTGCCAGCTGGTAGGCTGGCTGAAACCTTTTTTTTTTTCTGATAAAGCAGCAACATCATAACTTTATTTAACAGTTTTAGAAAGACAAAACATTGGATTTCAGGTTTTTCCCTTATTTATTTATGAGTAATCTTCCCGTTAGCTGGAATAATACCGGTAGGTGCAGAGCGGTTCCCGGTTTGAGAGATATCTGAGTTCTGGATGAATTTTCTCACACATAGTGACTTAACTGCAGTCAGAGTCAAAGAGCTGTAATTTATTTATGCAAACACCACTGTACACATGCAATATACAGTGGTCCCTCGGTTAACGAGCACAATCCGTTCCAGCAGGTTGCTCGTTAACCGAAACCATTGTTTCAATGGGTTTTTGGGTAATTGGTTCCAGCTCACCGAAAATTGCCTAAATTCAACAAAAATGGTAGAAAAGTTCACTTACTTTGAGGTGTGTATGTAGAAGGCTCCTGGATAATGATGATGATGATGATGTGCATTTGAAGTGGGAGGTGGAGGAGGAGAAGAGAAGGAAGTGGAGGTGGAGGAGAAGCATTTTACTTCTTCATGGAAGGTGAGTCACCTTCCATGAAAATGTCAGGAACCTCTGGACTGACAGATTCTCCACCATGAACATCCTCTCTCCTTCTTGAAGTGGAAGGCTGAGGGATAGCATCTTGTTCCCTCTGCCTTTTACTGAAGAAAGTGTCAATTGTGGTCTGTGGGGCATCTGTCCTCCTCACCATTAACTTTTGTTTAAAGAAGGAGACCACTGAGTCCTCAACATGACACAAAGTTAGTTCAGTTTTTCCACTTCTGGGTGCTTTGAAGCCAGTTCCCTGAACTTCTCCCAGTAGTAAATCACATCTTTCAACTGTTTAGCTGACATATGGTCATCACTTTCAATTTCCTCCTCACCACTCTCAGCCTCTACCTGTAACATCTCATCCAGTTGCTTCAAGTCATCAGGAGTAAGTTCCTCCTCATGAGACATCACAAGCTCTTCCACATCCTCCTCCCACTTAAAGGCCCAATGACTGACCGATGGACACAATCTCCTGGTCCAACTCTGTTTCTTCCTCAAATCCCTCAAAATCATGGACTACTGATGGCCACAGTGCTTTCCATGAAGAATTGAGGGATCTAGTGGAGACTTTTTGCCATGATGACACAATCAATTTTACAGCCTCCAGGAAGTTGAATTGTGTCTTCCAGAACTGTTTCAGTGTTAGTTCAGGATCATTGGAAGTTGCCTGATGACACCTCCTAAACATTTTCTTCATGTACAACTTCTTGAAGTTGCTGATCACATTCTGGTCCATTGTCTGTATGATTGATGTAGTGTTTGGAGGCAAAAACAACACTTTCACAAAGTAAAATTGATACTCCAAATTGCTGGCAAGGTCAGGGTCATGACCAGGAGCATTATCCATGAGGAGAAGAGCCTTTAAAGGGAGTTTATTGGTGGTTAGGTAGCTCTTGACAGAAGGGCAAAACACATCAACAGCCCATTCATTAAAGAGCTGTCTTGTCACCCATGCCTTACGGTTGGACTTCCAATAAACTCCAAGCTTTGTTCTTACCACTTTCTGTTGCTTGAACACCCTGGGGTTTTCAGAGTGGTAGACAAGCATAGGCTTCAGTCGGAAATCCCCTGAAGCATTGGCACCAAGCAATAGAGTGAGACGGTCTTTCATGGGTTTATGCCCAGGTAAAGAGGCTTCATCTTTGGTGGTGAATGTTCTTTTGGGCATCTTTTTCCAGAACAGCCCAGTTTCGTCCACATTGAACACTTGCTGTGGAAGATAATTTTCTTCTTCCATCAGTTTTTTAAATTCATCTAAAAACTTTGCTGCCCCTTCTTTATCAGCACTAGCAGCTTCACCATGCCTAACAACATTGGAAATGTCACTTCTTTTCTTAAATTTTTCGAACCAGTCTTTGTTGGCCCGAAAATCTTCAAATTCTGTGCCTGAAGAACCAGGTTGATCTGCCTTTAAATGTTCGTAAATCTCCCTGGCTCTTTCACAAATGAATTCAGTAGAAACTGAATCACCTTTCATCTGTTTTTCCCTAATCCAGATGTTAAGTAACCTCTCAGTTTCTGCGATTAGGGATCTACTTTTAAATACTCTTGTAGATTTGTCTCTCACTTTCACTTCTTTAAATTTGTCTTTCTGTGCAAGAATTGTCGACACAGTTGATGTCGACATGCCATATTCTTTGCTAAGCACATTTGTTCTAATGCCTTGTTCATGTTTTTTTATGATTTCCTGCTTGGTTTGGATTGAAATAGCTTTTCTTGATCTCTTAGGCCCCATGCTGGATTCAAACAATGTCAACACGTGTTTTTCAAAGTTAAACTTGTTGTAAATGAAGAATATTTTCTTTAAAATAACACTGCACTGCGCTATATATTGTCAATATGTAAAATAAATTTCAAAATGACCAATAATTTGCTTGGAAACACAGAAAAAAAGCGTTTGGTTGAAGAGAGTCTCAAGCAAGATGTTACCTCCAGTGAAAACAGAGAGAAACTAACGCCTGTTTGCTGTGTTAAGAGGCTGGATGCCACGTATTAAACTAGTCACTTTACCTTCAATTATGTTCAATAATTGTTAAAATGACTAAAAAATTGAATATTAAACTTTCAAAATTATTGAATAGTATAAACTTTGATATATACTAAAATAGTAAGGAATTTAAGCCCTAGAGCCGATTTATGTATTGGCGGACTAATACTACAGCTGGTTGACCGGCCAGTGCAAGCGAAAACATGTTGAGGTCGGCTCGTAAGAAACTCGTTAACCGAGGGGTTGCTCGTTAACCGAATTTAAGAATCTTATAGGAGGCAGCTCGTTAACCGAAATTTCGTTAACCTGGGCGCTCGTTAACCGAGGGACCACTGTATTGTAAACATTTTACAGGCAGTCCCAGAGTTAAGAACACCTGACATACGAACAGGATCCCAATACATTATATTCATAAAAAAATCTGTTAATTAAAATCCCATTTTTTATAGTAAAGCATCAATAAATCGCACTTTAATGTATCGGAATTCACATTTTTGGGACTCTTGAGGTGCTCTGGTCAACAGAAATACAAAAAAAAATTAAATTAAATAAATAAATAAATAAAAGGGGAAGATTAATATATAAAAAATTATGAAATGAACCAAACTTACTGAATACTGTACAGTGGTCTAATCAGATTTATTATAGGCCTACTGAAAACTAAGATACTTGAGTACTGAATGTAAGCAGGCTGGGGCTGATCAGGTATTGCTGCATTCATCAGGTTTATTTATTTATTGATTCAATATTATCTTCTCATATGATTGGCCTCTTATGGTTTATGGTTCATCATGATTAATATAACATCTTCAGTAATAGAGAAAATATACAATACTGTATGTACTGTAATTCATAATATGACTTCAAAATAAAAGGATACCCCCGGTAAGCTGTATCACAAGGTTATTTACTTATGATACAGTCATGTAAGGGCTTTCAGTAGGCCAGCTTTCAACAGGGGTCACAATATCACACTGTATAATATTTGACGTGAATATACTTCCTAACAACATTATTTACTAACTTTGAGTGATATATGATGACTTAGTTTAGCTACTTGTACACTTAGACAAATGATTTATGAATAAACCAGGACATATGCAGATACATAATACAAGTATTTACACCACAATAATACCTACTAAGTGATGATAAATACACTACAATAGTATTTATTAAGTGGTGATTAATACACTACAATAGTATTTATTAAGTGGTGATAAAGACACTACAATAGTATTTATTAAGTGGTGATAAATATACTACAATAGTATACACAACTCTACTGTACTAATTAACGAAGTGTTGAACACAGACGTTGCGGTAAGTCAATCAGCTGTTTGCCCTTCGTAAACAAATGACTCGTGGTGTTCAGTGTGGAATTCTTTTTTCATGAAAGTTGATTCTTTAGAATAATATTTTATCAACCTGGTACCAAATGAATTTAAATTATATGAGGATTTAGTGAAAATGCATAAAGAAGTGTTAAAGGAATCTTGTGGAAGAGACGGGGAGGGAGCCACCCACCCATACTAACACCTCCCCTCCCCTCTGCCAGCTGCTCACAGATAAACATTCGTCTTCCACATACAATATACTCCTACACTTATTTGTTCTTCTTTTTATCTTTATAGTACTGTACAGTATACAGTTTTCTCTTTATTCATAAGACAAATTCAGTGGTTACTTACCTATAACACTTTACAGTAAATAACAATCATATCGGTGACAACCAGACTTATTATGTCTGATTTTCAACCCAGAGAGTTCTGTTTCATATATTTTTTATTGTTGATGTAATATTCTTTTAATAACCTTGTTATACACTTAAAGACCTTAGTTGTTAAAGTGCACTAGTAACTGATTTTCTTTAAACAGTTTGGATAAGTAGTTTTATCTTCCCATATACTCCCTATTTTGGACTGGGTTCTGCCCCAATTAATCCGATTTATTGAGGTTCTACTGTCCTACCCTCTCTACTGCTTAACATCACTTTATTTACAGTACATGTATCCCCACATCACAGAAACTTGGGTTGTAGAAAATCACCCACACAGAATTTGTAAATTATGGCCACTAACTTCAGGGTATGGCTCATAAATTCTCTCTTTATGGAAATAGGGTAAATTTTCAACATTTTCAACACAAAAATCCTGATATAGAACAAAAGAAAAATATCACAGTAATTATAATTTATTTGTGTTGTTATCTCCCAGTGTGTACTATACGCTTGATCTCTTGACCCCAGCTCTTGGATTAGCAACAACGTATGTAGTACTATCTTAATCAAGACTGTCCAGTGTACAGTACGTATTACCCTTATTCAAGATGAGTGAAAAGAGGCCATCAAGTTCAAGTGAAAGCAGTTGTGCTACAAGAGCACATAAAGGAATTATGTTGGATATAAAACTTGATATTTTACGGAGGTTTGATGCAGAAGAAAAACTTAGCCAGATTGTAAAAACATTAGAGCTTGCTACATCTACTGTGGGTACAATATGTAAGACAAAATTAGGTCAAGTACTCAAGCAGCTACTCTAACTGCCCATATATTGTATTTTCATAGAAGTGATGTGATGCTTAATATGGGACGACTCCTGAGTGTGTGGATCAAAGACCAGACCCAATGTAAAGTGCGGATAAACACAATAATCATTCAAGAGAAGGCAAAAAGTTGACATTATGATTTTTTACAACTTTTATAGTTTTATTAAAAACAACAATAAAAGCAGTGGCTGGGCTGGTGAGTCAGAGATGTAGTTATAGCCCACCATACATACACATTCACTTCTCACACCCATGCTCTTTATTTTTCTTATTTTATAGTTTTTTTATTTCTAAGCCACATTGTTAATATAGAGAATAATTGTTAAAGAAGCCATGATCATAGTCTTTGTCATCATTGTTGTTCTTGATATAAACAATTAGTAGCATTTTAGGTTTTAAGTTGTAGCAGTTATTTAACCCATTGAGTGGTAGGAGTTTCTCTCATCTGAATAAAATTGTCTGGTGTTCGTCAGAATAAAATACCTAAGTGCATCACTACTCCTGACAGGTTTAATTCTACAAAACACCATTGCCATTTTTTATGACTATGGTTACTTAATGGTACTATACTTTGGAACCTCAATGAAAACAAAGTCAGATATTTTTTGGAGAAATAATTTATATGTCCAACTCTGGTTTTATGATAATGTAACATGCTACAGTCACACTTCATGGGCATACTTGTCAAAGGATTTCTTGTCATATCTCTCAAAACTAGGACACTGATATTATTAAGCTTAATGGTTCAACTAAGACTATATGATCCTGACTTTTGTGGGAATGGTCAGCTAATGATGGTCACCTTCCTATATAGGGATGTGGCATCTGAGAGCCTACACTAAATGCTTAATGTCTTTAGAGTTACTTCTTTGATCTTCATATACTAAGCTGTAAATGGATACCCAACTTCATAGTTAGGGAAGTGAAGGTGGCCAAGTGCAGTGCTGGTGACACCGCCCTCTTGAGTACCAAAGGATGCTGTGTCCACATTTTCTCTTAACTGCCCATCAAGCCTATGGGTCCCACTTTTATGTATTACATCCTTAAAAGAAGGTACTGCAAATTCCCATTCTAACAAAATGGATTAGGACTAAACTTCGGGTTAAATTGATTTTTTCAGACATCACTTGTCTACCCACTCAGTCATTTGTGTGCAGTTGTGTCATCTACATTTGGACCTTGTGTCATCTCTGACAGCCACATTGTGTGCTATTTACTCATTGTGGTGATCTGTGGTTTAATGATCAGCATGCTCACATTACAAGCAAGTGGTCTCAGGTTTGATCCCTAGGTAGGGTGATACTATGGGCAAGCTTCTTTGTCATCTGCCTCTGTTTTACCCAGCAGTAATTGGGGACCTGGATGTTATCCAGTTTGCAGATAATGTTCTGGGCAATGGTTAGTCAGTGCACTTGGCAAATTGTCTGGTCTTCTTGGGTTATTCCTTGATGCTGGATTATACAGTACAGCTCACCTAAAACAAATTTATGCCATGGTGGCCCTAGGGCTGGCCAGCTATCCTCACAAGAGGGACAACTATTACTATAAAGTGTTCACACAATCAGTTAACTAGTTTTGAGATTTTCTTGTTGTTTTGTTGGCAGCGTATCCATGAGGTACAAGAGGAGATGGAGAGAGGAACTTGGGCAACACAGACGCGGGAACAGCAACAGCGTCGACAGAGATTACTGGCAACTGATGAGAGGCAGTGCAGGTAAGAACCAAGTTCATCTGTAATTTTATTCCCTGGCTTATAAAGAGGATCACCATCTTCAACATCACCATTTTATGGTCATTTTCTGATGGTCATTATCTGATGGCAGCTCTCCAAGCTGCACAGCCTCTTGCTCTACAACCTCTTTCCATGTCAGTCTTGGCTTACTCCTAACTCTCCTTCCCTCCACTTCAAACTCATGCACCTCTTGACCCAATCCGTCTCATCCATTCTCTCCACCTGCCCAAACCTTCTTAACCTACCTCTGTAAAACCTCACTCATTATCTCAATACTTATCTTTGAACCTCGTGTTAAACATCCATCTCACCATTACCTATGTTTCACTGCCATGCAACATAATGCTTCTTATGCCATTTGCATACACTGTCAATAAAGACAACAGCTCTCAAAGTTTCTTCCAGCTACATCTGACTCACTAAGCAGGCTTGAACATCCCCTTCAGCACTCATCAGCACAATCCGGAGACATATCCCCATTGTCGAATGTATCCAGATTTGCAAAGGCCACTTAATTACCTATACATACAGCATACTTAAAGTCAGCAACACTCTGTAGTCAGTCATTTACACCGTTACACCTCTTGTTCACCCACCTACACTCACTGCACAGGACTTAGCAGTTTTCCACTTTCTACCAAAGGTCCTTCACCCATGCCACTAAACAATAATATTTTTTTCACCACCTTCATTATTATAATCTTTGACTCCATTCAATCCTTCCATTTTTTATTTCTCCATTACATCTTTAATGCTGTCTGCTATCAACACTAAGTTATCAGAATACAACAACTCCCAGGGCACAAATATTGTCTTAAGCACCATGATAACTGAAGGGAGCTAAAGACAGACCCTTGATGGACCCCTACTTTCTCCTCAAACTCCCCATTTACTCTCATAGTGGTTCTCGAGCCTTAATGCAGTACTAGGGCAGGATTCACACCTCAAATTTGACGGAAGCAATCTTTCAGTTTTTATAGTTGCGCTTAGCCCAGATTTCAAAAAGTCTTTGAAATATTTACACCATATCTGTAATCAATAATTAACTAATATTTACTTTGATATATGTATGTTTAGCCAGATATTTCAACCTATATTTTCTCATAGATAAAATAAAGTAAGACTGTATATACCTATAGTTTTATTGATTTACACAATACTATTTTTACAATGCACCTTTGTATGGTATGTATACAAACAGACACTGATTTATACAAACACATGCACACACACATCAACATGAATTAAATATACATAACAAGATAATTACAATGTCATAATTCTTCATGATGTCAGTTAGTTTCATCCTATGAGGATGTGTCTTAGCAAACTTGTTCACAATGTCATCAAGTTCAATGGAATAGTGAACATTCATGAGAACAAGTTCATTAAGACTATTCTGGCCCACCATATTTCTGAGATCGGTTTTGAGCCTCTTCAGTGTTGAGACAGAGCGCTCACACTCGCAGGTTGTGATGGGCATAACAGCCAGCACTGTATGGCAGCTGTCACATTAAGGAAGAGGATGTCACTTGGTATCATGACCAGCAGTTTGGTTTTACCGCCAGAGAGCCAACACAAAATTTTTGAATATACAGGGTGTAACAAAAGTCTGGTAAAGCACATTCGCTTTAATAACACATGAGTGGTTAGGTTCCGAGACACCAGGAAATTGGATTGGTCAACATGGACCTGACTCTAGACTTTTTCTTTTGGAGCCATTTGAAATCACTTGTGTACACCAACTGTCCACGAACAATTAAGTCACTGAAAAACCATATTCAAGTGGAATGTGACAAACTCAGTCTGGATACATTGCGTGCTGTCACTGAAAGTATGAAACATTGTGTTTATAACTGCTTGACACTCCATGGATTACGATTTGAACGTTTAATGAAATGAACTATGATTCTAAACTTTTGTTACACCCTGTACAAAATGAAGTTCAAAAAGCAGACGCTTCACCACCACGAAACAAAATACTGTAGATATTAAAGAAAAAAGTTACACTGTTCCCCTCCTCAGTGGAGTTACAGCAAAGGACTGACACACTCATCACTACAAAAAACTCCTTATATTCAGTACAGATTATGTCACCTCACACACTCACTTCACCTGACCCACAACACCTGAACTCCATCTGGGATTTCCCCTTGACGCATCATCGCACCAGGCGGCGGTCGCCTTGACAATGTCACGTAACACATTCGCAAATTTAGTCTAAATTGTCCTCAGATATAAGTAAACCATACATATCTCTGCCCTATGTGCCAAACCTTCAGTAAGCCGGGATCTCAATGTAAATATTGCCTTCAGATATACAGTACTTCCCTTAATTCTCTGCTGGTAAGAAATAAAATTATCAGTGATTCTAGAGCAGGTGTGTACAGGATTCTTTGTAAGGAATCTTGGTGGCAAATGTGTTACCTGCAGGGTCGGATTAACCATAAAGCTAATAAGGCTGTAGCTTTAAGCCCTCATAATATTAAGACCCTCTAGTTTTGCTTTAATTTGTGTTTCTTAAACTTAAATCTTTGTCACAAGTTTGTAACTTCACAAACTGCTTAAATAAATGCCTTTTGTTATGTTTATTAAGGCTCTACGGTTATTATATACTAGATTAAATACAGTATAGTAACTCCTTTTTATGCAAATAATATATGGTAGTTCATACTATATATGGGCCCTTTCCTCTTATCAGCCTTAGGCTCCTCACAACCTTAACCCAGCCTTGGTTACCTGACATTGTCAAAGGTGCCAGCCACATGATGCCTCAAGGGGGAATCCTAGTTGGAGTTCAGGTGATGTGAGTGTAACCTTACCTGTGACCTTCCCCTACCTCCAGGCCCCGCTCCAATTATCCCATCCCTGGGGACAGTTTGTGAAAATCGCCATTCAGATACAGAAAGTGACATCTATTGTCAAAAGCTGGTGAGCCATGCAGGTCAACACTGACAATGAGATCACATTACTGATAGGTCAACTATTTGACCGATGTATATGATACCTTTGCATCGGTCAGAATTTTTGAGTGATGCTAGTGCATTGGGTGCATTGGCCTGGATCTGGCCCTGAGTGCCATAACCACTTGAACAAGATACTACTTGACTCCTAACTTTCTGATTGCCTACTGCACTACCGAATGTGTTACCCTGGTAAAGGTCTTCTCTAAGTCTACAATTTCAAGAGTACAGCATGCACTCCCTCCCTAGATATATCTCTTGTAGTTGCCAGGCCATAAATATTGCTTCTCTGTTCCCCCTTCTTGGCATGAACTCTCTCTCTCTTGTTAATTTCTGGACCACTGTTTCCACAACTTTTATTACTTGATCAAACAACTTCATGCCCTTGTAGAGATTTTTTATTCAAGTACATCATCTTTTCCCCGGTGAGAAGTTACAATCATGGTCTTCATCCAACCTGTTGGAACAGTACATTCCATCATAGTTATATTAATTAATTTAGTCACCATCATCATACGAGCATTGTCTGACGCATTCAACATTTCAGCAGCTTTTCCAGAGCTATCAGTAGCTTTTCTGTTCTTCATTTTGTCAATTTCTTTCATCAACCATTCTCTTTCAATCCTTGTGTATTGTCCCTGTGCTGGATCTACTGCTTCTTGGATTCTTTATCATTCAAACTCATCATTCATCAGATGATCTTAGTAATTTCTCCAAACATCTTTAATTATGTCATTATCAACAAGCACATTTCTGCAGTAATTACTCATGCACTGCTCAACAACTATGTCCTTGTTTCTACCCACCATTTATCATTCTATACTGTGTACAGTACTGGCTTATTCAGCTTATCCACAAATGCACCCTTTTCACACCTCTCTACTGGCAAATTTCCAGCCCCCCCATCCCTGCCAGAGGGAAGGGAAGCTGCAACACATTCCTTCTCATTTGAAACTGGTTGTACAGAGGGGAAGGAAGGATGGTCATTTATATAATAATTAACAGATCATCCCTAGCAAACACAAGGAGCCCAGTTGAAGGGCTGAAGGACTTCCCAGTAAGTCATCCTGTTTTACAAGAGCTACCTAGTTATGGGCTCTGTCAAGAAAAGGGATCTCAGAATTAGTCATCTATTTAAGACCCCTTTAATACATGTTAAGGAGCAGGGGATGGGCCAGTACTGGATTACTTTCATCCATCACATTTTAGGGTCCATGGTTTGTGTAATTAACTCCTCCCTTATTTTCAGATAGTTTACCTTAAATTTTGCATGAGCTTTTTATATATATTTTAAAAGCATTTTGTAAGAAATTGTAAGGTCATTCTGACGTAGGTCTAGCATTTTTTTATTTGCAAAATTCTCTTTCATGTTTAGGATAGAATATATAAAGCATTAATTGATGCTTTTATAAAGTTGCAGAACATTTCAGCTGAAGCATATGAAACTTAATCTTATGTTAATATTCTCAGTGTGATGTGTCAGTAAATAATTTTTAACCATATCCCAATACTGTGCTGTACCTACAGGTCTTATCTGACTTTAGCAAGGGAGACTGTTGACATGATGCATTACCTAACAAAAGAAGTTACTGCTCCATTCTTGCGGCCAGAGCTGTGTGACAGGCTAGCAGCTATGCTCAACTTTAACCTTGCCCAGCTCTGTGGAGAAAAGTGTAAGTAGAATCATATTCAATCGAGCAGTTGACAGATGATGTACCAATTCCTATTATGTAGTAAAGTAACTCAGTTTGAATCTTCTTCAGATGTTTGGGTTTTCTAGGTTCTCTGGTTTACAGGGTTTGGGTTGTTTCATTAGTTACTGGCACTATACTGTAGTGAGTGAGTATTGGGTGCACAAGTCTTCATGGTTGATGTGATCCATATCAACTGCATTTTGCTAAATTTTTTGTGACTTGTTCCACAAGGATACCTTGTTGGGGAAATTCTTGAATCCTTACATCCTTAAGTATCATCCTGAGCATGGAAAGTTTATTCCCATCGCTCAAAACATCATGATTCTATGTAAGTCTAGGGAGAGTTTATAAGGTAAGTGTTTGTTTCCCAGTTTTATGTGGAAAGCAGACCTCCAATTTTAGGTGTTTGCTGCACAGCACCTATTTTTTGTTTATTTATTTATTTATTTATTTATTTATTTTTTTTTTTTTTTTAATCTTCCCTCTTTGATTGCTGCCTTCTTGTATTAGCCCCTGTCTCATGGCAATAACAATTATATATATTTGGGTTAATACATTTAGTTAATATAATCCAATCATCCCACTGTAATTTTTCATAAGCTGTGTGTTGCCATGTGCTGTTTACGTGAGGGAAAATTCCTCTATCAGTAGGCCGACCTTGAGAATGTAGGGTTAGCCCAACTTCTCCTTCAGAGCTCCCCTCACAGGCACCAGTTCTCACAAGGAGCAGTCCTCACTTGAAGCTCACGAGAATCGGACGGGTGACCTAATTCAGTCAAGCTGAGCCCCCGTCCTTAACTAACACTCACAGCTTAGTGTTAATTACAGTGCATCTACTAATAGATTATGACCAATATAGTTTTATCAATAATGGAGAAAAGACCATTTTGGGTTTGTAACTTAACCCCTCAACTTATTTATATATAAGCCAAGTTAAAGGAACTCTACCCAAAGCTTATATATAAAGGTGGCAGCGCTGGGATAAGTTAGAAACCCTAAATGGTCTTTTCTCTTAATTATGGGTTGCTTCAAGCTGGTCCCAAATTAAAAGTCTGTGCTTCCTCCTGAAAGGCATTTTTCTAACAGAGCCAGTGTGAAATGGACCAAATCTCAACCACCTCCCTGGAATGGCCTTGGAGGCTGGCTAGAGTGAGTGGGTAAACTTGGTTTGCAATACATTAATACCCCGGTTAGCACTACCCCATAGAGCGCTGTTTTGTTATAGCGCTCTTGCTTTCATTTTGGAACTCTATGTGAAAAGAAACCCCATAATACTGTAGTGGTCAAAAGTCAAGAGTCCAAACACTCACAACACACAAAGAGCAGATCTCTTTGTTTTTACATACTCAGCCAATCAGCGTCAAGCCTTTTGTTTATTGTACAGTGCAAATTTGCTGCTTACACTGTGGACACTTTCTTGTTGACTAACTGATTTTTTTATATTAGTGACTGTTTTTTACTCATTATGTCTGGAAAACGGCCTGCAAGCTTTAATGCTGCTAGTGCATCTAAAATACCACGGAAATGTATCTCCTGGGATGTAAAATTAAGTGTTGAGGTGGTGGGAAGCTGGTGAGCATCAGGCGGATGTCGGTGCTGCTTTCAGCTTGGTTACATTGACTGTTGGAACCATTATTAAGAATGCAAACAAGATAAAAGCTTGAGCCATGACAACCATGAGTTTGTTATATTAAGTGTGGGTCTTATTGTTTGACGTGTGTGGTTAAATGAAGCACTATGTGTGGTGGTGGGTTGGAGATCAGCTGCTGATCACCTCCACCTTTCTTCTTTCTCACTCCACATTTTCAAATGCAATGTAGCATGATGCTAATGGATACAATATTACTCATTTATTCTTATATTCAATTTTGTGGGTAGATCTTTGGCTGACTGTACAGTACAGCTTTGCCCTTAGGACAGTGTAGTGTTCCCAAAGAAACATTAGGCGCGAATTTTAAAATATGATGCGCCAGATTGACTCGCGCAAAATAGGAAAGATTTGCTTTGAATTAAAACATTTTCCTTAATTGTAGGTGTCGCTTTAAATCCATAATCTTAAATTGAATCGCTTTAAATCGACGTTCTACTGTATTGTCAAATGAGATGCAATCTGCTTGGGGGAAAAAATAGCAGATGTCATTTCACACTCGTATGGCTTCAGGCAAGCCAAAATCTCTAACCTTTCATTTCAGTGATGGTTATCACAGATTACTACATCACCCTTAACGGCAGGGATGGGGAAACTGTGGCCTTGGGCCATTTTGACCTGCAAAGGTCTCAGGGTGGCCCGTAACCATACTCGAGTTCATTTAGTCCCCCCTGCCCCCTCTCTCTCTTAATGGGAGACTCAGGTGGGGATAGAATTTGTCGATAGAGTTGGACGAAATTTAGAGGATGTATAGAAACTCTGAGTATTATAAGACTAAGTCATAATAACGGAACTGCATTGGGAAGATATTCCAGGGTAGCGGTCTTACCTATTAAATCTGCATAGATTATTATTAACACCTTTGGGGTATTCATACGCAAAATCGCACATGATCTAAATTATCGCTTTAAGGTTTTCATATGCAAATTTGCATAGGAAGTCAAAAATTAAAATGAAATAATTTTATGTTTGTGTGTGAACGTTAGACATGCAAGACGCACATTTGGCAATGTCAACGTGATCTGGCAACTACTGTATATAGACGGCACTCCAAGGTCACCACACCAGTCTCCATTTTTTGCTTAAAGGACCCAGGATATAACGTTGACCCACATTTCCCACGTATTTTCAATCGCCTTGAGTTGATTACTTCTGCATCACAGTGATTTCATTGATTTATAACAATGTTGTGAAAGTTTTGAACCATTTCTTGTGTTGTTGGTGAAGGTGGAGGCCGAGGAAAACGTAAAAAGTTTAAGGCGATAGTGTGGTGCCTCTTGATGTTTCTACCACTGTCCCTGGCCATTCTAGCATAAGTGATCGTTTGTCTGGCCCTTCAACAAGCAGTCCTAGTATGACTCAGTACAATACAGTATGTACAATTATTTTTTGTGCCCTGAGGGAAAAAATTAATAATCTGTACTCAACCTGGTCACGCTCATGAGAATGCAAAGTTTACACTACTATTACCTAGTAAAATATTCATTTTTCAAAATTTTTCTACAATCATTACTTTTTCCTTAATATGTACACTTTATAACGGAATGAGGTTCATATTGCAATCACATGAAATACAAAGGTTTATAGTGATGTATGAACATTTTCATTAAGCATAAAAAAAAATATTATCTACTCGCGCTTGTGTATAAAAATAATTATTTTATCATTATTACTCATATAAAACTGTGAGTAGATAATTTATTTACAAAGCTAATGTAATAATTCCCACCTTATCTCAAAATACAGGGTTGCTATGACTCATTATGTACAATTATCTCTCGTGTGGTGCCATCAAGTGCGGTGAGGTGAGTAACAGGCCAGATCCCGAGCGTCTCATGGGAGAGCGCCGACCAAAACCCAATGGTGTTAACACTGAAAATAATAGGTGGCCCCTGAAGGGCTCTTATACTGTAACTTCAATGTTACCTAAAAATTTTCCCACCCCTGGACTAGGGGATTACTGGGGAAACCTTGAAGAGCTGGGGGGTACAAGTCATGGATCACTTCTCACTGGCTCTAATATTTTTACACAGGTGCTCGCTTACCTGTGACTTAAATTCTAATTCTGCCTCTCTGATTTATTTATGAGAGTCTGCAGGAAATTTATTACCCATTTTCAAGAGAAGCACTCAAGGTTAGTTGCTGCCCTCTTGTAACAGAATCAGTTACTACTTCAAATCAACCCCTCACCTTGGTCTGACTCAAAAGATGTTTTAGAAGACAGCACAAGTGTTGAGAGTAGCAGTAATGTTATGAATTCTGAAATTTTATCTTATCTTTTAAGGTGGCAACTTGAAGGTGAGACAAGCAGATAAGTATGGGTGGGAGCCCCGAAAACTTCTGGAGCAGCTGGTGGACATCTACCTACACTTAGACTCAGATAGGTTTTATGAGTCTATTGCTAATGATGAGGTGAGTGCTAAAGACAAAATTTCATCAGAATATCTTCTAAATTAATCATTTATTTATGTTTTCTTCTTTTTAATTTTTGTGTTATGCTAATCCTGAAGTACCAAAAATACTCTGATGTCATTAGAGGTAAACAGGACACAGGTTCACTCTTACTAGCTTTTGCTCACTATTATGCTGAGTGGTCAAAGGCAAACACAGACCATCCATTTATTTGCTTGGATGTTCCATTCTACAACAAGGACTAAATATGTTGGTTTTGTTTGTCATGCTCTGTATTCATTCATGCTGTCCTTCACCTTCATACTGGACTCCATAAGGATAGCCCTCTTTATGGTGGTATCCTAAAAAGGGAAAACGCTGAAGGATTTGTTGCTTCTGTGCAAGAACACTGATAACTTGGTCCACTTTTGTTGACATTGGCTACCAAAAATACCACATTTATCATTTTATCAGACTCGGTCATACTGTCAAGGACATGCTCGGATCTTGCTCCATTGATATTGGCAGTTTAGTATTTCTTATACTTGTGTGCGTTTACTACTACTGTACTAATACTTATTTTCTTTTTCTTTTTTAATTTGGCCTCCAGCCTCCCCCAATTGCCACACCTTTGCCACCATTTTATTACCTTAAAATTAACTATCCTAATACATAAGTAGCTACCCTAGCTGCATTGAGTTAGTTGAGCCACAGATCTATGCGGCATTCAGTGACTGTTGCCTCAAAGTCGATATCTGCGACTGTTGTCGGCTTTGGGGTCGATGCTCTCATTCCCCTAAGGCAAAGCAATGCAGACCTAAGCAGAAAGAAGGACAGTCGACATCTCAACCAGGCTGTAACATAACTTTTGGGCTGCTGCTTCCATTCAGATAATACCTCCGCAAGTCTGGCATAGAAGCGTCTTGCACTTGGTCCCATCCCTCCAGAGGTTGTGAACATCAGAGGAGTGAAGCTGCCTTGATCAACGTTCTGAATTCTCTTCCCTTATGCCCTTATCTTGTCGTTCTCGTTCCTCCTGTGTGCAGCATCGAGAGCTAGGTTGCGATGACATGCGGCCATGGGATAAAAAATCTTTGTCAAAAAAGGCTCGCGTCCAGAATCCTCGACCACTGACATCCACGCACGCTTCATTGGATGTGTTTGAAGTCCTGTGACGGAGGTTCTCACCGTCCAATGGAAGGAGGGGCGGTTCCACTACTATACTACTACTACTACTTTTTTTTATTATTTTTTTAATAATAAATGGCCTCCAGCCTCCCCCAATACCCATACTTTGGCCACCATTTTATTACCTTAATATTAAATATCCTAATACATAAGTAGCTATCCTAGCTGTGTTGAGTTAGTTGAGCCGCAGATCTATGCGGCATTCAGTGACTGTAGCCTCATAGTCAATATCTGCAACTGTTGTCGGCTTTGGGGCCAATGCTCTTGTTCCCCTGAGGCAGAGCAAAGCCGACCGAAGGAGAGAGAAGGACAGTCGACATCTCATCCAGGCTGTAACATAACTTTTGAGCTGCTGCTTCTGTTCGGACATCACCTCCGTGAGTCTGGCGTAGAAGCATCTTGCACTTGGTCCCATCCCACCAGAGGTTGTGAACACTAGAGGAGTGAAGCTGCCTTGATCAACGTTCTGAATTCTCTTCCCTTATGCCCTTATCTTGTCGTTCTCGTTCCTCCTGTGTGCAGCATTGAGAGCTAAGTTATGGTGACATGCGGCCATGGGATCAAAAATCCTGATGTCGAAGAAGGCTCGCTGTCCCCGCGTCCAGAATCCTCGAGCACTGACGTCAACACGGGCTTCGTTGGATGTGTTTGAAGTCCTGTGACGGAGGTTCTCACCGTCCAATGGATGGAGGGTCGGTTCAACCCTGACATCACGGCATATTTCCTTCAACATATTTGCTGTGAGATGCCTTACTTCGTCATGCCTCATGCATATGAAGCCCCCTTTGTTGCACACCATGGTGTGATCAACGTCATAGGAAGAGCCACACACGCATTGGGAGGACAAACCTTCTATTGGCCTACCGTACCTTAAAGCATTGGCATCTGTAAATTCTTGTTTATTGAGACTGAAACCAGTTGCCCTTATTGGTAACGTAGTTAACCAGTTCGAGACACCCACCTCCTGCACAATAGCTACTTTTCTTTTTCAAATTCTCTGGTGCTTGCAGCAACAGGTGCTGCAACATATCACTTTGGCCGTGCTGTCGTTCTGTCGTAATGGACCTTCGAATCTTGTTTACTTAACTGGTATCCACCTCCCCTGTTGCGTTCTGAGCTATTATGTGGTCCGTGAGGGCTGCTGTCAGCTTAACTGAGTTTTGATGTTCAGTGGCAGCAACCTCCTCTGGAATGGTCAATCCCATTCCTCCCAGTCTCGGTGGTAATGCAAGGAGTGATTTTCCTGCTGGAGTTAAGTGAGGGTGTTTCACTAATTTGGGAATGAAATTGATACTGATAGCTTCTTCCAGAGGGTGGAGGAGGGGTCCGATATCAGCGATAGTGCGCATCAGGTAGTTCCAGCGATGCTTGACTCCATGGGTGAATGCCGCAAAAGCCGCATGTGGCTCTGTGTTAGCAATCTCATACAGAGCTTGGATTTCCCTAACCCGCTCATTCACCTTTCCCCTTACGTACTCGGTCTTGAAGTCCATCGTGCTGATTACTGCGCCTAGGTGTCTTTGGCCATCCTTTGTTATTTTGACCTCACTTCCACCGAACACCTCCATTGCCCGTTCATAATGTTCTGGCTTCACAATGAGGAAGGACTTGCTGGCGTTTGGGGGGTACCCTGTTTGTGGGCCTCGTGATGTTACCAGGTCCCACCAGTTTTTGAAGTCCTCCACTTTTCCTGCTCCTGTAACGTCATCAGCGTACGCCACTTGCTTGACCTCAGTTGTTTCAAATTTTATTATGTGTTGGAGCATGGATAGGCCTATTGCGTACATTGCCATTGCAACAGGGTCCCCCTGCGTTGTTCCCTCAGTTGACTGTATGATGGTATCACCTCTTAGAGCCTTGTTGTTTGCTATATAAAGGTCTGACGGATTCCTATAGGAGTTTTCAACATACATTGCAAAGCTTGGACACTTGATCTTGATGTTGTGCAGTGCGGCCTTGCGGTTAAGTATGTTGAACACATGACGCCACGCATGACGAATCGTTGCCACAGATAGCTGCCCTCATGCCTCCACCAAGAAATCAACGGCCTTCTTCACATTAAACAGTTTCCAGAACTGCTTGACTCGCACTTCATGGTCAGCCAAATCTTGTTCGTGATCCTCGTCCTTGCTCTCACTATCGGTGCCACTCTCTAGGTTCTGCAGTTCATCCTTGGTGTTGGTGAAGTCGTTCAGGAGCCAAAACTTCTTGGCGGAGAAAGCAGCCTTCATGTTGCTAATCAACTCCTGATCCATGGGCTGGATTAACGACGTAGTGTTAGCGGGAAGGAAGACCACTTTTACGTTGGGGTGATGATCCAGCAAAAGGGGCGAGTGTCCTGGTGCGTTAATGAGGAGCAACAAAATGTTGAATGGCATACTATTTTGCACGCAGAATTTCTTGACATCAGGAACGAGACAGTTGTCAAACCAGGTGAGGGACAGACCAGAGAACATTCACGCCTTCCCTGAGGTTAGCCAGTGGACATTTAACTTGCTCATGTCCATATTCTTGTAGGCATGCGGCTTGTGGGCTTTGTGGATCACAGACAACTTCAGCTTAGCAGTGCCGGAGGCATTGGTGGTGAACAGTACTGTGATGCGCTCCTTCTGCATTTTGCTCCCCCGACACATTCTCGCAGACTCGACTACGAAGGTCTTAGATGGCAATTTCTTCCAGTACAACCCTGATTCATCCATATTGAACACTTGGTCGTCGGTGTACTGTCCTTCCTCCATAATTTTCCGTAAAAATGGGGGAAAATTCATGGCGGCAGCCCAGTCGGCACTTGCTCCTTCTCCCACTATCTCAATATTCATGATCTCGTTGCGTCGTTTAAAACCTTGCAGCCACCCAGCGGAAGCAGTGAAGGACTTGGGCTCTGCAACTCCCATTTTTCTTGCTACTGATTTGTGGAGTTCTCGGGCATAGTCCTGCACTGCCAGAGTGTCGACTGCCATGTTCCTTCTTGACTGATGAATAATGTAGCTTACCAACAAACCCTCGGTCTTCAGCAGCACCTTATTGTGGCAATATTTCACCAGCGAGGCACCTACAGGCTTGGTAATGTTCATGTGTTCATTGATTTTGCCGGCATCCTTCTTGATCGTGCGGATCGTCGATTCATTCACTCCATATTGTCTGGCCAGCTCCACCTGCCTGGTGCCTTTTCCTAACTTCTGAACGATCTTGTACTTAACCTCATAGCTTAAGGCGCGTCGCACCTTCTTGGGCTTGGGGCGGCTTGGGCCAGGTAGTTCAGGGCTTCTCAGGGGTGGTGGGGGTCCAGCAGAAACCATTGTGTAAAAAGAAAAAACAAAACCGGTTCCTGGGCACGAGTGAGTATACGCTGGGACAGTGAGACTGGCGCGGCCAAGGTCATCAGCCCTGGTGTCAGGGCAAGCAAGGTTAAATAGACCAATCACAACGCGCGGTGGAGGGGGTGCGTGGGTGGTAAGGATACGTGGCCCAATCACAGTCCGCGACGTCATCGGCACGAGTCTGATGTCAGCGCCTAGCACGTTGCCCGCCGCTTGTCGCGTATATGATGGCATTTACCGCGTAAATAATATTTGCCGCGTCTGGTGAGGAGCCTCGTAAATGGCAAATCGCGTATAAAATATCCGCGTAAACCCAGACTATACTGTATACAGTGGGGTATGCTATAACGAATCTAATTGGTTCTAGAACCTTGTTCGTTATAGCATTCGTTCGTTATAGGATTAATCCGTTCCAGGCCCCCAAATACAACCACTTAACACTGAAAAATATAATATAAAATTGTAAAAATTTAAAAAAAAAAGCATAAATATGCATCTAAACCCCTGAAATAA